GTCATCCAACTTATTAAGGGACACCAACTTTGTAACTCTAGTGACCCCTACATCAAAAAAAGTGTACTCTAACCATAAGGCTATTGCAGACACACAGAAGATGTGGTCTTATCCCAAAGAGCTGAAAGACCGTCAGCGCCAACTTTACTTCCAAGAGTTAGTTGGAAAACCTGCAGTTGGTACAACTGGCCTCGGTTATGGGACAAGATATGAGGACACATCAGAGAGGAAACTGCTAACCAACATGGTGAGGACCTTTGATGAAGAGACACTTATTTGTTCACTTTTTGACAAAAAGCGGCAAAACCTCTTTCTCACATGGGAAAATACAATGACATTCGACACCACGTGGAATAACCTGATCTATCAACTTAGTCCGGAACTGTTAAAGTTTCATGTCAATGCTATCCATGACACTGCGTCAACACCTAGCAACCTAAAGCTTTGGAATAAAGCCGTTTCAGGAAACTGTAAACTCTGCAGCAAACAAGGGACACTTAATCATATCCTCACGTTCTGCAAGGTTGCACTAAGACAGGGACGTTTCAACTGGCGCCATGATCAGGTCCTACGTGAAATCATGAAGACTGTTTCATCACAGATTGACGAGTTTAATTCCGACATCGCCAAGGAATCGAAGAGGGCACCGTCGGTCTTTCACAAGGCAGGCAATAAGCGCGAGAAGGTTACCTTAGCTGACCCAACTCATCATAAGACCCAAAGATATTTCTTTTCAGATGCCAACGACTGGAAGATAATATTTGATGAGGATGAGAGACAGAGGAACTTCCCGCAGCACATTGCAGCTACACCACTAAGACCTGATGTAGTGATCTATTCAGATAAAGCAAAGAAGGTTTATCTAATGGAGCTGACTTGTGGAAATGAGCAGAACTTTGCTGATCAAGAGAAGCGAAAGATGAAGAGATATCAGCAGCTGACAGAAGAGATAGAAGCCAACGGATGGGCTTGCAAGCTCCAGACAGTAGAAGTGGGAGCTCGAGGCATTTACAACTATAGCCTCCCAACATTTATGAACCACCTGAACGTAAAGAACAAAGAGAAGAAGAAGGCCTGCATGAAGATCGCTGAGATCAGCCTGAGGGCATCGTATACCATCTATTTGTCCAGAAACACTACCATATGGACAGATGATTGGGAGTTAGTCAAGAGACCAGTAATAGCATAGTAGGAGCGTAGAATGTTTGGGCCCAGAAAAACATGTTTAATACCGCTATGAACCCGTCATAAGCCGGGGACTACTATGAAAATGATGATGCTGTGTTGTTGAAAGACCTTCGACCAATCAAAGATGTACCTCATCACGCCAAGCAGTTATGCTTGTAGGTGAATATACACTTATAGAGTACAACAACTTTATAACACTCCTTTGTTTTATTCTGATAATATTTGTTTTATTCTGAATATTTATAAATGACATGTTCTCCTGTGTCTCTGAAGGCACCAATATCGCACTTTATGCAGATGACACTAAAATTTGGAGGGAGATCCTTGGTTACCCTGACCATCACATAATCCAAAATAACATCAACAGATTATATGATTGGTCAGTGAGAAATCGAATGAAGTTCCACCCACATAAGTGCAAAGCCCTCTTTGTGTCCCTGCAAAGAAACGTGCTGGATAACTTGCCATTCAATACCTTCTTTTATAAACTTTCTGGAAGTGATATTGACTTTGTGCCCTCTCAGTCAGATTTAGGAGTCGCAATAAACTCCAGGTTTAATTGGGGTGCACAATGTAAAGCGCTTGTTTCCAAAGCTACCTCTAGACTTGGACTACTTAAGAGAACATGTCATTTCACTACTGATAAAAGGCAGAAAAGATCGTTCTATTTAGCGTTAATTAGGTCTATATTTGAACATTGTTCTGTCATATGGTCCCCTCAATCTGCAACTCATCTTCAACAGTTTGTTGCTATCCAAAAGAGGGCTATTAAATGGATCAATGGTGAACCTTACTCCAGTTATAATGACGATAAACTTGCTACAGAGCAAAAGAAACTAAATATTCTCCCTGTTGAACAGAAGTTTATTTATAACGATCTTATGACCTTCTATAAAATATTGAATAGCATAATTCCAGTTTCGCTCCCTACATATATAGTCCTATGCCGTCCAGAGGGCACCCGATACACTAGGCACAATGCTCAAATAATTGATATGTCGGATACTTCAACTTACATGAGTACCACTGTGCCCTGCTCGGATGCCCTCCGAAATAGCTTTTTTCATAGATCTATGCTGAAATGGAATAGTCTACCAGTATGTATCCGGCAGTCAGAGCGGATTTCTACTTTTAAGGCCAAACTGATCAAGTACCTCTGGGCTGCCGATACAGTCTGGCCAGATTAGCTCATCAGTCTTATGAGTCTCAGAAATTTATTTTTGTTGGTTACAATTCTGTCCGTCCAATTTCCTATCTGCTTGTCCTTTTCTTTTTTCTTTATCAGTTGTGACGGAATTGTAATGAACAAAATCCTTATAATTATTTATGATATGTTTGATTTCTTGTTAATGTTTGTCATTCAAATTTGGTAGACGGCCCCAACGTTAATGTGGCTCTTGCTATGTGTTGGTTCAGCCGAATTAATTATTCTATAATCAAGTTTATTTTTCTCGTTAGTTGTCATCCGGCCAAACATTAAGCAACTTATATTGCAGTACCATTTACCATTTAGTATATCAAAATATGTCATTGTAATTTTGCATGGCTGAAATGTAACGCTTGATTTATATATATAATGATTAATTGAATTTTCAAATAAAAAAAATTGTGTAAAATTTTACGGACGAAATGATCCCAGGGGGGACTCCCAACCCACCGCCTCGGCGGGTAGTTGATACACCTTTCACAAGCAAGAGCCACTTTGGTCTACTTGCTGTGAGGAGTCTCAGCTACATGGGTTGGGGGTCCCCCCTTTTTTTTCTTTTAAAAAAATATATAAATGGTCTACTAAAAATAAAGTCAACAAATTCACATCACAACAAAAAGCAGTTTAGACCCCCAACTAACAAGCACTCCATGACCTTTTAAGGTTTAGGAGTGTTGATCAGGTTTAGGTCCAAATCACTTATCGCCATGGGTGGAAGAGTTTTGGTACCTCTATAACCCCTGATAGAGATTATACAGGTTTTGAGTAACTAAAACCTGTGCAATAAAGTTGACGTGATTTTTCAACAGATTGAAGAAAAACCACATTTCGAATCTGCCAAAGAGACAAGACCAGTCAAAGTTTCGCTTAAAGTAATTTTAGTACCGGTTCGTCAAATATCAGTAATAAATGCCAAAAAACTGAGACTATGTAAAGATCATAAAACTGTTTTCATATCTCCAGATCGATCACCTGAAGATCGAGCTACCCATTAGCGCTTGGTCTTGGAGATGGAACAGCTATATAATAGCCAGAAAGGACAAAAATACATTATTATATCAGAAGTGGTAATATTTGTAGTGAGGAAAAATGTTAGAGAGTGATACATGATAAAGAGTAATATACGTTCATGAGTTTTTACCGTGTGTGATACATAGCGCGCGCCCGGCTAGTCCATTAACAATCGACAAACCGGTTATCTTTTTACCTTGTAGCGCGATGCGTTACTGTGCCGCGCCGCGCAGTCAATGAGGCTTCTCACAGCGAGATCGGCAAAATGCGCTACTGTGCCGCGCCGAGCTGCCATGAATTGACATCGTCAATGAACTTTTTACCGAAATGCGAAAGCACATTCAATTTAATATAAGCTCTTATTCTTACTTACCTGGGGCCGGGCCGGGAACCCAGGCTATTTTATTTATGTTCATAATCATAAATTTCTTCGAAATATAAGTGTGCATCGCTTTCGGCTTTACTCTAAACAGTGGCAAACGCTTTCGCCTAACCACGTGCTTTCGCGCCACTGCGGGTGCACTTGTTTCGCGCCACTGCAAGCGTAATTGTTGACGGATATTACTCGTCTATAAATTTCTTCGAAGTATAGCGTGCACCGTTTTCTTCTCGAAATATCTTACTGGGCCGCGCTCAGCCTGTCATTCCGCCAAATCTATATTCGGTTAATGAACATAATAGCCTGGGGTCCTCAGGTAAGAAATATCACGGTCTGATGGCAAGTGCGTGCTTCGCAGAGCAACGATCTGGAAGGGTTGACATCGTCAATCAATGTGAATCGTAGCACTTGCCTCGAGTGTCGAGAAGAAAGCAGCGCGCGCTACTTCGTAGAAATTTAGACGAGTAACATCCGTCAACAAACGTAAGGGCTCTGGATAGAGCAAGCACACTCCACCATGCATGAAACAGGTGTGCTCGCAGTGGTGCGAAAGCATATGTTATGGTTAGGTGAACGCGCAGCTTTCTTCTCGAAATAGATGCAATGGTGACCCGAGGCATGTGCTACCAGCTACGAAGTAGCGCGCGCCGGGTCAGTCTATTAAAATTGGACAGTATGTACTATCAATAGGTGTTTGATAATGTTTTTTAACGACTCTCCTACTTGACCATTGTTAATGGTCTGGCCCGGCGCGCGCTTCTTCCACTTCGTAGCACTTGCCATAGAGAAGAAAGCGACGTGCGCTACTTCGAAGAAATTTAGACGAGTAACATCCGTCAACTCTCCTTCAACCCACAATAATCAACGCTCAGTCCACGAACGCGAATTTCGGGAATATAGCGTTTTGAGACCAATGACACAACACATTATAAAGCTTGCTTCTCGTCGCAATCTTGGAGAAATTTGGTATTGTGAAAAAGCTCACACTCCCTAGAAATCAATGGTACACATTTTTGAAAAGTTTGTTTTTATCGTGTATCGTGCACCTCCTACCTTACAAAATCTCGAACTCGAAGCTTCAGTGTTGAGTGATTAAGCACGCGCTTGAAGTGTATTGGTTAACAATGTATTATATATTATGTAATACGTTATAGACAGGAGATCGGCTAGGAAAGCTTTTTCATTTGGCCGGTGTTAGGTAGGGGTATAGTGAATTGAGGGTGAACTGGTTTGCAATATCTCAGGTTTGCAATATCTAACGGCCTGTATTATAATTATAGTAATTTATAGAATAGTTTTACTAAAAGACTGGTAGTCGGTCTAGACTGGTAGTCAGATTAGTTTTGAAGTCTTTATCGGTAGGGTTGCAATGTCCCACGGCGTGAAGCTGTAGTTAGTATTTTAAGCCGTTGTAAATTAGTAGTTATTTGGAATTGTGACGTTCCCGGTGGGAAAAGTAGTGGCTCGAAGATTGTTAAAGTTTCAAATTTATTAGAACTTATAGTTAAAAGAATACTTACAATTATTTTAACAGCATTGATTTTTGATTATTGTGTTGACGAACTAGCCGAGGTGTTACAAGAGTGCCATGAGAATCAACTCCCCCTTCAACTCCCCAAAGACCTGTCAACCAGCAGTCTACAAAAAGGGGAGCTCGCCTGCTGCTCGCCGCCTTCCGCCTTCCGCCTTTCGCCTTCTGCATTCACCTGTTCCTATCATGGCCCGGGGTCTTGTTCTGCTGTGTCCGTTCTCTCTCCACATGTTACTCATTTCTATTATAGGTTCGTAATTTAGATTAAGTTCTTGATCATGTTATTGTCATTGATTGCATTCGTATCAAAAGGTTGACCTTAAAGATTAGTTCGTACTTAGATCAATTTCCGTCGTATAATGCTTAATATGCCGTTAATATACATAATATCTCATCAGATTCCTCGCACTACTAGTACTACCTGTTCCCGATAGATCCTTCCAGAATTAGGCTATGGAGTTCCTTTCCTGAGGTAAAAATCTTACGTAAACCTTAATCCATCGTTCATAATCATAGCACTTTTCCACTTGTTAACGTTGACGATTGTAGTATTATAGTTATTTCCTGTGTACTAATTATTATTAGTTCTAATAGTTATTAATTTCCAGGCAATATGACGGTGATACCCACCCCACTTGCTCTGCCTGTCCTCACCTAAGCTCCACCAGTCGTATTGCTTTGTAAGTTTATAACGTCTTCATTAAGAGGTTCCTACGATAGATTTTCCCTTTATTTAACTTAACCAATCTGATTATTGTCACACCTTAAACGCTCCGTACTTATAATTATCTTACTTCAGATTGATTCCCCCCTCCTTCCTCGAGAACCGTTCGTCACTATGTTAGATCCTCGGGATGACCATGCAAGATGGTTCAGTTCTAGTTGACATTCCACTATATGAAAAGACCAGATCGCCACTTTATATTCTTATTCCTTGGTTAGTAAATTATACTTATAGTGATTCTAGTTCGTAAGTTATCTAGAAGTAGGAAATTAATACCTATATTCCGTATAATTAGTGTGGTCTATTAAATTTGTATTGATATATGATCTCTTCAGAGAGAGAGAGAGAGAGAGAACCGGAACAGCGACCTCGTGAATCATCCTATTTAATCGCTTGACCCTCACCACATTTGCTACCACTTCAATTATTGGGGTAAATGGACATTAAGACTAAGTTATGAGATATGAGAGTTAAATTAATATTGTAGTCCTATTTAACCCAATTGTTTTACAACCCTTTACTAACTTGTTTTAATTGGTTATCTTCCAGATATAAATTCACATAAAATTCTGAAGTCCATAATTACAATAGAAATTACTGTCCAAAAATGTATCTGTACAAAGAGAGTTTGGGTTTGGACTGTGCCCTGAGTGAGTCTCAAACCGGGAGGTATTCCATAATATCGGAACCTGAATTTCCATACTCTAGTTAAAAGGAGCCCATTATACGTAGTTAAATTAATACCACCACAATTTAATGAAATATAATAAATAAATAATCTCTAGAATTCATGGAAAATTGGAGCATTAAATAGGCCGTTAAGTAAGTTGTCGTGCTGAAACCCGAGTACGCATCTTAACAGCCGGGCACAACTTTTTAGCGACTTGATCTCAGTACAGATCTAGTCACACTCACAGTCTAGTCTTTCATTGAAAACCCATTATTCATTCAAAATTCCAGTAGCTGCATCAATTCCTGAGGATTCCTGATTCTAACTGTATCACTCTAAGTCTAGTGATGAGATTGTTCATAGCCTAGTCGCTATCGGGGCATTATGCAAGAAGCCCAACTAATAAGGCTAAGCGGAAAATAACTTTAAGATTGAAGATAAGGGTTATGGTCAGAGTAAGGGTTAACTTTTATTTAGGGACTCTCATCTTAATTCTTACTCAAGTTTATAAGAAAATGTTGCTTATTTAGTGTCTATCCTTGATGGTCGGGCTTCTTGGATACTGCCGAATTTGGAGACAGGATCACGACACAAAAATCTGAATCTAAATTTATACTCAAACGTTAACTACATCAATATTTTTATAATAATATCACAGTGAATCCAATATAAATGGAAGTACAGAATACAAGTAATGACAATCTCAAGGATCGGAGGATTAGAATATTTCGACAACAAATACTGTGTTCGTCAAACTGTTATCGGTTTCGTCACACTGTCATATGTTATGCTCATCGATAGGAGAGTATATTCAATTTACAGTAATAACAGCAAAGAGTTACATTGGACACTGACATTAAGCTAAAGAAAGCGAGACTGATTGTGTATTACCACACCGTTAATTCAGTCATATCACCTAAAATTATGCATTATACATTAAAGATTAATAAGGATTCAGCCGTATAAAAATTCAAATACTATTTCATTCCATACTAATACAAATTTATAAAAAGTGAAGCCAAGGAAAAAAATAAACGTTCGAATGCTCCATTTCGCAAAGCATACCAAGCACCACCAACCACATTAAAGCATCCCATAGAATCTCAAACTGCAAACACTGATAATGATAACAAATTGAAACCGAAGATGATGGCAGAAAGCACACAAACTGCGTTTCAGCTGCAGGTTCTAACAGCAGATCCTGTCCTAAAACTCCAAGGTAAAATATCACTTTATATACGTCACACGTGTCCGCCATGTGACCATGTGACCTCTGAGCTGAGTCACACTCCTTGTTGGTAATATGTCCTAGCTGCTCACAGCGAGTATCATCCTGAAAGTAAACAAGTTTCAAGTTATGACAGTTTTCAAGATATTAGGGTCGGATTATTGTGATCAATGATGATCGAACGCAATTAAATACTTTTTCAGCTAAGATTTTGAAGATTTGCAATACTAGTACTGTGAACACTGGATTCGGTAAATTTAAATATTCAACTTAATGCTGACGATGGGCACCTTCTCGTTACGTCATTGCAGTGGAATTGTCACCAAATTTTGAGCACACTTCATAAGCAACGACATATTGCATAAGCTTAATATATAATACTATCCTTATAAACAACTGCCAAGTGCCAGTTCAAGCCCATACAATGCTTTGGCGGTTTTTATGGTTTCGTTATGGTTTCAAGCTTCCAAGATGTTTCCTACCAAAAAATTGTATCTGTCTTACTTTAGTCTTGGGATTATCTGGATAAAGCCACCGCCGAAGAACGGTATTAAGAACAAATTATGGTCGGTAAGCAAAGCGGTAAGTGTCTCACCAATTACCACTGCCATAACCTCATTGCGATATCCCTCCGAGCACGCGCCATCGTGCATTGTGTCAAATATGACCCATTATACAGAGCTTTGATGCTTTAAAGCCCAGGAATCAGTAAGTGCATTTCCCGGGAATCGGGAAAAAAGGAATTTCAGCCCATTTATAAAGAGTCGATCTACTTATAGGGCAATAACGGCGACTTTGTCTGACTTTCATGAATGGGGGTGAATTGATTTGAGTCGTCGATTAGCTTACAATTTTCCCCACAATAGCGACGGGGAACTAACACTAAGGAAGGCAGACTTTTATCATAAGATGGGTTTACAGAATTTAATTTAGATTAAATTGAATCACAATATTTACTTTAAAAGCTATCCGTAGGTGCCTTAACATTTTATCCACTGTGCTGTTTGTATCGGCGACAGCTATCCAACGATTGGGTACCTTGTATATTGTTCAGCGTTGAATCGGAAGGTGGTTCTAATGATCATTTACAAATAATCTTAAACAATAATCTCAGGGTTACACTAATATGTATGATAATATACAAATTCTTTATGCTTAAGGGGGCATACACCAAATCTGTTTCAAATACGTACTTATCTGTTATCATACCGTTAATATATAAAGTTATATTAAGATTTAAAAATAAATAGTTACCATTCGCTACAATACCATTATCTCATTAGTAGTATCTGCAAGGAATATTACTATGAGGCCATCCTCTTGACAGCGTAAATCTTATTGTTACTGATTCAAGCTTTCAAGAGCACGGTCAGCATATGCAAACATCTGTTACTCTATCTAGGGTGTGACAATACCAGACACATGCTCTGTCCCTCATTGAACCTAGATGTTGCTCACGTTATAACTGTATTGCAACGCTGGTCTCGAACATTACTGTTCGTTAAATCTGAATATTATATTCATTCCAAGTTTGAGCAACCTTGTTCTTTTTATTTGGCGTTAATACAGGATGGCCAATAAGATACTGTGGGCTTATTTCTCAGTCACAAAGTTTCCAATGAGATAGTTACTTCTGATATGACTTGTTATCATCATCACTCATTCGAGGAATCCGTCAAATAAGACAACGAAGGTGGTAATTTTTCGAATAAACGTTCACTTTCACTTTCACTTTCACATTTGCCATTAAAATTACATTCGTCCTGAAAGGATGGCATCTCTAGCTTCTCAGATGACCGAGATATCAAGCACGAAACAACGAGATTGTTCATTACGTGGGATCAGGTGACAGGTGATTGGGTTGACACCTGATCCACACTGGGAGTCGTGCAGGAAGTCCAATTATGACGTCGTATCACACAATGAAATGATTGGAGTTTCTAGTTAGCATGTTCCCCCAGATAGCCAGACCAGATATAAACATACATACATGCCACATGAAGAGGTCTCCTCCTAGTCGTTGGAGTGGCCTGCATCACCCACATCTATTATACGGCGTAACATGTACCTCCATTCCACTCGTTTTAGAGCTAACTGTTTTACTGCGTCTCTGCTGATGTTATCGACACCTGTAAATTCAGCTGCATCCTCGAGTACACAGGCCATCCAGCCTTTACGGGGTCGTCCTCTCAGTCTCTTTCCATAGTTTGGTTTACAATCCAGTAAAAAATTGGGAAACCGTGTCTCTGGCATTCTGACAACATGTCCGTACCACCTTAGTCTAGCCGAACCGATGAAAGTTTCAATAGACTTAATTCCAGCACACCTGAGAACTTCTTCATTGGTGACATGGAAGAACCACTTTATCTTCGAGATTCTACTCAGGGAGGTGAGATGGAAGACCTCAAACCGTTTCATCTGCTTTTTTGTTGTGTTCCAGACTTCTGCTCCATATAACAGAATAGTAATTTAACAGCAGCCTTGTAAATACGGATCTTGGTAAGCGTTCTTATAGTTCGACTGTTCCATATCTTCCAAAGCTGCTGATGGAACGTACCATTAGCACGCTGGATCCTGATGTCAAGATCTCGGTCAATGGTACCATCCCCACTGATGTTGGTACCAAGATAAACAAAGTTACTGACCTGTTCAACAGGTTCTTCCGGATATAAACAATTTAATATTAAAAGGAGGTCGCCTCCAACAATCGAATCTTATACCATAGGAGACAGATTCCTCGGATAAGTAGTAGAGTATGCCATCTGCAAGCACGGACGTTTGCTCACTAACTTATGTCCCACCCTGTACGCTAAACAACAGTACTCAAATATTTTGGGCTGCTCGTTAGTGGCCGTTTCTTAAGTGCTGCTCGTTAGTGGCCGTTTCTTAAGTGGTGGGTGTGGGAGTCATTCCGAGAGCTACTACCACTAGTAGTGCGCTTAGTCAATAAAGACACCGTGATTTTTATAAAAAGGAGATGATGAAGCAAGTATTCAGGAACATAGGCATGACGCAAAGAAGAATAGTCGGTGGGGATTGGGACCCACTTAAATAGGGCGAGGATGTCTTTACCAGTAGGGCTCGGGTCAGTTTATATTTGTAATCCATTCGCTGGTTTAGGGTAATTTTTAAGATGTAGATATTATACCGAACAAAGAAGTTGTTATCTTGATAAGTTAACTACAAACTGACCTCCTGAGTCCTGACGGCTATTTTTTTGTACAACTCTGCTACAAATAGTAAGAGTTTTGGAGTAAAGTTATTTCTTCACAAAGTTATCCCTATTCCCTTCACATTTCCCACTTTCCCTTCAGTCGGTCTTGTTTATATGTGTTGTTACTATTCCCTGAAGACAATAGTGAAAAAGAGAAAGTGTCATGCCACGCCCACTGTAATTGGGCGTGGCTTATGAAACTTTCAGGAAATCTAAGTTTGACCCATATCTATAATCTCTGAAATTTTGGTGCAATTTGGAGACGAATTACGTGAGTTATTAAGAGGTTGCGTGTGGGTAGTCACTTATGGGCCACCCTGTATAGTTATACCCCTTTTGTCCTAACGTTGTTATCCTCCTCCTTTCTCTTTGTTTGATCCTTCTCAAAGTAAAGAACCCAAAGTAAATTCAAGTAGGAACACAGTAAACCTACAACTTTAGGGTTAGACGGGTTCCTGCTAGTTATTATAATATGACAAAATAACTAATAAATATCCTCTTTGTCGCCAAATATCAATTACACTCTTCATTAAAGTAAGATAGCCTCACTCGTGATACTACCGTCGTCCGTCTCGGTACCTATAGAGTATAGACACACCACTCAAAGGCCAAAACTTAAAACAAATTTTGTTAATAACGACCCTTAAACTGGCTAATAACTAATAACTAAATTAGGCGGTGGCCGGTGGGTGATATATTACTGTTTGCTGCAGATCTTATTATAATAGGGATATAATAGGGTGCTTAGTTCTGTTTTATTCATTTATCTTTATAGATATTATTCCTTCATGCACTGTTTAGATTTGGTCCTTTTTGTGTCCCCTTGCACAATGAACTTTAACTTAGACGAGATAAATAATAGGTCATCAATGAAACTTGTTTAAACCAAGCTCCTCTCCTATACTCTTATTAGATTGACACAATTCGCGTGGGACGAAAGTATAACAGTGGTATAAGTTTAAATTCGAGTAAAAACTCAGAATTTAGAACTTAACAAATTTTGTCTTAAATTGGCGTCTAGGCACAATTTTTCGTCACTGGACGAATGAACAATTAAATGGTCTTAATATAATTATCGTCCACAAATTAACAACAGCTTAGAATAAAATAATAGACTCGGTTACTAACATATCAGTATTGTGCAACCAAACGTCATATTTAAGGGTTGCTCAGATCCACCACATTTTGTTAATTTTCGCAAACTTTCGGTTCGCATGTCAATTTCTCAATGGAATTTAAAACTGTTGTGCAATGTGCACACACGTTTACTCCATCAACGGTCAAGTTTTTGTCTTTATTAGGATTTGGGCGTGGCATTAGACTTATAGATGTTTATCGAAAATAAGCTAGGGAGGGAAGTTTTAATGCTAGTATCGGTGATAGGTGAAGAATTCAGACGATCTGTAATTACGCGACGGCAGCCATATTTCTCCAAATAGACAGCGTTGCTTACATAGTCGGAGCTGTATGTAAATTACTAGTGAATAGTTTGGTACTGACTCAGAGAAATACTTTATTTTGTGCAAGGGAGTCTTTTGCTATGATTCCGCGTACTGTGAGTATCTCATACTCTTTAAACTATCCTTGGTATGAGCTAGTTACTTGCCGTCTACTTGAAGCAGTTAATAGAAGTGAAAGTAGTTAGTAGTTATGGTAGTTTATAAACTCTATAAATAGAAGTAGCTAACGTTTTTTGGTATGAAAATTGTTACTACTGGTTCCTGTTTGCTAAATAAGGAGTCAATAAATGTGTTTTTAATGCAAAACCCCACATGGCTTAACAAAATTGTTAAAACGCACTTTGTGTCTTGCTAAAATCATGCTAATTTTGGTTTATCAGTTGGCGTTTGGCTCCGTATCGACAAGATTGAGATAATTGTTCCAGAAATCATTCTAATTCTCCGTGGAATGGCTGTTGTAGCTACAAATAGTACATACCTAGTACATACCTAGTACATATCTAGTACATACCTAGTACATACCTAGTACATACCTAGTACATACCTAGTACATACCTAGTACATATCTAGTACATACCTAGTACATACCTAGTACATACCTAGTACATACCTAGTACACACCTAGTACATATCTAGTACATATCTAGTACATACCTAGTACATATCTAGTACATACCTAGTAATTATCTAGTACATACCTAGTACATATCTAGTACATATCTAGTACATATCTAGTACATATCTAGTACATATCTAGTACATACATAGTACATATCTAGTACATACCTAGTACATATCTAGTACATATCTAGTACATATCTAGTACATATCTAGTACATACCTAGTACATACCTAGTACATACCTAGTACATACCTAGTACATATCTAGTACATACCTAGTACATACCTGGATTAATTTTATGAGTGGGTTTGAACTTTGAACGTCAGGAGCATAAAAGTAGATAAGGTGTTGCATTATCGTCCTTTAATATCATATATTTAATTCATTAATATTATATTTTACAATTACTAGTTTAAACAATAAAATCTATGAAATGTGCTCAACGTATTACTTTAATTCTCTATTGTGTGCAAGAAAATATATAATTTATCACAACCACCTGATTTAAAGGTGTAACGTTGATTTTAACCTCTTCATGTTAATATATAAGTACCTCACGCGTTCTATATATGGACTTTTTTGTAGTACTAATTGTACCTCATACTTGTTTCTCATATTATTTGTATTAGCCAAATGTTGATCTGTGATCTATAATATTGTAATATTTCAATAGTGCGATAACAAGGACATAATATGCAATTTCTCAGACTCCGACTGAAAAATAATTTGGTTACTTTCGCTGTTTTGAACCCCTCCAAATTCAATTGAGATCATAATCCGTTTCTAATAACATGATCAGGCTAACACCACCTTTCAAACTTCACAATAATGTTAGCACATTAGGATAGATCAGGTGACAGTTCTGATAATTGATATGGTCCTTAAAATCATGTGGCTATCGTATAAAGTATATAGAATTAAAACATATTTTAAAAGATTGAGGAGTGAAGACACACTCGACTAGACATCCATAAACAAGCTAATTTGAAACGTTAGTTACAAAAAACGTAAATATACATATAAATGTTAAAAACCGATATTAAGTAACCTGATAATAACCACAACAATCGTAATAACTTACCACAGGAGGCCAGCGAAGAAGTTTATAAGATAGAGGGCTAGTTTAATGAATCCCTCTTTCTTGTTCCTGTCCATCTCATCCCCGTTCATGACAGCAGTTGGATCGTATATTCCTAGCACGCTCATCCGGGGTCGCCTCACATACCTGAAAAGCGTTTATAGGTTCTTTTGCGATAGTCTAAACGAGATGCAGCGCTAGTTAGCGCTAGTTAGCGATGGCCAGCGCTAACTAGCACTGATAGAACCCATTTAAACTTATAATTTTCATGTGATTATGATTATATGTTGTGGTCACTTCTGTCATGATTTTGATCGGGTCCCGAGATCATGTAAGGCCTGAGATTTATTTTATTATTTATTCTGTTATCGGAGACTGGCTAATGCTTTGGGTAAGAGTTGGAGTTAGCAGTACGTTTAGGGTAACAGTAATGTATCATGTTAGCAGTACGTTTAGGGTAACAGTAATGTATCATGTTAGCAGTACGTTTAGGGTAACAGTAATGTATCATGTTAGTAGTACGTTTAGGGTAACAGTAATGTATCATGTTAGCAGTACGTTTAGGGTAGCAGTAATGTATCATGTTAGCAGTACGTTTAGGGTAACAGTAATGTATCATGTTAGCAGTACGTTTAGGGTAACAGTAATGCTGTAATGTATCATGTTAGTAGTACGTTTAGGGTAACAGTAATGTATCATGTTAGCAGTACGTTTAGGGTAACAGTAATGTATCATGTTAGCAGTACGTTTAGGGTAACAGTAATGTATCATGATGTACTATATAGTATATACTTATAGTGCAGCGTGGGATGAAATGTACGATGGCAAAGTTACCAAATGAGACTGATGTGATCTTGATAATGCTTATTAAAGGTAGCTAAGGAAATATCGTTAAATAAATCGAAGCGCAATTACTCGTCTCAAAATCTCCAGAGCAGATTTACCCCTAAATGGTCAAAACTTGCAATGGAAGAAATTTTAATCAAATAACGTACAGTTTTGGTAATTTGGTGTTGTTCTGTTAAATCGTTTCCTCGAATAGCATATCAATAAATATCAATAAGTCAATAATTTTAACGGTTGATCTAACTCAAAATCTATATAATAATAATTAGCAGCTGATCAGGTAGTAGAACTATATGATAAGTGTAGGAATTAACTAAAAAGTAACTAAAAAGTAACTAAAAAGTAACTAAAAAGTAACTAAAAAGGTAACCTGTAAGCATGATAAGCGGTGAGAGGGAGCATGATAATAATACCCAGATACTGCATGTAATAGAGGTAGCTGAGGGCTATAAATCCTTGTAGAACATACTCCGGTAATACCAGCTGAAGATATTATAGAGATTACTATTAATTTAATTAATGTTAATATTGTTATTATTGATTGTTATTAATATTATTAACAATAAAAGGTCTAAGTAATCTGTTGCCCGTTGGAGCTATGTTATGTTACACATCTGTGGTACTTCTCCTATGTTGACTCAGCTGAATGATCGGGAAACCGTAAGGTTAAATGAGTCGCTGAGCAACGAAGCCTCGGGCGAAGAAAGTATACACTTTATGAACTGCTGCTGGCCTAATAGTAATTGTAAATTAAAATAAGTATCTTTTTTTAAATGCCGAAAATCATGTGTAATTCAATTTTAAATAATCTTTTTGGCCAATAAAAATATTAAGATTGTTCCATTTAATGCCTTTTTCTGAGAGCAAAAAAAACAATTATTATGGTGAGGATTGTGTATTCGACTGGATCCAATCAGTTTTCTTCTCCGCTGCACCTTTCTACTGGCACCAACACACGTACATGGCGCAGAAATTTTACATTTCAATCATCCTGCTTGCAAACTGTACAAAAGTTTCCTAATCATGCCGGATATTGATCCAGTTGCAAATTGCACTTAACAGTTTAACAACGGCGACTGTTTTCTAACCATATTTTCAAACTGCAATCAAGCATATTAAATTCTAAATACCAACAGTCAAGGAATAAGTAAACTTAAAATGGCCGATTCGTCAATCATAATTGCCCGTTAAATTGCTCTCCACTAATGACAGCAATATTAAATGGTGCCTAGCCCCATTTTCTAATACTTTAAAAGCAGTAGACCTTGATTTGTTATATCTTATTGTGAGGTGTGCACACTGCACTGTGCACTGTGCATGGACGGCGTACCGGTAAGATTGTGTTCGGTGAGCATTTTGTCGATAATTTAACCAAATTTTGAAATTAATTAAAAAAAACCGAAAATACCGGTCTCATTAATTGGTTTGTTACGAGCACCAATTTAAAAAGGAACACATCAAAATCGACATTTATTTATGATTCTAAAGCGAAATTGTCTTTTTCAGTAGGAGGAACGTGGAAATTAGACTCACGCAGATTAAGAAATCCTCATAAAGATACAACATTTGACATCAAAATATTTTATATTTCTTCATTATAATTAGTACTTGCATGCTTACTGCACACCACCAAAATCAGGCGTATCACTGTTATATATCACTCAGTTTCCTTGATTCATTAGCAAATGATATAGGGCGGTGTTTGACCACAGTTAAGTAAATACTTCTCTGCATCAGTAGATCTGTTTATCAGAGGATTAACTAGCAGACGTGTTCTTATTTCTTACTATACGATACGATGATAAAGTGGTGAGCTGTGTTATTCTTGATGTAACACTTTCTGATGAGTATTTTATATTTTTCTCTCTAATTTGTCCCATTAAACAACATTTAACAAGAACACAGCTGAAGAATATTGCTCACCGGGTTAAGTGAGTTGCATAGGTCTATTGGGTTCTTGTAATCCGTCTTCAACTCGTCAAACGAGATTATCTGAAATTAATCAAATTGAATATTTAAATGGTTTTAATTAAAATAGATTATAATTATATTCAAATTAGTATTAATACTACATATTAATACTACATATTCAGGCCCTTCACACTTTGTTTCTGTCTAGTTCTAATGTACCGTCACAATAGTGACTTTAATATAACTGTATAGACACATCGCATCACCGGTAAGATCTTTCAGACTAAAAATTGCGAAACTTTCGAGTGACCCCAATAACCAGTCTTTGACTGGAAACACAAACAAATTTGGACCTAGAGGCGACAGATCCATTGACTTAGTAACAAAGAACAAGGGTGATAACCTCCCACACAGTGGGATGGGCTGCGCACATGCTTGCCTTGATCATGCGTCCTAGACTGGCATGTAGGCCTAACGAGTAGTAAAGGAGCAGTATAAGAGCAGTTATATTAGTGCACCCCTGCCTCTCAAGCAGTGGAATGCTGCTCTCGTCCCTTCTCAATGCTATGTTATGTTAGTGCACCCCTGCCTCTCAAGCAGTGGAATGCTGCTCTCGTCCCTTCTCAATGCTATGTTATGTTAGTGCACCCTGCCTCTCAAGCAGTGGAATGCTGCTCTCGTCCCTTCTAAATGCTATGTTATGTTAGTGCACCCCTGCCTCTCAAGCAGTGGAATGCTGCTCTCGTCCCTTCTCAATGCTATGTTATGTTAGTGCACCCTGCCTCTCAAGCAGTGGAATGCTGCTCTCGTCCCTTCTCAATGCTATGTTATGTTAGTGCACCCCTGCCTCTCAAGCAGTGGAATGCTGCTCTCGTCCCTTCTCAATGCTATGTTATGTTAGTGCACCCCTGCCTCTCAAGCAGTGGAATGCTGCTCTCGTCCCTTCTCAATGCTATGTTATGTTAGTGCACCCTGCCTCTCAAGCAGTGGAATGCTGCTCTCGTCCCTTCTCAATGCTATGTTATGTTAGTGCACCCTGCCTCTCAAGCAGTGGAATGCTGCTCTCGTCCCTTCTCAATGCTATGTTATGTTAGTGCACCCCTGCCTCTCAAGCAATGGAATGCTGGTCTCGTCCCTTCTCAATGCTATGTTATGTTAGTGCACCCTGCCTCTCAAGCAGTGGAATGCTGCTCTCGTCCCTTCTCAATGCTATGTTATGTTAGTGCACCCCTGCCTCTCAAGCAGTGGAATGCTGCTCTCGTCCCTTCTCAATGCTATGTTATGTTAGTGCACCCTGCCTCTCAAGCAGTGGAATGCTGCTCTCGTCCCTTCTCAATGCTATGTTATGTTAGTGCACCCCTGCCTCTCAAGCAGTGGAATGCTGCTCTCGTCCCTTCTCAATGCTATGTTATGTTAGTGCACCCTGCCTCTCAAGCAGTGGAATGCTGCTCTCGTCCCTTCTCGAGGCTATGTTATGTTAGTGCACCCTGCCTCTCAAGCAGTGGAATGCTGCTCTCGTCCCTTCTCAAGGCTACAGACATCCCGTTACTTAGGTAATAATTTAATGAATCCTATTACGGAGTTTGTTTCGGAACAGTCTCTAGAGCACTCTGATATTCATATAGTGTGGGTACTGGGTAGGAGCACTCTGATATAGTGTGGGTACTGGGTAGGAGCACTCTGATATAGTGTGGGTACTGGGTAGGAGCACTCTGATATAGTGTGGGTACTGGGTAGGAGCACTCTGATATAGTGTGGGTACTGGGTAGGAGCACTCTGATATAGTGTGGGTACTGGGTAGGAGCACTCTGATATAGTGTGGGTACTGGGTAGTGGGTAGGAGCACTCTGATATAGTGTGGGTACTGGGTAGGAGCACTCTGATAAAGTGTGGGTACTGGGTAAGAGCACTCTGATATAGTGTGGGTACTGGGAAGGAGCACTCTGATATAGTGTGGGTACTGGGTAGGAGCACTCTGATATAGTGTGGGTACTGGGTAGGAGCACTCTGATATAGTGTGGGTACTGGGTAGGAGCACTCTGATATAGTGTGGGTACTGGGAAGGAGCACTCTGATATAGTGTGGGTACTGGGTAGGAGCACTCTGATATAGTGTGGGTACTGGGTAGGATCTCTAGAGCACTCTGATATAGTGTGGGTACTGGGTAGGAGCACTCTGATATAGTGTGGGTACTGGGTAGGAGCACTCTGATATAGTGTGGGTACTGGGTAGGAGCACTCTGATATAGTGTGGGTACTGGGTAGGAGCACTCTGATATAGTGTGGGTACTGGGAAGGAGCACTCTGATATAGTGTGGGTACTGGGTAGGAGCACTCTGATATAGTGTGGGTACTGGGTAGGAGCACTCTGATATAGTGTGGGTACTGGGTAGGATCTCTAGAGCACTCTGATATAGTGTGGGTACTGGGTAGGATCTCTAGAGCACTTTGATATAGTGTGGGTACTGGGTAGGAGCACTCTGATATAGTGTGGGTACTGGGTAGGATCTCTAGAGCACTCTGATATAGTGTGGGTACTGGGTAGGAGCACTCTGATATAGTGTGGGTACTGGGTAGGATCTCTAGAGCACTCTGATTATATAGTGTGGGTACTGGGTAGGAGCACTCTGATATAGTGTGGGTACTGGGTAGGAGCACTCTGATATAGTGTGGGTACTGGGTAGGAGCACTCTGATATAGTGTGGGTACTGGGTAGGATCTCTAGAGCACTCTGATATAGTGTGGGTACTGGGTAGGATCTCTAGAGCACTCTGATATAGTGTGGGTACTGGGTAGGAGCACTCTGATATAGTGTGGGTACTGGGTAGGATCGAGCTGTATCTCCGTCAAGCTGCATCTCTAACCCGTCCAATTACATTCTTTTTACGGGGAGAAGGTGGGTACTGGAAAAGCCATGTTGGCTGGGTAACATGAGATTTCAGGTGACCCCTTTGACCACATGCTATCTTGTGACCAACATGTGCATTGGCTACAGTAACTTAATTTGATATAATTTGTTATCGATTATCATTTTCGTTATTTTTAATATCGAAAGTACTATAAAAAGGTAGATAACATTTGCCTCGTCAAAAATCGGAAATTTCCCAGATAAATGGAGAATGGCGACGATCGGGCTTCTGCAGGTTTACCGCCAAAATTTTTGCAAAGCAGCTGTGGAGTTGTATTATCATTATCATAATTGGCTAATTATCAATTTGCACGTGCTAATTCGTCTAAGTGACATAATTTGTTACAGACATCGCGCTACTATTGTCAAAGGGCTCATTCATACTTCCAACACACAAGTTAATTATAATAATACAATGAATGAGTTATTAGATTCTCTTAACTGACTTAGGGCTGTGCCGTTGATAATAGGCCTCGCCCCAATTAGACTTAGATTAGCGCAAAATTCATTGTATTTCTTGCGGGTCACAATGCCGTCGTAACATCAAAGCACCATTTGCTACTGCTATTAAATGCGCTACTTATCTGTAATATGCAGTTTTTTATAGACATATCATCATTAATAAGTATTCTTAATTGTGAAATAACTGTAAGTGAGATTGTCTCCAATAGTTAATTAGTCAGACTATAGTTTTATATAAGATCATTTTATCTTCTGATCAAGTTACTAATATCTCGATGATATAGCAAAGCAGCTGTTTTTTTTGCAAGAGCAAATTTTTCTATCAGTATCTAGTTAGTTGCTATTCGCTGAGATCGATGGTTATGATCTCGCAACGGTATCACAAAATAAGTGCTGATTTATAATGGGCCATTTTCTCATTTCTGATTGAACTCATACAATAGTATATTGCTAAGAATCGTCACACCATTAGATCATAAAGACCCAAAATAACAGTGCCATGTGACTGTAAATTTGTGCAAGGCACCGCAGTCATAACACTACAAATTCCGTCTCGCAAGTATCACCATCTGGCTTTATGATACTTGGAAAGACGGATTTTGTAGTATCAGATGACTGACCGACAATGGCATAAATTGTGGTGCAAACAGATGGACTGCACTTTTAAATATACTTTTAGGCCAATAGATTTGGTTCACAATAAATTTTGTTACAAAAATTTAGGTTACCACAATCTTAGTCACAAATTTTGCAAATTTTTAGTCTACAACCATTTTAGTCACATTTTTTGACTTTTCGAGACCATTTTCCATTTATTTGATTTTTCCATTATTTAGCTAGTTATTTTCCCCCGATTTCGCACATAAAGTCATACTTTAAAGTTTTACGTCAAGCATGTTGATTAAATGATTTTTCTAGATGCAGATTTTGTCTGATGGGAAAAGGAAGTAAGATAATGTGAAAGCATAAAAGCAGTAGATTATAACTTATGTGTAATAGTCAAAGTAGTTCAGCAGTAGGAATGGTGATATCATTATATTAATTATAAACAAGGTAAGCTCAATAATATTCATGTCATATATGCTCTACTGAAATTTTGGTCTGCTTTCAAATTAGTCACCGAAAAATTGAGTCTAAACAAATTTGGTTTACAACAATATTAGTCAACATTTTGACTAAATATATGATAGACTAAATTTGTCGTTCTTAAGGTAGTCGCTAGTTTCTGTGACAATAAATCAGTCACATAGTGCTGCATACAACACTTTTCATCTCGTTTCTTGGCAACTTTTGCTTAATAGCCCCCGTTTTAGTGTTGTTAAATTAATAAGATATCTTAAATTTAAAAAATAATGCTAAGTACATTAGTACATAATATGCTAAGTATATTACAGGGTGGGCCAAAAGTCAGTACCCATACGTTGGCCTTTATAGCTCAGTCACTGAGTGCCCAATTTAAATACTTCCTTCTGATATGACTTAGTACCACCACTGGTTCGAGGAATTTGTCAACTCGAAAAATATTCGCGTTCATTTTTTTCAAATGGAGGTTCATTTTCACATTTATTTGATAGTTTGGATAGTTGGATCAAGCTTAATGTTATTAAATTGTGTTTGGCCATTCGAATTACGTTTGTCCTGAAAGAATTAAAACTGTAGCTTCTCAGATGACCGAGATATGAAGCATAACGAGTTTATTCATTACGTGTGATCAGGTGATTGGATTACCTAATCACGTGATAAGGTGACCCCGTTAACTACCCCGTTAAACATTATGGGAATTGTTAAGAGTGCCCAATTAAGGTGTCGTGTCACGGTGTCACATAATCACCCAGTCAATTTTGTTAACGAGATACAGAAAATGCTTGATAACTTCGTCATTTCTAATCCGTTTTGCCTCATGTTTTCAGATCATATGTAACATTTGATAATCTACCGTCTCTGAAAAAATTAGGCGTTCAGCATGTTCAGAGAAAACAATATAGGTGTTTTAATATTGAATGGGCGTGGTCTAAAATATTCGAATTTTCAAATTTTGACGACGGAATCCTCGAACCAGTAAGTACAGTATGCAATCTGCAAAGCAACAGCTCTCAAATATAAAACACGGCGGAGCTATTAAGGCCAACGTATGGGTACTGACTTTTGGCCCACCCTGTATAATGTGCATTTGTGATGTTTCATTTAAGGCCTAAGTTGAGAAGACTGGCCACACCCAGAAGCTGAAACTTGGCACAAGTGTTCCTTAGGTTGTTGCAGTTTTTACAGTTTTTTGCAGTTTAAGTTAAAGTTTTACATGTAATTACATGTAAAACTCAATATTTGGCGCGCGATATCTCAAAAATGCAAGGTTAGATTTTGATCCAGTTTTTTCCTTCTTGTTCGTCTCCAGCAGCTCTTATCAAATATGTGAAAACTGGAAAAACGAATTTTACCCCCCCCCCCCTCTGGCTTTAATGTCGTGACGACGCGACTAACAAAGCTAAGGATCAGGTATTGCAAAATTGATGAACACCTGGAACAGAGGATTCTCAGATCAACCTTATTTCAGCATCGCCCTAATCGGTATTTAGGCAACAGAAAATATTTATCGCATCTAATCGAGAAAATGTTTCAATTTGACCGACTTTGATGACTCCGGTGATAAAAAATATAATATGAAATTAAGGTTGCTTTCCTTTAGTCGCTGCTTCTTGCAGACGTTTACAAGCTATTTATGCCGCACTAATGTAAACGGGCCGTCGCCCCTTGTATTTCTCACTGTTCAGAAATTGTATGTAATAATCCCATTTTACTATTTCATTTTGCCATTCTATGTTGTAGATGTTATCATTCTAAAGATATTTTACTGCTGAGGCCAATACGGTAGTTCAGCGTTTACCTGTTGAGTGTTGAATACCTTTCGGTGCAACTTTGCTATGGTTATCAGTTATCTGAGAACCCTACCTGTGTTTAGATATTTCATCCTGTTTTGACTCGTCAGAGAGAAAATAGCTCTCAAAATATAGCTTGTATTTGGCTGGTATAATCTTCACTGGCAACATAAACTTATTAAAGTCTACATTAAAATTTTACCCAAAATTTTGTTACGTTTTGATGAGTATCCTTTGAAGGTTAGGCTGAAGTAAAGAAGATATGAAGAACTTTGTAACTGTGACCCTAGCTATCTTCATTTGCCTGGCAGTCGGGTGAGTCGTCGACTTAATTTTAATTGTATAGACCTTTTGACTGAAACATCAGATCTATATCTGTTTTTGAACTAAACCCCAATTTGTTTGTTTCAGTATTATTAGCTCATGTTTTGCAAAATCAGTAACAACATTTCTACTTCACAAAATGGAGTATTAACCCCGCAATTTTTGACCCTCCCCAACCTCAAATCTTCTACAATATAACAACTTTCTCATCATCCAGCGTGGAGTCAACCGACTCCAACACTGCTGTAGACTTGGCAAGTCTGGCCGATATTGTCTGCAAGTCCAAGAAGGTCCTCTACTACAGAGACGGATACAAGAAGTTCTGTGAACTTTCCAAGAAAATTATTTGCCCGTACGTTGAACTTTAAACTCTAATTCATCCTACATTTTTACATAATATCTATTATTATATGTTATTTTATTTAATAATATCTATTATTATATGTAATTTTATTTAATAATATCTATTATTATATGTTATTTGGGGATATTCTCTTGGCTGGCTCCCCAATACATCGATAACGATTATATTTACTTATGTTTTTATGCACAATGTATTTCGAAAAAAAGCAATTAAATTAACGATCAATTCATTAACACAGAAGAACCGGTAAAACACCGGATCCGGAATCAGTGAGCTGTAAAGCAACAGAGTCTCCACGAATAAGATACCAGATGATCAAGGTTCATAAGGCTGTGTGTCAGTATGAGGGCCGAGATGAAACGGTACGTTACTATTTATAGAATTAATTATTAAGTTACTTACTAATCATCAATTTAGATTATTTTTTGTTGATATTAATGGGCAAGGATATGGATTATTATGCCATAATCTATTCATGATGTTTTTCTGACTGTAGGAAACCTACCTGTGCTTCTCTCAAAATGAATGTAAACAAATCTGTACTTAATTTACTTTACTTTAATATACTCAACCTCACCTCAGACGAAGAAAGTTCAAGCCTTGATGCAGGATGCCGGACAATGCATGTACTATTAGGCAAGTTACAATGTACATAGTTCAGCAACTCCAAAGAAGTGGCCCTACAGTATTTATCAGATTTTTTTTTCATCGTTCTTAATTTTGATTGCCCAGCTGTATTTATTTTCAATTTATTTATTTGAGTGTTAAATTTTCAATTTACGAATTGATCTTTTTGTGCAGTTTATTTCATGATTCATTGAAAATTTATTTGAGGACTATTTAAAAAAATATCCGATGCATTATATGTTAAAAACTTTTATTTGAATATCAACAGATCCTTGTTTGAATTATAACTTTGAGTTGTAATATATCTAACGGTCATAAACAGTCATTGCAGCCCCGCCCACCCAATGTAAAATAAAAGTAGCTACCAGACATTAATCTGAAATACCTGAAAATACCTGGGAAAAAACCTAAAATACTTACGTTCCATATGACAAGAAACATAAGTATAACTGCGATAGGAAGGGAGAGAATGGACAGGACTATTTCCACTGACATGATGCCTATAACAGAGGGAAATCGTTAAGTGTTGTGACTGAGTAGATAGAGCTAGAGGTAACTAATTAATTATTCTAACTAATTAATTATTCTAACTAATTAATTATTCTAACTAATTAATTATTCTAACTAATTAATTATTCTAACTAATTAATTATTCTAACTAATTAATTATTCTAACTAATTAATTATTCTAGCTAATTAATTATTCTAACTAATTAATAATTCTAACTAATTAATTATTCTAACTAATTAATTATTCTAATTTTAAGTTATCAGTGATTAAACGTTGTGTAAACTGTATAGATAAGTACACTAAAATGCGAAGTTGGCAAATTCAGCATACAGGATTTTATTTGAACGTTTTAGTCGACATAATTAGATAAATCTGGAATATGACATGATTCATGAAATCTCTAAGTACGTATATAATAGTTTCAACAATTAAATAAAGCAGTATAAATAAATAAATTATCCAAAAATTAAAAAGTGGTCCTTAAAGCATTGAACGCCATAACCAACGTCATGACGTCATAACCACGTCATAACCAACGCACAGCCATTAAATCGAGTTCGACTGGTCAGCTGATAATAACAGAAAATTTCATCATATCGTCGCAAAAGCAGAGAGGTAGATAATATGAAGTATGAACAGTCATGACTTATAAGTAATATATTATATATATTATATGGGATCTGGAGTCAAAACTCTGGAAATTTCTGCTGCGCCAGGTTTAGGGAATGCTCTGAGAAAGTTCGCTGGTAGCGTTCGAAATGGTAAAACTATCACAATTCATCGGCTTGAGGTGCCAGGTCTAAAGCCTCGAACTTTTCCACTGGGTAGAACGTACATTTCACTGTTCGACCACCAAAGAATCTGTTATGTAGATCAACGACAGCTGAAATAGTGAAACTTTAATTTTCAGTCAGAAATTAGACATTTCACATGAGAGCACTATAATTCAGTCGAATTTAAAAGAATTAATCAATATGAGTGGAATACTAAATCCCATTCTGACACGAGACAAGCATTAAGCCATGTATAGCTTTCTGGTGAGAAAATAGGGCAGAAATATCAAATTCAGCCTCAGGCCACTGGTTACCTTTAACAGCTGACTCAACTCGGTTAAACTGAACAAATATCCTGACAGCCTCTTCAACAGCCACCCCACTAGGAATCTCGTATATCACTACCTGGATAACTTCTCCGTATTTTGAACATTCCTCACGAGTTTCCCCCTCCAAATCATCATCAACTTCCCCAGGTCCCACCTGAAATTACGGAGAAATTGATTAAATTTAGCACAAGCCACAAACTTTAGTTTTATATTAAATATTATGATGATCGCATAAACATAAATCTTTAAAACTAATATTCACCAAAATTCAGAAATTTACCATATTTTTCAGCAAAATAACTTTGCTGGGTTGCTTCAAGGACTTCTTTACTTCTGCAGCCTTTGCTTTCCGCTCTACGGATACAAATTAAGTAGCTAGAGTTATTTATCCATTGTAAATTCTTGAAAAAAACACAGCTTTCAAAAGTTCAAATTTTTGTAGACGACAGACGTGTTCCAATACAAAGCAAGATTTAAATGGGAGAAATCAAATTTCAAAATAGAGAGTTGGGTGCTTACAAACCTTCTTCCTGTTTAGAAACTTCAATCCTAGCCTTGGCTCGCTCCTCAGACTCATTCACAATAACACCCCTTTGTCTACCTGTCTTCTCCACTTGGAGAGCCGAGGCCATACCCTGCTCCTCCTTACCCAAACCTGAGGAGCAGCTCAGAAACTTGTAGTAATGTAGTCGGTCCATGTTGAATCAAAAATGATATTATGAAGTGCTTAATCGTTGATTTCGGTAAACTTTCAAAGTTAAGATCTAATTTTCAGTTCCCGAGAAAAAATAACCGGTTTATTAAGATCAAAGTGACCAAAAGATTCGGATTGCAATTAAACATGTGGCCATGAGGGATTAAATTGTAAATAAACTTTTATTTGAATTCGATAGCGGAACTTTAACTGCAACAGAGGGATAGATTATGGAAGGTGCCACATTACAGTATTTAAATTCAACTAAACCTACCGCATTTTCGCAGCAAAATCGAGGGTGAACAGTTCTAACACTCGTAAATTAAATTCAGACGATGTTTGTAATGGTTTTGCAAACTAACCTTGACCCTCCTTCCACCCATATTTGCTCATTATATTACTGGCTATAGAGCTAACATTCTTCATACTCATCACACGGTTTACCGTGACTCCAGCATTTTCGTTATGCGTCTCTTGCAACAACTTCTTGGGATCAATCTGATGGAAACTGTTTTAAACTCTAAGCTAAAAAGTAAGATAAGTTGTAAAATAAGATAAGTTATATTGTATCAGTTTTGTCTCAGGCTTTCTTTCTGCTGCCTCGTATTCATGCGTTTGTGGATGGTTGACGTACGTCGAACAGGAATTTGCAGTAACATACAATGCTAAAGTTGATACATTTTCGTCTCAATATCTCTGACATTCCAGCTAACTAGATGAAACACGTGCTGTAAAATACGACAAATGAGGCAGTACAGATAGTGGGCTATAAGTGGGGATATAAGGACCATTAGTCTAGACAGATCTCGTCCACATCAAGCACGATCATGTATTAGCTACCCATGCTCCGTAACACATGTACATAAACTGATAAACCACTAACCAGTCCACTAGTTATATGTAAATTGTGGGGTCATTTAAAATATTACTAAATAATGCAAGTTGAGGGTCGTCATTTTAAATTAAGTTCAAAGGGTAACAGTAACAGTAACAGCAACAGTAACAGTAACAGTAACAGTAACAGTAACAGTAACAGTAACAGTAACAGTAACAGTAACAGTAACCATTGCATGCCCCAGACCTTCTGTTCTTTCAATCCTAGAATCCGGATTTTAGGGGATCCCGAAGTAATGTAATGTATATATTTGGACAATGGGACGGGTTTGTAGAGTCACGCGAATCAGCAAGAACAAAAACAAAAACTACAACGACCACGAAAACAGCAGTGGTGAACGATATGTAAAGTAAATGACTACCTCGGGGTGGAGGGCGTTCAGGGTGGTCTTATCCTTCTCGATGAGTGAAGCAGGTGGAGCTATCATCGCCCACCTTTAGCTGTAGTGCTGGGTCCATCATAATCGTTGTCTTTATCTGTGTTTTAATTCAAATTCAAATTGGATAACAGGAATTTGTCTAGTTTGAACGAATACTATTATTATAAATTCACTCTGCTGAAACGATCAATAATCCTCGTAATCAGTCATTACAATTATGTTAGATTTAAAATAATAATAATACTTATTTTGTTAAACATATATTTTGTTTAAATAATAATAAAACGCACCTCCACTAAATCCACCTCCCGGTGCCCGGGCTTCTTTCTTCTTCACATTAGGATCCTCGTAGAAGTCCATGTCATCCTCTATACCCAGTTTATCAGTGTCATCGTACGCAGAAACGAGTGGCTTGGCTCTCTTGTTCTAATGTGTGTGGTTACTGGTTAGGACTCACAAAGTTATAAATTGCGATTCCTTAAAATTAGGAGCATTTCTTAAAAGTCCACAGTGTTTGTACATGTTAAATTGGCGTAAACGATAGTCCAGTTCATGCAGTCTTGTAAATTATAGGGCCCGATGTAATTGCTATGACCAGTTTACTGGTCAACTGGTGTTTCAGTGTCCCTAATTTTGTTTACACTCGGTCACTTGCATTGTCAAGGCATGTAAGGTCATTCGGCGATATTTTCTTTGAAATAAAATTATGTTAGATTTGTGTAACAATTTGAAAGTTTATTGATAAAAAAAGATCGAATATCTAACCTCCTCTTCATATTTCTTCTCTCTTTTCCTCTTCTGAATGAGGGCATTAACCACGCTGTAGTCATTAGGTTTGACAGGGTCGTACTCCTGTGCTATTTCCTTCTTGGAGGCGTCCGTCTCTACAAATATCTCGTCCGGATGGATTGTCGTAGCACTGGACGTCTAAAAAGAATATTCGTGGTAATTAAATATAGGATATGTTTTTGTAGAATCTATAAAACGGCTTCTTGGAAACGAAGGTTTTCTCAAAATTTCGGAATCTTAGCGATAACAAACCATAACTAATTTATTGAAATAGTACATACCTCCTTGACGACCTCTTTGATGGCAGCTGCGGAAGCAGAGGATTTCGTAAGTTTGGGGAGAGCTTTTCTCATCAGTTGCGCGTTCATGAAGTTGAAATTAGCCTTCCCGAGATCTGAATGGGAATCGTTGAGATGAATTTAAAACTTATTAAATGTATTTAAAATGTCTGTACATATAATAAAGAGAGTTTTAATAAAAGACTGTCGCAATATGAACAGGAGCGGTTATTTTTAAAAGGAACAAATTTCGACTAACTTGTCTCGGATTTGGCTATTTCCACATCGATCCCACCGTACAGAGACATTTCTAATATCAATATACCGGCTGGTACAGCAGTGTTACCAGAGTTATCACATTGCTAATCGTGGGTAAAACGTTAAAAGAAAAAGAAACATAAACAAAAAAGGGGAAAATTGTGTCATTTTATTTTTATAGCGCCATTTGAGGCTTTTTTTAAGGGTCCAAAGAGATTCCAGGGTTGTAAAAAATTGTAAAAATATCGATAAATTTAATCAATAGTATTTTGAATTACGTAGCACATTGTTCCGTTACAAAATATCGCAAAATTCACGGAAAAATTTTAAAAACTTCATCCAAAAATGGGTATTTGATATTTCTGATAAATGTAAAGGGTTTGCTTAATTATATCAAAAACAACAATTTACCAATAACTATGTTGAACTAAAAATAATAAGATACCCAACTCCAAGATCAACAAGCCGCAATGTTGACTGGAATGATACGTTTACGTGACGCCATCACTTACTATCACATGACGTCATCCCTCATTATCACGTGACAGTGAATCGTGCTAGAAGTCCCCAGTGGTCACTGGGGAACATGTCGCAGCTTTGCAGCATGGTCTTTCCAACCAGAGAGAAAGAAGTTGGTCTGCACTCCGCTGATTTCCTGAGACCACAAGTTTTATTAAAAATCAGAGATTTTATTAAAAATCAGAGAGATGGCGTCCTTGTACATTCTTGTAATTGTGTTAGGCTCAGTGGTAAAATATGCCGTGAGATTAATCCTGCTGTTGCAATTCATAATTTAGGGTGAAATAAATGTTCTTTGCTAAGATGTTATCAAAACGACAGTCTCGTAAAATTTTTAGGGTAGTAAACGTTATTTTAGGCCTCAAATGCACCTTATCACGAATTGTATTAATAACGGTAAATTACGGTAACGGAAATTATTTTCTTATCATCTGAAACCATCATGCTGGAAGCATGAAGCAATTTGACAATGCAGAAATATTCGGATAAGTTATGATAATTGAATCTAAGCGCAATTAAATGACAACTCGAAAAGTCTGACTTCCGAGCCAAAAGTCATAGTTTTGCATTTTATTTTTAACGGACACTACTGTAAAATCTGTGATTGACTTGATTCCGTAATATGGGACATCCTGGTCGTGCAATGTGTGATAACACCGCTCCCGTACACCTCCATAATCTGCACAACTCAGCTAGGTCATGTGACATTTCCTAATTAGAAGTTCACGTGGCAAAATAATTCTCACGCGACTCTCGGTCACTCGGCTATTCTTTATAATAAAACTGAGTCGTCATTCCGGTCACTATTCTCTTGTCACCTAGAAACGGACGCTTAGCTGTTCGGTTTAACTGTAGTCATAACTTATTAAAACCCTCCTTCGTGTACAATATCGTGCTATTGTAAGAAATCGACCTGAATTGAGTCCTAACTTCCTAAATTTACTCGGTCAAAATAGATAAACTTTGTACAATAATATCATATTGCACGGTGTAATTGTTGTTTATAACTGCTAATTCTGCACATTTATTTATAAATTAAAATGATCAAGAGTACTGTTAACCTCGTACATACTACATTCGTAGCTAAGGAGCATGCAGATGATATTTTCAGTAGCCGTACCACTCCTTCTGGTAGGACTTATTCTACCAAGCCCAGCAACCTGCACCAAAGTACCTGACAGTTCTACCACTGGTTTAAAGTTCGGTGAAACAGCTAACGATTATGTGGTCTTTAAACCCGCTATGGAGCCCCTACAAGAATCGTTCTCCATCTGTGGATGGGTAAAGAAGTTGCGTTCTTCAACAGGCAAATATTGGTTTGCATACGGCTCATCAGCCAGTCCTCATCAGGACATATTGATAGAAGATACAGGATACACCTTTATCTTCAACGCAGGATTGGACATGAGGAGTAAAATAACTGCACCTCTAGGGGAATGGAGACATCTCTGTGTTTCGTGGTCCCTGTCTTCTAGGGCATTCAGGTTCTACTACGAGGGTGAATTAATAGGCACTAAAGAAACCGCATCGGGCAAAAAACTACCAATTGATGGCTACATGGTCCTTGGAAACGAATTTGATAGTTTTGGAGGAGGCTTTGCTGATATTAATGCATTCGGAGGAGAAATGTTTAAAATAAATGTGTTCAGCAAAGAACTGACGGGAGTGGAGATAAAAGAAATGAAGGACGGAGGAATCTGCTCCGAAGTTGAATTGACATATGGCCGAACAAGGTATTTGAAATGGAGTGACTTCCTCCTTGAGGAGAGATCCGGAAACGTTACAGAGATAGATGTCGGGTGTGATAATGAGTTGAGCAGATGGGATATTCTATTCACAAGTCCCTTTCTGAACAAACCGCTGACGCAGGATATGGTAGACAGTCTCCGCTCTGGATGGGATATCTTAGGTAAGTTGTCACATGGCATGATCAATTTACTCTCTACCAATTTAATCTTATGCAAAGTTTATTTAAAGTTCAACCTCATATTTGGTAACTAACCTAACAATATTTCAGAGGACTTCGTCGGGGCTACAGTTACGGAACGATTTATTCGACATTTCAAATTCTATCACGAGGAGGAACATGAGCAATGAGTTGAGCTATGAGTTGAATATGATACCAGGAACAATAATTAGTTAATTTAAATGCATCTTTAAGCCAACAAATTTTTGAAACACGGTGAATCAAAAAGAGATGGGTTTCATTTTGTATATATATTTAAAAATATTTTAGTTGACTATTAGCATCATTAATTACAAAAGTCAAGCGATTGTCTTTCTATTTCTATCTATGTAATGCCTACTTTCATTTTAAAAAGAAATTACCAATTCCAAAAAAAATGAATATTCAATTTATATTATTAGTCATACTGGTAAAACTGAAGAATACACTGAAAATAAGTTAACAGGCCTGGAATCTCTGTATAGATACTTGAAATTACTCGTTATATTATATTGCACATTGCACAATACGGTGGTGTACAATTTAAACTGAAGTCGTTTATTGCAGTAACATGGTTCTACTATTATTTCTCCATGTACTGCCTCGGATAAAGTACAGATTAATGATCCCGTTACTGAACAAAGGTTGACACGGAAAATTATCGATAATCTCTATTTACGTGGCCATTTTAAGCAAGTCATCACTCATCTCAGTAGGATGTATTACAAATTCTTCATACTATTGCGCAGGTGGTGATGATTTGTAAAGTAAAATTGACTAAATAGTCATATATTACAGTTTTCTAGTCTGTACATTGTCTCGCATTGTCTCGCGTACACTATTATTATATTATGATACAGGCCTCACAGATGCTGTATATATCAACGTCACTTATCAATAATTATTTAAAATATTACTTATTTTAAAAGGCAAAAATTAAGTGAAACTGATGTTGTTCAAAGTTTGGTTATTGTCTAGTGTCCACATATCAGCTTCTATTAAGTTTAAACTTAGGATTGAGAACGTATTATATCGTTTGTATCCAGTGGCACCCCAAACACGTTCCTGACATAATCTAAATTATCTTTCTGGCTGATGGCAACATGGAGTAATTAACAAATCAAACACACAGAAAGTGTACCCCAGAGCCGAGAGTATTCGGAGCCCTGCCCAAAAGGAACAGATAAAACTTAATCCTAGTGTTTCCTCTGTATGCACTATGTATTATGCACTATGCACTATGTACTATGCACTATGCACTACCATGATTGCCGTCTTTAGTCTCATAATCCCGTATTTCTCATTCTGAACAATCACTGACTCGGAATATGACCAACCTGAGATATATCCTATCAAATCTGAGTTTGCTCTTGTAGGGAGCTCCAGTATTGCAGTTAGCTGATGTGTCCCACGTGTACCGCGTAGTGTTGTCTCTACCCGTTACTTCCCAAAGGTCCTGTGCGGTGTAACTTTGGTAACCAGTAACCAGGCCATAGTTACACATTTCTCAGGAAATTAGTAATAATTATGCCGGTTATTGAATTTTAAATACACGATTCTTTATGAACAGCTGTGTTTAATCGATCATGCTGTGATATACCCCTGAACTATTATAGGGCCTATTATAGAGTATAGAGCTTCGGTTTAATTCAGTCTTTAAACTTGATTAGAGATCGTTAACAAATTGCCTATCGCTCCAGCTTTGATATCTAATCAAACTTACGTCAAAGTTCTGCACATTCTTTATTCTGTTCATTTCAAAGTCTCTGATGTTCATGTCACCCCCGAATATTGATATTCTTGGCGTACTTTCTCTCGTGATGAACTCCAATACCTGCAGTAGTTTTTACCGGTTTAGAATTGCACTGTGCCATTTATGTACATCTCAATGGTTAGATCGATTGATAACATATCGAAATGCTCATTAGATAACAAATATAAAACGTGCCTCAGTAATTCAATAATTATATCAAGTCTTAGACTGAGCCCAATATGCTTAATTTAATAAGCCGAGTGAATTATTGCCTATTTTTAGAGGCATCTAACTTATAATTATAAAGTTTCTGTCTGTACGTACGTACGACCGCCCATGTGCAAATTTTAAGTTGCATAGCAACGCGGATAGAAATGCGCACGTGCAATGGACATTGGCACGAGATTATTATCGGTTTTGTTGTTATAATATCGTTGTGTTAAGTGCGAGTGACATTTTAATGGGCTATATCTTCGGTTGTGGTTATATTTTTAGATGTGATAAAAAGAGACTATCATTATCAAAGAATACCAGTTAGCTTCCTCCCTGTGATCACGGGTTTTCTAGTATTTTAATATAATAATATACAGTAAACCTACTTCAGATTTAAAGGAGATTAGAATCAGAACAGTTTTTAATATTACATTAATAATCCCCTGTATAGAACTTCTACCGTCGGCTTTTTACTGTCTGAGGCGACAAATATTTGTGCATGATTAAAATAAGAAACATTATCTCAATTTCAACGAGAAAGAGTTCCTAAACAAGATAAAATTTCACATGGCACAGTTCAATTACGAACTAACTTCATGTAGTAAGGTAGTGTGGCACCCAAAATCTAAAGTCTAGCATAACATTTTTCTTCACCTGAATAACAGAGCAGAGTGCTAAAAAGATTGGTTAAATATCGAAGTTTATAACATCATTGTAGTTGTACACTTGGTGACTTGCATAATATTAAGAACCCGCAACGCTTCATTAATTTGGCATTCAGTCGCTTCAACGCTTTTGGTACGAATTTCTGGTAACAGACATTCGTAACCTATCTATTTCCATGAAATTATATTTTTGTTACGTAATTACTATATTTTAATTACACGGTCCATCTCTACTATCTCCGTAATTTAGCTTCTAACAAGAGATATTGGCAGAAATTACAGTGAAGTTTGACATTAAGTTATTTGTTTTAAGGTTTTAAGGAAAGATTAGACTTGGGCTTTGTTTTTAACTATCCCAATGTATATAGAACTTTTAATTTACAAATAATAATAAGGTCCCTCTCTTGACTTCAACAGGTAACAACCTAGCAATTTCTATGAAATTATATTTAAATTATGTAATTATCATTACGTGGTCCCTCTCCCGACTACAGTTACATTATCTAACATCTGCCATCTGCACTTCTAGTGACAAGATAATAATGATGAGTTAGTTGTCGCTCATACCGCCTCATATGTCGATTCTTTTGATCGTGTGTTTCGCAAATTTCAACAGTGGTGCTGTAGGTCAGTCAGGTGAGACACAGCTTAGATTGAATTTGGAGGAGGTCAAATGCTTCCTCTGACAATTGACATGCTTTCATATGCGCACCAATTCGAGTTAAATGCAAAATGAAATGCTGGAGGTTCTATTATAGTTTGAAAAAGTCTAAGTTCAATATTTTCAGCGGAGATCCCAATTGCCCTCAGTGGAGCTGAACAATCTACCACAGAGGGAGCAAACACCGCATCTCTCGCAATTGATGGCAACATTTCCACCAGTTCCCAAACAAACTGCCTCCACGACAACACCATCTGGTTCAAAGTCAACTTCACCCAAATTTACTGTGTTAAAAAGGTTCGTTTGACTCATGTAGCTGATGAAGCAACCCGTCACCTGGTATGGAGAATGCAGGATACCAAATTAACTATCTTAAACAGTAAGACTAGGATGGACTCAAGGGTGGAGACCCTCTGCAGCACACTGAAAATGACTGACAACCAACTTGACTACACAGTGACTTGTATCAGCCTGATATGTGGTGACCAGCTGAAACTGACGGTGAATCACCCTGACGCTGGTTACTCCTACCCGGGCTGTATCCACGTGTCAGAGCTGGAGGTGTTTGCTGTCACGTGTGCGGATGTCACGTGTGCTGATGTCACGTGTGCTGATGGAGCAGCTCTGGTGGGTCATGCTGGGTGTTTTACTTCAGGTAATGTTGTAGTGGGTATTAAAGCTGGGTTTATGATATTTAAAGCTGGGTTTATGATGTTTCAACCGCTAAAAATTGGGATATTTTAGCGGTTGACCTAAATAAATTGATATGCATTCGAAGCATAATATCTATACTTTTGATAATTGATTATGGAATGTTGATTATCAGCAGAATTTGATTTTTGAAGATTAAATATCTCATCTGATGTTTCATCTAATGATTTGCACAACCAGTTTTATCAGGAACGATACTGATATAGGGGGGGGGGGGGGGGGGTTGACATGTCCGCCAATGTCCGCCTATGTCCTGTCCTTTTTGGACATTAACGGACAAATATTATGAGAATTTTTCGCACAAGATTTGGACACAATATTTTCGGCTCATAATGATCATGAACAAATTAAAGTCGTTCCGAGTCATTCTCGATACGTACCTCTGAAGGCAGGGCTCTCGCTTCCGAGCTCGCACTGCAAAGGGGAGGCCTGCCTTCCGGGATCGCATTACAAGATCAGAGGGAACCCTCGAGTCCAAAAATCGTACATCGAAGGGTAGGTCCGGACTTCGAAAATCGAAAAAATATTTTCGGCTAATAATGATCAGGGTAGCATGAATCGTGAACAAAAGAAGTTTCCAGAAAAACCTTGAAAAGATTTTGACTTAGAAAATTTTCGGTCCGAGTCATTCTCGATACGTACCTCTGAAGGCAGGGCTCCCGCTTCCGAGCTCGCACTGCAAAGGGGAGGCATGCCAGGGGGAAGCCTCGAGTCTAAAATTTTGTATCGAGGGGTAGGTGCGGACTTCAAAAAACCGAACAAATATTTTCGGCTAATAATGAACAGGGTAGCATGGAATGTGGAGAAAAGTGGTTTTCAGAAAAATTTTGTGCGGACTTCGAAAATCGAAAAAATATTTTCGGCTAATAATGATCGGGGTATAGTAGCATGAAACGTGAACAAAATTAGTTTCCAGAAAAACTTTGAAAAAATTTTGACTTCCAAAAAAATGTCGGTCCGAGTTATATCCTTCGATTATCGAAGTCCGCACCTACCCCTCGATACACAATTTTGGACTCAAGGCTTCTTCCTGGTAATGCGATCTCGGAAGGCAGGCCTCCCCTTTTCAACACAAGCTCGGAATCGGGAGCTCTCGATACGGGAGGTACGTATCGAGAATGACTCGGACCGAAAATTTTCTAAATCTTTTCAATGTTTTTCTGGAAACTACTTTTGTTCACATTTCATGCTACCCTGTTCATTTATAAGCCGAAAATTTGTTTTTTGATGCCCCCCCCCCCCCCCCCGCTTCCTACACCCTTGACTTGATCCTGAACTTCGCAACTTATTCCCTCTTCTACCAGCATTGTGCTTGTTCATTCGTCACGCCTCTCTGGCTCAACCGAATGAGAAGAGACCTGTTTAAGTAAGTTTATTATTTGTATCACAAAGAAAGGTACAGCTGCCCAGACCAACGACCAGGTGGCAAAACCAACGACACAACAATGCTTTGCTAAAGAGCATTGCAAGCAGAGGGTTCCTGTTTTATTGTGACGAAAGCCATTATGATTATGTCATTAGGAAAACTATGGAGTATGGACAGTGAATTCTTGAAATATTCGTTTTGATTTTATTATTCATGTCGTGCCGTTCTAATTCATACCCACGAGATTCTGCAGGAGGTACTTGGCTCAGGAACTCTTGACTCAGGAGCTCTTGCTTAGCATATTTTGACAATATGCTCAGTGCAGGTGTGGTTTATGTTTAGTCCTAAGTGTAGCTTTTTAAGGGACCTTTACCGATTGTTCACAAAGAAAGGAGTCAAAGCAGTTCGGCGGCGGCGTGCACCACTGCAAAGCAGGTGCCGAGACCAACGACAAAATGGTGCTTTTCTAATGAGCATTGCAGTCAACCTCAGACTTGCTTTAAAACGTTTTCTTTTTTTCTCTTGTGTTGTCTACCTCCTTCCTCCCTCCTCAGTGCTAATAATCTATTAATTCAGAACCATGCTAGACAAAGTATGTAGGTAAACATTTCGCTGCTTGTTTAGTCAGCTCTGAGCTCAGTAGGAGCAACCGGTGAGGAAAAAGATTATTTTATCACAAATTTCAAGCTTATTCATTCGTCACGCCTCTCTGGCTCAACCGACTGATACGGGATATTAAGGTCACGTAACTCCATACTGGACTCTAGACAGTGACTCAGCTATAGACGGTGATTATCACTGTTCCAGAGTCCAGACAGTGGCTGCTTGCCAACAGCCCTGTCAAGCGCAGAACCGCCCCATGTGTTTGTAGACCACGTGATACCGATGTAGCTCATGTATTTCTAGATCTTGTATCCAAGTACAACAGTCCTTGACATTGTTTTGTTTTGAAACCCCACGGTGGAGGTTGGCGTGTGCCGCAATTTATTAATCAATGGTAATTACATGATAAATGAAATTATAGTCACACTAAAATATAATAATGTAAAATAAAATATATTAAAATAAATGCCCTACTAAAAGTACTATATAACTAACGGTCTACAAAACTGGTTGAAGTCGCAATTTGTAAACATGCTAATTACTATTTAATAATAATCGATAAAAAGTTTTGCGCGGCAGATGTAAATTCGGCATTGCATAATGGCAGTGAAATTAAAATGATATGTTGTTGATAAAAGATCATAGTCATTTGTCGCGAGTGATCTTTCTTTACGCGTTGTCGCTTACTAACTCGGTGCTGTAGTCTATTTGCGAGCGCCCTTCTCTTTGAGACTTTCTTAGCCCAGGTATACTATAAAGTAAGAAATTTTGCCAATTTTCATCGTCTCCTGAGCTTTGCAGCTTGAGGAGTTCGCGCTTAGCTGAATTTTTAAAGATTTCAATTGAAAAGGTAGAACTTGGAATAGTTATATCCTTACTTTGTTTTGTAATAGAGAGCATGGGTCCTTTGAAAAAAAGAGTATTTTTAAATGTTGGGCCGTTGTAAGTTGTGAACCAAGAAAGGTTATGTTCGTATGTGGAATTATAGGTGGGAATATCGTGAGGGAAAAGTTCTTTGATGGATTTAGGGAGAAGGCTTGGCATGTTCCTTACTTTGTGTAGTAGAATAAGAGCGTTTTTTACAATGACGCTATGGACTGTTAGGATATTATGCAATCTAAACGCACTTTTTGTGTGCTCCGGGGGATTGCCGTCTTTATATCTATAATTTACATATCCTGACATAACAGCTCTAATTCCCTGCTTTTGCTTGGTGAACAGAGATTCAATGTGACATTTTGAGGCAAATCCCCACACTAAAGAACAGAAATTTAGATGGGATTGGATAAGGCTTTGGAAAAAGTTTAGGCGGGCTTCGTACCTCAAAATACCTTTAAAACAGGATCTATAGGGTGAACCACATAAAATGTGACTTTTTTGAAAAAGTATCACCCTGCCTCACTAGCAAATTTCAACAAAATTTAACAAAATTTAACGAAATATTTAAAAAAATTAACGAAATATAAAAAAATTTAACAAAATTTAACAAAATTTAACAAAATTTAACAAAATTTAACAAAATTTAACAAAATTTAACAAAATTTAACAAAATTTAACAAAACTTTTGTCCGCTATTGCCGCTAATGTCCACTTTTGTCCACCTATGTCCGCCTAAGTCCGCCTATGTCCACCTATGTCCGCCTATGTCCTGTCTTTTCCTGTCCTGTCCAGTCCTTTTTGGATTCTATGAGACAAGCGGACATAGACGGACGTGGCACCCCCCCCCCCCCGATATAGTAATAGTAATAGTAATAGTACTATGTTTACAGTATACTGAAGGGGTATCCTAGGAAGTTTCTTCTAACTTTTAACAGGTACCCATCCTCATTTAACCCTCAATCAAGTTTCCTATCATTCGGCTGAGTCGACCGAGGAGATCGCATAGATCCAATGGATCCTTAGCTACTCCCTAGCCTAGACTAAGTGACAACTTTTTGAATATTCTTTTGTTAAGCGATCGATAAGAGAACAGGACGTAACAGTTTTTAAATGTAAGGATACAATTACAAGACAATTTTCTATTTAATATCAATTTTTCATTTTATTCTAATTTCTAACGCTGATTTTTTGTAGGACTCAACAGGCTGACGTTACGAATTGTAATCGATTTTTTGAAAAAGAAAAGATTTGAAAATATCAATTATAGAAACTTGCCTTATCCATTTGACTGGTCCTCTCCTTGGAGTGATCTTTCATGCTTTCTAAGTGAGAAGTTACAAATTCAAACTTTTTGTTGTGTAACTCACAGACCACCTGGAAAAGTTAAATTAAGTATTATTTCGCTACAATTATTATTCATATTTGGGATTTATTTCGAAAGGACAATAATGAAACTAAAACAACATTTTGAGAAGTAAACCTGAACGAAATGTCTCCCCATTATGGTAGAAGGAAACTTTTTAACAGTTTTATCGAGTATCTTCAGGCTACCAACTTTCCTAAAATTTTGGGTTTAGTTAAGAAACTCAAATAAGGCGCGGACAGAAAAGAAGACTTGCAGCCATTCTTTCTGGCATTAAAGCTGAAGTCTTCTCAGCTATTGAGCTTTTCTCCATCTTAATGTTAATGGCTGAGATAATATTTTCCCAGGCTGCACATGGTAAGCTGGCTTATGCTTCTTTATATTGCAGAATGCAGATCTGTGTCACCCAGGTTCCAGAGCCTGAAGACAAGTAATAATTCCTGTTGAGCGAGATTCCAGGTTAAACCTACTATTTAGCTTGGTAGCTATTGTCCCACCATGAAAGCCACACTTAATAATCATAACTTGGTATGGCGGTTATGTCGAGGATGTCCAGGGTATGTCACACAATCACACAATGGCACATACAATGGCAAAGACAGACAGAGGGCCTAGTTTAGCGCGGTTTACTGAGCTGCTTCATGACACCGCCATGTCATGGTGTCATCCGCCGTTATTTCCAGAACAAGTATTATATAAATCTTTCTCAGGTTATTACGCCAAAAGTTCGTTCAACTTAAAAAAATTCCACTATAAAAAATAACAATGAAAGATAGCGTGTAGACTGCGGATCAGTTCAATCCCATAAAATACGCGCGGCTCCAGGTGCTCTTCATTCAATGAGATATACGAAATTTGTCGGCTGTTTACGATTAGACGATTGTATAGTAATTTATAAATAGAGTTGAAGTGAGAGTTCAAGCTTGTTCACTAGATGCTAAGTTTGATGAGGGCACTCTTTAACACTACATGTATATTTGCTGCATATATGTTATGCATGTATGTTATGCATTTTCTGTTCACTGATGTATGAACACTTACTACCGTAAATTAAAGTTAATTTTGTTAACTATCACGTTATGTCCGGTCACTCAAACGTAATGTCTAGTTCGAACTTCGAGGGCCCACCAGGGCCCAGGCCTTGTCCTGTTCTAAGTACCACAGGATCCCAGTATATGTCCACTTGCAGTTCTGATTGTTAGTTCAAATTGTAGTTCTGCACTCTCATAGTCGCTTCCATTTTCGAGAATTGCTCACTCTCTCCCTCTCCAGTCTCCCCCTCTCGGCTCTCTCCATTTACATGTTCGTTCTCGGTCAAGTAGGACAATCCTTTACCTTCCTGTACTGGGCTATGCCATGGCTGTGTTTTACTGTTTTCCTTTTGTTGAGAAGTTTTACCGACTTGTATTGTACATATATAAAACAGAATAGTTTAACTCGTGACAAGAGAAAACCTTTTGATTGTTCGTTATATTAACCGGTATTATTATATTAACCGGTAGAGAATTGTTTTATCCAAATGTTCGCAATTGATCTTCATAAAAATACTGAAAGATTGTTTAACGTTTAATTAAATTGTACTGTCTAGTGTCTACGGATCTTACGTTAGTCAAATTCTACTTCAGGCTTATTATCATGTATCAGAAGAAGTGCTTCCAATATTACATTGAGTTTAACCATCTTCCTATGAGGAAACAATAGAATCCTGTTCATATGTTTCTTCATCAGTATTCAAAGATTAACTCATTTAGTAGACATTATTGGTGGTTCTTCAGTCAAATTATACGCTGTCGAATTAAGTTTCGTTCGAAAAATATTTTCATAGCAATTTTTCATATAGTTTGCCAATTAGTTAGTTTTTATTGTATCACATTGTTCACCTCTCAGCGTTTGGCACATGCGTATGTTAGGTATCTTACTTAGGTCTGTTACTCATCATAGAATATTCTACAACCTTCTAGAATATTCCACGGCGTGATATCAGCCAGCATAATATAGTAGTTCACTGCGCCAGCTGTAAACCGGTAAACAAAACCAGGTGATTCCATAATAACTTGTTAGGTGTTTACATAATAACTTCTAAGACGTTACGAGACCTTGTAAGACGTTGTAAGACTTTGTAAGACGTTGTAAGACTTTGTAAGACGTTGTAAGACTTTGTAAGACGTTCTGAGATCTTGCTAGACGTTATAAGACTTTGTGAGACTTTAGGGTAATCAACCGTGGGTTGAGTAATTATGGCACTATCCCGTTATAAATATCTGCGCCCTGTCTATTAACTCAGGGTCTAAGTTAGCTGTGACTGGGAGCTCTCGTATCAACCTACTGCGTGACCGACAGACCTGTTTTGTGTCCTTGAACCAGCTCCCTTCTCTAGTGATGAAGTTTTGTTAAAGACATATTGATGTAACCTTCACTTCTACTATTTAAACCTTTTATAAAAGAGTGTATATTAAGTGTTTCAACAAACTACATGAAGTTATGGAACATACTCTCAAAATAAGTCTGACAACGCAGACTTAACACGTATGAACAGGGGCTGAAGGGGAGTTCTACCAATTGTAATAACATTGAAAATGTCTGATTCTAAATTATCTATCTGTTTATAAGGAAACCATCAATGAATGACAAATGATTATAGAGTAACTCAATTTATTGATGAGCTATCTTTTCTTGCTTGCTCAAACACTTCTGTTCCCGGTGATACTTACCTCAGGCGAATGTGAGTTAATTAGTTTCATATCGTTTACAATTATTTGAACTATTTTAGAAAACGTAACTAGTACCTATATTGCTATAGTATAGGGTCTTGAATTAGAATATAAACTGTCGGCTCCCAAAATTGGCCAAGCTAATCAGAGGAGAGTCAGTTTTGAACATGATCTGAGTAATGAGTATATTCATGATCTGAGTAATGAGTATATTCAAGATTTGAATAATGAGTATATTCATGATGCTAACACCTGTTTCAGATACGTGCAGCATCAAAGAAAGAAGCGGTTTCTTAAAGAACGTTTGTTATAAAGATGACAAAGAATTTTACAAGTGCGCTGCATCTCAAGAAATCTACTCGGTCGAAGGAGATGGTTTGGAATTGAGCACAGTTTGCCCCAATGATCCCCATTTTTACGCGGTTTGCGGAACAGAAGCACAGGGAAGGATGACAAACGATCAGATTCTTTGTGGAAACTACATACGTTTGTCAGCAGCGAGATCGTGATAACTCAAACTTTTTCTTTACCGCGTACAAGTTTCTCATACTTACCCCCTGCAATTAGAGAAAAATGTGAAAATCCAATTCCGTTAGTTGACTCGTACTGCTCTGCGGATACTAGAAACTGTGATAATGTGTGCGACATTTATGATATCGAGGGGGACTGTACTGATGAGGCTGAGTGTAATGGATTTAAATACGGGCTAACTTGTCAGAGTATGTTTGGATCAGATCAATACGTACATCCGGCGGAGATATGCGATGGCGTCCCATTTTGTCAATCTGGAGGAGACGAACAAAACTGTGAGGTGACAGAATACACTGAATACTCATGTGTCCGTCGTCAATATATCGACAATGAAAAGGAAGTTCCCATTTTCAACCATACCAGGTGTAGCGCTATGACGTACGATGATAATGGTGTCAGCCATCCTTACTGTCTCAACTTTATGGAACAAACAAACTGCTCAGATCCCACGAGGATTGGAGGGTATTGTGAGATAAATGGGTACCCTTCAACTGTATCCACCTTCGTTAGCTCAGCATGTGAAAACGGTGTTGAAACCAGACTTTGTGACGATTTATTTGAGATGGAATGTGTTCAAGCGTCAACCATTTGTTCTGTGCAGAAACACAAAATGTGTGATCAAAACCCTGATTGTGGGGACAAAAGCGACGAAACGAACATCATTTGTGATTTGATGACCCAAAAAACGTGTAAGCGTAGGTTTGGAAGAACAACCAAAGAATTGCCAATACCCCTATCTTGGCTGAATGACGGGATAAGAGACTGCATTGATGAACAAGACGAAACTGAAACTTGGCCAACTTGTGGAGAGGGGAAAACCAAACGATTGTTATCGGAAAATAGCAGCTGTGAAAATGTGTACTTGTGTCAGCTCCAGAGTCCTGGGTATGCTGAACTGAACCAACTCTGTGATGGACGCGAAACTTGTGGGAACGAGAACAAAGTGTGCTCAAGTACGAGATCTTTTAAAGACAAGATAGAAACGAAATCTCTCACCAAAAAGAACGGTCGACAAATGGTAGCATCACTATGTCTTGATGGATTGGTTAGTCTAAGTCATCTTACCAACATTAAATGTGAACAAAAGCTTTTCGCTTTCACAAACGACGAAATACTAGGCGAAACGAAAACATACGTTACATTACCCGATAAAGTACAAGACTGCGGCCATATGTATGGAGAAAACTATGTGTACATGAGCTGTGCAGAAAAGTGCCGGGCGTCCCAGTGCCCCCTTAAAACTGTTCCGAGATATAAATCATGTCCGAGTCAACACCCTCAAAGAATTGGAACCTTTGTGAACAATGAATACCTAACATTTCTCACAAGAGCAAATGGGGGCTTCACTAACAAATATTTCGTCTGCTCCAATAAAATTCGATGCATTGACTATAAGGACGTTTGCAACCTCGTGGATGATTGTGGGGATGGTTCTGACGAAGAAATGTGTATAAACCATTTTCAATGTAGCAACAACAACTCTCGAGTCTACATACCCCACTCGAAAGTATGTGACGGGAAATTTGACTGTCTGGATTTATCTGACGAATGCAACTCAGGATGTTCAAAATTCATTCTAGAAAACGTTGCATTAAAAGGATTTTCTATAGTAATTGGAGGTTCGGCAATACTAGCCAACACTCTCACCCTCTTCAACAACTTTCGCACAATCACGGATTGTAGAACTTGGACGGCTCTTCTAAATAAGTGCCTCGTGTCCTCAATAGCTGCAGGAGACTTTTTGATTGGTTCCTATCTCTTGTCAGTGTCCGTATACGATGGCATCATCTATGGGAAGACCTTTTGCCAGGAACAAAATAAGTGGTTGACAAGTATTGGCTGTTCTGCGTTAGGTGTAATCAGTACGGTTGGTTCTCAACTTTCCCTTTTCTCCATGGTAGCACTTAGTTTCATGAGGATCTACGGAATCATTACTTCCATGAGGATCCCCGGAGAGGTTACAACAATAAGGTCGCTTCAAATTGCAGCAGGAATTGCACTGATAACAGCAGCATCAGTAGCTGTAGCAGTGATTCCCATAGCTGACAGCTTCCAGGATTTCTTTGTAAATGGGTTTAAATACCCTGAGCAGCTGAAATTATTTATCGGGCTAACCAGTAAACCAGCAGCAATGAATGCTGTTGAAGGATATTACGGAAGGATGAAGGACGGAAGGCTGAGCTGGAAGATGGCAAATAAAATGGTTGATGAAATGTTTTCTCATGATACGGGCACAGTTGAAGATTACACAGCAGGAAAAGTTAGGCTAGGGTTCTACGGGAATGACGGAGTTTGCCTCTTCAAATACTTCGTCCAACCCACTGACCCTCAACGGGACTTTGTCTGGGGCATACTTGCATTGAATTTCGTTTGCTTTATACTCATTTCGATAAGTTACGTAGCAATAGGATTCTTGTCAAGCAGATCGTCCCGTAAAATCACTCAAGGCAACAAGCAAATCCAAAAAAGAAACGCTAGGACGAACCGAAAGATAGCTATTATCATCGCGACCGATTTCTTTTGTTGGATCCCTTTCATAGTCATATGTGGACTTCACTCTCTTGAAGTAGTTGATGCTACAAGTTGGTATGCTCTCATCTCCATTATCATCCTCCCGATCAATTCAATCATCAATCCTCTTCTCTACGACGATACGGTGACTAAGCACTTGGGGAGACCATTGAGAAGTACAGGTTCTTTGAAGAACTGGACAATTTATGTTCGGAAAATGGGGAACAATTTACTGAACAAGTGTCGAAAATTTAATCCCTCAAGAGAACATGTAACTGAGTGTCGAAAACTCTCTTCCTTATCATACATATATAAATAAGATGTGGGGTTTTCTCAGTGTCGTTGTTACAGTTTCTAAGAAACCATTACATCGGAAACGGCAAGTTAAATCACCCTAAGAAGGGATGAGCGGTACAACTCTTATCAAACAGAGATAGTCCTTCGTTATCCCCAGAAGTTCTCATTCTTGCGCTAATTACGAACAGTTATCAGTTTTGACTTCTGAGATGAAACATTGAGATGATCTTAATCTATAATGTTTCGCATTGACTGAATTTTTGATGCTTTTTAAAATTGCGCGTATGTCCTATATTATATAAGATAACACAGAAAGTGCATATTAAATTATGTGGATATGTTATAAGAGGAAATTATACATGAGGATATCTTATGCTGATAAATTGTGTGGTTATACCTATAACGTACAGATTAAAAAATGTATGTATTAATTTGGCTAACTAAACTTTTCGTATGAATTTGAAGACTAGACTACGTCAGTTCTGGCAGATTTCAACGGTTGACAACCATTGACCAATCAGCTCGCAGGAATGGCAGCCATTGACCAATCAGGTCGCAGGAATGACAACCAAGCTACTTTCACTCCCTGCACTCTGATAAAAATATGAGCCTAGATCCGGATCCAACCTTTGATAAATCCAGCCCAGCTACCATTTTAATAAACACAGTTTACAAATAATGAAAACAATAAGCAGATCTAACAAATAAGTGAGTAAATTACTGAAACTGACTAGGAAACCTGGTGATAAGTAGAGCGTTGAAGTAGGGTGAAGATCTATCTCCAAAGGTCAGGTCGTAGGATCGTCCTAGTGAGGATCTGAGACGCTCAACTTGCTCAGTTACCACCTCTTGTAGCATCACCAAAAGGGATGAAGAATTAATTAATATAACTTTATTAACCAACTGTACAGGCCCGTAACACAAACAGTATGAACTAACATAATGTCAGTATCCTAATTAATGAACAAGGCAAATTATACCACGCCTTGATTGTATGAGCTATTTATAGCTCATGGTATGTCTAGAGTGAGCTAACTTGACAAAACCCTATGAAATTGGACCGGAATGTAAAAGTAAACGATTGTAACTCACAACATGTGGATTAATAGTTTTTATCTCTGAAATAACAGCACTGAACCTCTCTGAAATACCTCTCTCACACAAACCATCCACATTCCATGATAACAGAGTTAGTTCCTGAAATTAACAATTAAATAAATAAACAATAAATGTTAAAACGTTTATTTACAAAAAGGTTACACTTATTTACACATTCACTCCTTATACATACACGGTAAGTTGGTCGCACCAGATATACCAAATTTCTTCAAATTGACATAGAAAAGAAAAGAACCTATCCCACCTAAAAACTGCACCAATAATTAAAATCACACCTACCCATGGTCCGCGAGTAACCTCAGGCGGCGGAGAGTGATCGGTGATCTTTATATCTGCAACGGACGGTTCTGCAGGCCTTTTTCTCTGCAAAAAGTTTCGTATTTGTAAAATCATCATGGAGAAGGGTCGACTACAAAAGGAAGGAATTTAGCTAAAAACTTAAAAATTCAGCCCAAAAGACTTGTTAACCAACATCTTATGAAAATCATTATGGTCACCTAATGTTTCTGTCAAAATATAGCTCTTACCTTTTTGAGTTGCCTTTCAATAATATCAACTGCCGTTTGCTCGTCATTTCCAGCCAGTCTTAAAGCTGCCCTGGCTCGTTCAACTGAAACATCAAGTTTCTTGGAGATTCTGCCGGCTGAACCCTCTATACCACCACCATCATTTTCAGTAGCGTTATCAATCATCTTCTCACCAGATTCATCGTCAGATATTTCAATGGTTTCTTGTCCCGGAGTAGTTTCCGTCTCTTCAATTGAATATGATGTTCTGGCATCCGCTGCATCGATGAGTCGTCTTACCTCTTGATCTGTAGTCGGCGGAGGTTCCTATAAGTTAATCATACGTCACTTGTTTCTGAATTAGTGCTGAACTAGGAATTATTGAACTATCTAGTTCGACACGTCATGGTGATAACAGGAAAAGAACACCAAGGAGCCTAAAACCTACGTTTTGAATGCTAGGAAGTACATCAAGAGCGTCAGATATGTCACCACCAGACCGTGTCAGAGCAATCTGAGCATGTCCCACTGAGCAACCGGTCATTTCCACCAGCCAGTTTACTGCGTCCTCTTTGGTTCGGACCAGGTTAACTTCTTCTATATCATCTGGAACGTCCATATCTACAGGGTTAAATAATGAACGAAAGTTATGAGCTACATCAATAATCGTTTATATTCAAAGATTTTATCAATATTTCCTGTCCATGTCCGTGCAATGTTCATCAACGAAAATTGGCAGTTTGGTTCTGCATATCATTTCAGTAATAAAAAACATGAATAACAAACAAGAATGATGAGGTAAGTGGTTAACACTGATTAAAAGGAGGATGAAATTGCACCGAATTAAAAGTGTTAAAAATTTAAAAGAATATAAAAATACACCGGCCTGAAGCTATTTCATTGAAATTAATTATCTTCTGAGAGGAAAACTGCCACAAAACTTATAAAATGAACATCCCTATCATCTGTTAAGGAAGATAAAACATCTCTGATAATCTCAATTTCCTTCGATATGAAGTTGGTCCCAGCGATATCATTCGAATCAACAGAACTCTCTACGGGAATAAGTATTTTTGACATCGGATACTTAGCGATCAGGGTATCGTTTGTGATATACACAAAACAACATCGTCTAGAGAAAGCAAGACGGTAGGGGTTACAACTCTCCTCGCAAACTAGTCGAATGGAATTCGTGGAAAAATCCCTTTCTTGCAAGTCCCGTATTGGTACTCGGAATTCTAAGTCCTCAAAGTTCACGTAACTCTCTCTTGATTCATAGACTTTAGGGAATTTTTCTAGAGTTTTACGTCTTGGAGCTCCGCCCATTTGACGAGAAAAGAAATATGTTTGAGTTCCTAACACCATTCGATAAAGATTTGTAGAATCAACTTTATGAACGTCTGAAAATTTCAATATGACATCGTTGATGAAAGATTGTGGAAGATTGACCAAGCGAGATTTGATATGATGGTTTCAAACTTTCTCTTGCGATGCTGCAGATCGTGCTCTAGCCACGAAAAGGCTAATTGTGCAACATACATTTCTGAAGGAGGCTGCAGATGATCTAATAGCACAACTAACAGATCAATGTCTATGTTTAACCATCCAGGGGCTATATTATTGTGGTCGATCAGCTTGCAGTAATCAAGCGATCGAAGTTTCGCAATGGTTGTCTCCGTGATTCTATCTTCTTTTAACGCCATCAAAAATTTGAAATGATCAATAAAGTTTTTCTCGTTCAAAAAGCGCTCCAGAAACTCACAGCACTCTGATATGACCCAAGAAACCTCATATTTGCAGGCAAGTTTAAGGGTTACACGATAAGTTTCAGAGTTCACAGAGATTTCCCCGGTGTAAAATGATCTGAAAAAATCACTGAGAATATCGTCGTATCCGTAATAATCTGTTAAAACCAAAACTGAAGTTTCATCATTCTCATCATCATCATTATCATCATCAGGAACGTGATAATCTTCATCAACCCCGTCCACTTCCTCCCCGGCTAGGTACCTCTTTCTTCTCTCAACAATAAGCGCATTTATGTCTCTCTCACTGCTCATAAAGTACTCCTCCAAGACTGGACTTTGAGCACTGAGAATAGTTTTACTACACTCGAGGATTTGCTCCGATAACACCAAGGTACACCGTCCTGATAGGACGTTGAAAAAGCGAGGGACTGATGAAGTTAGAGACTGCAACCATTCTTCGTGGGGCATTGCTGGGTGAGAGTAGGGTTTATTAATACATTAATTGATTGTAGTTTGTTTATTAATTGGCGTTGAAATGTTAACATAACAATGCAACCGTTAGAACGGAGTTTGTAAGCTTCATCAGTTAAAGATCATTGCTTAGCTTTTAAACCATGAAATAAAAGAGATCTGAAGTGATGACAGATGCAAAACAAAGGGACGTAAAAATAAAACATTTAAGATTATACATTTCCAATCTTACACATTAACTTAACAAGATGTCATCGAAATCAAACTTTAACACGACAAAATAACGATCAATGTAAAAGGTATCACGATTATTTGCGGATGGAATGCGATAAATGCAGGAAAACGAGCAAGACATAAACCAATGACCCGCATTGGAGCTAACGCGTACGATGTATACAAGGTGGTTCAGAATGAACAACCTGTAATAGTTATGAGTTGAGGCGATTGTGTGATCTCTGTGTGATCGCTGTACCGATATTAGTACCCCCTCAATGATGTGGATCTTGACATGAAATTGATTTTGGGCCTGCCACCATGTCGTTTTACTTTCAGGTGGAACATAAATTGGATGATCAAGACGTGTTCAAGTTATAATCATGCTGGAGACAAATTAGTCATAAGTGAAATCATCCTAATGCGCAAAATTAACCAATAATTTAGTATTTAGTAACTAGATGGCCGGCGGTTTCTTTTAATCTCAAAAAAGTAGTTTATTAGTGATCAAAAATTAAGATTACCAATTCAGTAAACCCCAGAACCAAGAATGAAGAATCTGTTCTCTTCTCGGCGGATCCACTTTAATAATTTATCAATGTTATTCAACGCAACAGGCCTCGTCACAAACGGCGAAAACGTGCAATAAATCTCCGAATTAGACATCAGGTACCCAACAACGGACTCCCGGGCGTCAATGTCGTAGTAAATCGATATTTTGTGATCACTGTGATGAAGCTTGTCATGGACCTGACAGTATTTAGCATGTAAAAGTCTCCGGTCCTCGTCCGAATTGTACGGAGCCGTGTACTCGGGACTCACCAGCTGTTGGGAGCTCCGACTCTTGTAGATAAAGTGATGGAGGTGGGGTATCTTGGTGTCCGAGCAGACGAACGGACTGACTAGCACAGCCTCCAACTTTTCCATTGTCTTCTGAGCGACCATCTGATCTACAATCCTCTGCTTACACTCTATCATGGTTATGTGTTGCTCCCGTTCGTTTGTTATAAGAACCAGGCTCACGTTCGTAGTTTCAGAGATGTAGGAGTCGTGAATGTAAAGGTAGCCTCCATCGTTAAAGTCGGGGAGGCAGCAAGGTGCCCATTTCTCACCATGACCTCGAGTGCTGCCTGTCTGCACGTAGTTCATCAAGAGGTGCAGATCTTGTGGTGTAACCGCGTATTGTTTGGGCCGGACGATGGAGATTATCTGTCGTTCGTAGATCACAATCGCAAAAACGAGCTCCGGACATCGGTTACTGAGAAGGATGGCGGTCACTTCATTCCGCAATGATTGTGGCATGGGGAGACACCGGATTGATTCTAACAAAAAGCTGTGTTCTTCCTCAACGAACTGAATGATCCCGTTGAAGAACTTGGGAAGTCCGGTAAGCTGACGCCTCAGATCATAGTTGTGTCTGTTCTTAAACAGCCTTGCCATATGGGACTGAGTCAGAAAAAAGACAGCCTGATGGTGAACGTATTTCAACTGTCGACACAGCTGCTCCTCACTCTCGTTCAAATGGGCGATAGCAACCATGATGAGCGGGGGATGACACCGGAATACAAACAAACGATTTGAGGTCCTGATACAGCTGAGATCATCAGAGTTGTCCTGGACACAGCTGAGCAGAGCTTGCATCACCCCGTACAGCCCCACTATGTTCTCTTCTTTGCCGTGCCTGCTGTAGATTGGTTTCCCTGCCTCGCTGAATATGAACACGTGTTTTTGGTCCGTGTACCATTCCGCAGGGTATTCCTGTAAATATTGAGGTTTAGTTTGGCAATCAGACTTTAAGAGTCATTTAAGGTGACCAATGACCGTTGTATAAGCATCGAATACCTTTCCTAAGTTGAAATTGATATGAAATAGAAGTCGTACTACAAATTTTATGCTGCTATTGGTAATAGTTGTAATACCTGTGCACCAAAATCCTCAGATTCATCAGTAGAGTCATCAGGTGGGTGTGGAGCTTCAGACACAGTCTCACTTCCTTCGTCGTCACTCACTGTGTCACCTGATAAGTTTAAATAGGGGATTACATCAGATAACATATCGAATTTCCAATTATTGTCTTCTAGATATTTTGCTGATAAGGACGGTTTTTACTTAAGGCAGTGTAATATGTGTCTATTTGACCAGTGTTTTTAACAGCAAGTATGGCGTGACAAAGATGACTGACGACTGTAGCAAATATATAAAATTGAAAGTAGAGGGCGCACACGGAGTTGAACCATGGACCTATCGATCTGCAGTCGATTGCTCTACCACTGAGCTATACACCCATATGGTGCACCCAATCCTGTGCAATAAAAGCAAGATGTATAAAACCATGAGGTGTCTAACACTGACTCAGATGCTCAGTTGGTTAATCCATTATTCCGCCTGTCTACTAGCCCTGAGGAAGCGAGTTCGAATCCGGGCTGGGTCAATATCTCGGTGTTGAAAGGCAGCCGTCGCTTATCCAACCATGATGTGAATATTAAAAGCTCTCATTACAGCTTCGGAATAAAACGAGTGTATATAATGCTTGAAGTAGCGTCCGGACTGTGCTTCAGTGAAATCTGTACCGTAGCCTAAAAGGGTCGTAGCCGGTAGCCGTACTGCACAATAAAAGGTAATCGGCACCTCACTAGCTTGCTAGCCTCATCCCATTCATAAATATAACAAATAAGACCTTATTGTAGCAAATACATAAAATCAAAAGTAGAGGGCGCACACGGAGTTGAACCATGGACCTATCGATCTGCAGTCGATTGCTCTACCACTGAGCTATACACCCATATGGTGCACCACAATCCTGTGCAATAAAAACCTCGAAGTACATGCTAGCATGCATGTATAAACTAACTAAAGAGTAAAGAGTTATTTGACACTAGTTAAACAGAATGGCAGCTGTGTCCGTAAACTGAGTCTAATGAGGCTAAATTGCAATTTCAATGTGGCAAACACATTTGCGTGCTTTCTTGACATCTGTTCAATGGGTAGTTATAGTGACCGTCGGGATAAAAGTTTTTTGTCTATAATTAAAATATTCACAATCCATATCATTTTACTTGCATGAAAATAATCCCTCAAGTTGCACTCTAAATTTGAACACAACAAGTTACTTGTTGTACTATAACAATAGACATAAAACAATCAGGTAATAACACATAATTCACCTCAAAGAGTGTATTACCTGGGGTAACAAGTAGAAGATCGCACCCTGAACTAGTCCTCACCACCGGTTCCAGAGACGCACCAGGCTCCGGTTCAGAGCCCACAGAACCTCCAGATCCACCAACAGAACCACCAGATCCAGTCCCAGAAAGGACATATTCCTCTTTTGGAACTCCAGTCTCGGCTGTAAACTCGGATGACAACTCGGAGGAGACCTCAGGGGAGAACTCCTTTTGGTGTACTGAGGGGGATTCCATGATCACGTCATCATTGTCCTCAACGACCACCTTTACGTCGTCCACAGACGTTGAACTGCCGTTTAAAGAGCTGGATTTTGTAAGGTTGCCAGTAACCTCCAGGTTCAATTTCGCTGGGACCCCATTCTGTAGAGGATCTTTTTCGCCGTCCTCACTTCTGCCCAGATCAATACTTGATGAAGGACTCCGCGGGTTTTTGACATAGTCTGATGCGTTGCTTCGAGGCCGTGTAAGAAACGGGTCATTAGGTTTGGATTCAGCGCATAGCCGGGTTCTTGGCTGAGGTTCTATCTCCTCATCTTGGACTGAGATTGTTGGTTGGCTCTCTGTCACCTCTTCATTGATGTTAGAGGTTGACGATGATGGCTGAGGTTCAATCACCGCTTCTTTGAGGGCGGCGGTGGGTGTTGGTATTATTCCGTTAGCAGCACTGCTCAGTAACGTGACAGCTTCATCACCCATTCATTGAACTAAAGATATTAAGTACGTTAGAATAATATACCAATGTTAGGATTTCAGCGAATAAAGTTGAAATCGTAATAAATATTTATAGAATAGTTGTAATGGAGGGTCACTGATTGGTTAATTTTAGATAAAATAGTGATCGTTGTTTGACACCTTAGAATTTTCTGTCCCAAATTGTTATTTAGCCAGATATTATCTTTCGGTTCCGATTATATAATTAAAATCAGGGGACATGAAAAACTTGAACTTTGGCTCTGTCAGTCATAAGATAAGTTCAATTGATTGGAAAATTTAGTTCCAGAGCAAGAAACAATATCATCAAAATATTTAAAAGTTTCAGAGACGAGAAAAACACACAATTCAATTCAAGAAGTTTGGTAATTGTCATCAAATAAAAGAGATCCGATTGAGGATTTTCTCCTGAATCGTCATTAAGATTACCAATCAATGTCACAAACAGTCTGCTCACCATCAGTGACAAATTATTCTAGAAAGAAATTAAAAATGTAAAATTTAAATAAACACAAAAATGAAAGGTAAAAAGTGATGATTTTAAAATAAATACCTCCCAATAAATTAATTTGTCATAACCAATAGTTTATGATGAAATTCATCTGAATTTAATTATCTGCTCAACAAAAATGAGGAATATTTATCAAAAATCACTTAAATTAGTAAGTCACCTCAATGATATTAGGATTCTCAGAAATACGTGATGTTTTAGTACCTGGCACAACATCCCCCACAATCCAAGCCTTACCACCATCACTCTTCACCTCCTCTACAAACTTCTCCGCAGACTCACCACTCAGACACACCAACAGACCACCCGAAGTCTCGGAGGACAGGCCTTGTAACAGCTTGAAGTTCCTACCACCCTTTTCGATCAGCTGTTTGCAAACCTCCGTGAAGCGAGCGAATATGGGAAGAGTGTGGATGGAGAAGTCGACATCAGCAGTTTGGAACTCTGCCAGGTTTCTGGAGTGTCCGAGGATGCCGAATCCTGTGACATCAGTTGCGGCGTGAGCACCATACTTGTGCATGAGTCGTGCAGCTGCTAAGTTTAGTGTTGTCATGGAGATTGTTGCGTCTTCAAATCCTTTTATCACATCCTCCTCTGAAATAAGATCCTTGGCTATGTTCCAAGATGGAGTTCCCAGATTCATCCACTGGTGCAGATTAACAGCAACTTGAGTTCCAAGTGGTTTCGTCAGTACAATCTTATCACCAGCAACAGCTTGATTTGGCATGATAATCTCGTCCTTAGTGCACACAGAAGTAGCAACACCACCAATAATCATCCAGGGGTTTACAACAGTTTGACCACCGTTAATACTCACTCCAGCTTCCTTAGCAAGATCTCTAAAACCCTCCAAAATCATGGGAATAACAACCTTTCGTTGTTCATTTGACAACTCTTTAGCTATCCCCAACAACAGTAACATGTTATCAACCTCCGTCACACCCATCGCATACAAATCACTCAACACATTGGCACACGCCACCTTTCCCATTTGATATGGATCGTTTATGAGCGGGTAGAAAAAGTCAGTGGTCTCAACGAGAGAGATACCAGGGTGCCGAGTAGGCAGGACACAGGAGTCCAGACCAATACCGATGGAGGAGTTGTCGCCGGAGAGGAGAGGAGAGGAGGGTGCAAGTGATTGCAGGTAGAGGAGCAGCTCTGCCTGCGGTACCTGGGGGAGGGAGGCGGTGGTTTTAAACATGGGAGGAGAGAGATGTTATGTTAGCTGATTAAGTGATTACTCAGACTTTAGTTTTTATCTGGAATTGTTGGAGTTACAAGGTTTAAGTATTTCGAACTCAGTTTGTGATATTCTGACACTCAGTAGGGAGCACGATCTAAGGATGATGTAACATAAATCCATACTATGTAGTTATGGAGAATTAGAGAACACAATCAATCGCGACTAATTGAGCAAATGACTAACTTCATCAATAATCAGCGAGTTCAGTACTATTCTGCAGAAATACACAAACGAGCACAGTAACAAATCTTAAAAGGAATACCTTGCAGCCTCATCCTTTCATCTTAGTAAAGTCGGTGAGCCGGAACTCTTTGTCAAGACCATGGTCCTCTGGCCTGAACGGGGGCCTTTCTGCCATGCTGGAAAACAAGGGGGCGGCTACAATATCCCTGCTCAGTTTACGCAAAGCAGGGATATTGTTAGCAAGACGGGACATCATTCTGATGTGCTGGTTACTGTTAAAGATCGAGATTAATTTAACAAGATTGACGTACTTGAAAAACTTTTTTTTTTTAAACCCAAATTAACAATCCGGCCAAACTTTGGAGTAAAACAAGTATCATAATCTCTTCTCACAGTAAACTAAAAATGAAGCAATACATGATGAGTAAATGAACACATTAGTCATAACATGAAGACTTCGTTCTAACTTGTACTGAAAAGCATGGATATATCACAATTGTACTATCTGCCTTTATGTTACAATTAATTAGCTAATTTATGCTAATTTATGCATATTTACTTATTAGTCATGAGAATGCAAATAGGGCAGTTCAGGTTAATCATTAATGATGGCAGTAAATTGCAGATTGCATTTGCAGTATATAATCCAATCTGCGATGTCACAACTCTTTCCGTCCCACTCGTTTGAACTCTCGACCTGGTCGCTGTCTTTGTTCCAAAGGCCTACCGACGGTTGCGCCCCCTTAAATGGTAACTTGATCTAGATTGGGTGAGAAGGGGCACAACTGTCCAGCAGCCGTTCCAAGAGCTTTCTGTCTGTGCTTAAGGTTTCCAACGCTTCTCGTAGGGTTCATATGATTATTCTGAACGACAACCAAAGTAAAACAGGAGCTGCACACTCACTAAAACTTCACAATAATGATACATTTTATCACTTATAATTAGTGGCAAACACTCAACTTCAAGCCCACTTTAGACATCTGGTCTCAGAATGAGTTTGTCCACATTTTAAGCAGCAATATTTAGTCCCGCATACTATGCACTTGTAACAGGCCCGGTACCCACATACCGAGCAGAAGTTTCTGGCGGGAATTCGGGAAACGGGAACTTGGGCGGAGTTGTACTGTGAGACGTCCGAACTGTTCACTGGGTCTTCTAGTAACGCCTGAGAGACAAGAATGATGAGTGTGGAATGACCCTCCCATTAAATTATTCAAGGCTTACATTTATGAACCAAATATATCATATTTGTAAGGAATTTATGCTGAAATGATACATTATTCAATGGTTCAATATAGTATATAATATTCAGCTGTATATGTAAACTTTTACCTGAAATGATTTTGGGAATCTCCTTTTCGTTGTCTTCTTCCTCTTTTTAGTAACAGGTTTCTCTTCAAAAGCGGGAAGTCTAGCTGTGCTGATATTAATATCCTCTTGAAAGTTGTCTTTATCAAGGGACTCAATAAAGCGCTTAAGACGCAGTTTCCGCTGTGCAGTGTCAAGCACGGTACGTGTTCCCGTACGATGTGTTCTCTTTTCACCCATCTGAATTCATAATCCTAAACTGGCAAGGTTGTTATGTTGGTACATATTGGAGGTTAGTTTTTTAACTTTGTGGGTTTAATATATTAATAGAAAATAATAATCAATAAAGTCATAGATCAGCTATTTTAACACATACGAAACATGGCAACCTCACAAAAATAGCAAAATATACAAATTTATATTGAAAAATTAACATTCAATCTAATCCAAGAAAAGTTATAAACATTATAAAATCTGATAACTGAGAAAGTAAAACTAACACTTAACAAGTTGATGTTAACTTGCATTGAAAATAAACTAAAAATTGCAACAAAATTACAAACATATTGGAAAAAATTGATGTGAAAAATTGAGAAATATCGTTTCTTTCACTCGATGTAATTTCTATTCAAAGGTACTGATCAGCACTGGTACGGGGAGTTAGTTACTTACTGGCACTTACTACTGGAGTTTTGCCAGTATATCTGACTGTGTCAGTACCACCCCTCTATCAGCACATGTCTGGATTATTTTCCCCCACAACTGGTTCGTACTCAACATCTTAATATTTCCTGGGAGCGACGCGGGGTGTTAATACTTGGTTAATGAAAATGCTTTTGGGGTGCTTTTAAAATAAATTACCTGAAATATTATATAATTATTTATAGCACACAATATCTCCTTTTAAATTGGAATTACATAAATAATTTAGATTTGAGATATAGTTACTGTGTTAAATGGTTTCAAATTGACGAAGTATGACAACCGTAAGTCATCAAGTATTACAAATATCCTATCCTAACCCAATATGATAAGATGATGTCTGGCTCTAGTGAGAGCCACGTTCACTCTCTTCGGACAATCAGCAAACCCAATTCTTGAAGTTCTTACACAAGACAGGATAATCACACTTTTCTCTGCACCCTGAACTGCATCTACCGTGGATATCTGCGGATAGTTTGGAAGAGTAGATATAATATCTTAACTCTAGAGTAGATATTAAATAAGATCTCAAACAAAGCAAAAGGAACATAAATTATAATTATGTAACTCGTATAGTAGACATTAGTGTGTCCGGAAGTGAACGACGCCGAAAGCTAATATGCAAATTATGTGAATTAATCGCATACCTTAAGAGACTTTGAACCAGGCAGCTCATTCTTGAGCAAGGATTCCTGACCACGATACAGTGTTATGATGGCTATATCGTCTTTGGGGACTTTAATCTTGTTAACCAACACTTCTAACAACTCAGAAATAGCTTTCACCTGCACAAAACTCCTTATTACATAAATATCTTTACTGTACTAGAATTAATTTGTGTAATTAACTCCAGGAACGATGATTTTGTTTCCCAGCTATTCTCGGGATCAACCACTTAAACACTCACTTAAACACTCACTTAAACACTCACTTAAACACTCACTTAAACACTCACTTAAACACTCACTTAAACACTCACTTAAACACTCACTTAAACACTCACTTAAACACTCACTTAAACACTCACTTAAACACTCACTTAAACACTCACTTAAACACTCACTTAAACACTCACTTAAACACTCACTTAAACACTCACTTAAACACTCACTTAAACACTCACTTAAACACTCACTTAAACACTCACTTAAACACTCACTTAAACACTCACTTAAACACTCACTTAAACACTCACTTAAACACTCACTTAGACACTAACCTCTGCACTGTTAGAGTAACTCTCACCATACCCGGACTCAGACCCCGGAATACTAATGAAAGTGAGAGGGGGAACAGGTAGTAGAGTCTCTTCAGAGGTGGGTGGGTTACCGTCTTGTAGTTCTCCAGAGTAGAAGAGGGTGCTGGAGATGGAGGAAATCTCCGGAGGGCAGCGGTACTGAGTGCTGAAACATTATGTAATTTTAGATTCAGCACAAAAAGTCAAAAACGTAATATACCGAAGTATGCATTCGAAAATGGATAGTGGATATTATATTACACCCCCTCTCTACAAGGTAAACACTAACTTCAGTACTACAGTAGGGTATCCTAGCTTGATCATCCTATCAAACAGTGTTTGTTCCAAACCCCTGAGCTCCCCCTCCATCAACATGCTGGGTTTCTACCGTTGGGGGTAATTGTTGAGGATCACCTACCTGAATAACCGAGGGTTTTGGATTTGAATACCTACTTTTGAGATAGAAGTTGTCTCACAGTCTCAATAAATCGCAACAATATATTACGTTAAGAGTGCGCTAAGCAGGCTATCAAGGCCAAGGGAAGAATACTGATGATAGTGATAGTGACTGACCAGAAGAAGACGTTTGCAGGACGAGTGTATCAGTGGTAAGAGAGACGAGGGTTCTGTCACCTGGTTGTTTAAATTTAATTAGTTAATTAGTAATTAGTAAATTAATGTGCAATTAATTACTTAGACGAGAGAGTAATTTAATTGCTCCAACTATGTGGCTGAGACGTCTTTCAATAAATTCTTGTCTGTAAAGTGTAATCAAACTATTCAGTTTTTCAAGATGAGGGATTATAGCTTTAAACGCCGACAGACCTGCGAAACCTCGTCAAAGAGGACGATGTCATGTTGGGAGACGGAGGGAGACGATGCACAGGTAGTTCCTACTACCTGGTATCTGCTCAGTGTTGACTTGCTCTGATCCTGGGGATACAGTATATCACATTTTAAAAAATATATAATCCTCTCTATATCTATGTATTTAGATTGTACAGATGATTCCCATGCGAAGCAGCTCAAGCTAATCGGACCAAGATAATTAACAAAAAAAACTCAAATGTTAATTAATCTAGCTATGAGTTGTATCAGATAAACAATTACCTGTTTCAAGAAATTGCTGGTTTCACAGTCCTGGTGCTGCAGAACGTAGGGTGCTATCTTCTTGTGTATTCTCTTCACACTTCCCACCCTTACAAAGTGTTCGAACCCTAGTTCTAACAATCTGTTTGATTTCAATTTTATTGATATTATATTGATATTTCTTAATAACGCTAGCATTATGGAAAAATTTAAGAAATACATTGGAGAAGCTTCCAAACGCGAGCATTTAGTAGAAATTTATTACTATACATTCATCGAAGCCTTCAGAGCAGACTCAAGGCTAAATCACAACTTAGAAGAATAAAAACAGCGATCCATAAAATTGTAAACAAATAACTAATTCTGCACACTGACTTGATAAGGATATTATCCACCGCCACATTAGTAGTAGAAGTGATAAGAAGTCTATGTTGAGGTCCACTCAGAACTCTAACCAAGATCAACACTATCACGGCTAACAGATAGCTCTTACCAGAACCAAATACTCCGTGAACACACAGTATAGGGGGTCCTGCAGACGAGATATAATTGTTATACTCTGAATACACTCTGAATACATTCTGAATGGTTTACTGACAGAAATTATTATGTCGAGATCATTCGAGAGAGGAAAAAACATCCTACATCAGGATATTGTCAAATGATCAGAACAACAGACAAAATAAGGTAATGTTATATTTGGTGCTACTGTCACTCACAAGTCACATACCGTGTTTTAGTGAGTTAATCAGGGCCAAGACAGCTTCCTCTTGCTTTTCATTCAGATGGTATTCTCTACACATGGATATACATATCTCCTCTGTGTCCTCTGATAGAACAATATCTCGACATAATTTGTTGCTGTTATCTGGCCTAAAAGGATTAAGTGAAGGGTTAATGAAAACAACTTTAAAGCTAGATTCAACCCAATATACTTAACTGCAAATTAGCTAATTTATTTATTTTTATCCTACAACTTCAAATCCATGAAACACGATGCTCCACGATCTACAAAATCAAACTCACCGTCTAGATACTAGAGAAGGTAATAACGGCAAAGTGTTTATCTTATCTAGTGCCGAAACTATCTCCAACTCAGCCACAGCCCGCAGAGCCTGCAAAGCGTCGACAGTGGCCGCTCCACAACGGGGTACATGGCAGTTTAGCAGTCTCAGTTCCACCTGACCACTGCTAGTTGGCCCGTAGAATGTGCTCTTCATTATACTCGGCTGAGGACTAGCTGAAAGTGGGAAGAGTTAAGTTTAACACTTATTTTGTACTTTGACAAACCAATACGTCCGGTGTACACAGGAATATCATCAGAATTTTATTAAAATTTGGTTGGAAAATTATTTCAATGAGTTTGCTATGTCTTACCGGAGTCAATGATCCAAATATCGTCCTTATTATAGTTGACATGTTTATCCTGAGTACTAAGTTGCAGCATGTACAGATTGCTATTTTGTTTCCGCTTTATTCGGCATCCTTTGTACAAGCTGAGGAGGACGTTTGATTTGAGGTTATGCTGGAATATTTCGCATATCTCGAATTTATCTGATAGATTGTAACCATGGTGATTTCGGTTGTATTAGTAGTAACATAAGTATCAAGTAAGTTGGTTACGTTATCTTACCTCAAACCCTGACGAGTATAGTATGTGAATCGTTCTTGAGGATTTGTTGGAACAACAGTAGATTCTGCCCACTTAAATAGATCGCACGACTCTGAAACAAACGGTATTATCAATTAACAGAAACTTAATAAAGCCATTTTACCAAATTTCAGAAAATAAGCTCAGAACATATGCTCACCTTCCCTGCTAGAGTTGATTCAACATTTTACAAAAAAATCTTGATACGCTGCAACAAAACGGTACTTACTAATTGTACTTACTCATTGTACTTACTAATTGTACTTACTCATTGTACTTACTCATTGTACTTACTCATTGTACTTACTCATGGTACTCACTCATTGTACTTACTCATTGTACTTACTCATTGTACTTACTCATTGTACTTACTCATTGTACTTACTCATTTTGCAAGTATAAAACTGACGCCCCTTGTTAGGACCATCCTTAGAAACAGTGCATATTTTAGCAGCACCATGAGGACACTTCACTGCTGGAGTATTTGTGTCTGTGTTCGTCTGTTCTGTTAGCCGGGAGTATCTCTCACATACCTTTGCTAAACTCACGTTAAGATGCTCTGAAATGATATGGTATGGCTCTCAACATTTCAACATTTTGGACTTGAAAGATACATTTAAAAAAACATAAAATCAAGTTCTATATATGGTAATTGTGCCAATTCGCACATGAAATAACTGGTTGGTTAAGTTCGCTATTTAAACATAGATTTCTTAAGTAAACCCTACATGATTTGAATTCCAACTAATTATCAAAGGCGCATACCATAAATAACATCTAGCATTGTGGTTTTGTAATGACTCGGTGAAGAAAACGATTCAGGAATTAGGTGATGTCGTTTTTGAGGCTCTTTACCAAACTTCAACTGAAATAGTTTAATTGTAATTATTTACAGCATTTTGGTATTTGAATAGTCGGTTGTTACTTACACAATAAATTATCATCAACTGTTCAAATCAACATCGTAATAACCACTAGAGAGGCTACATTGGTGATTGGGAGGGGGTTTCACCCCCCCCCCCCCCCCCCATACATTTGAGTGGACAGTCAGATATGCAGCATGTAAAGTGTAAACCGTTCTATGAATTGAGAAGTCAGCAATCATCAAATCAATAGAGATGCATCGTGATTCGTGGGCACTCAAACAGTCATCTCAAATCAAGAACAGTGCATGTAGTGAATTCTATAAATGCGCGTAGAAAACACGAGATTTTACTACATAAAGGACAAGTTGGCGCGATAAATTGGTCTTGCGGCCTACGCAAAGCAGACAAAAATGTCAACTTTGCCACGGTACTATCGTACTTACTTCATGTTTGATCAATTGGCAGTTGGATTCTTTGTCCAGGAACTGGCCACCACCAGCAAATGGAACTGTGAATCTTCTCTGGGCCGGTTTTTCAACAGCAGCCGTGACTGTCCTGAGGTTTGAACATGTAAGATAGTTGCTTTGTTAATCTTCGTGAACTTAGAGCGGCGAAAAAGTAAGTGGTCTTTTTAGGATATGGTTTGGAAAAATAATAACATGAAGAGGTATTTCCAAAAATTACCTTGGATTTCTAAACACATTCCCCAGTTTTCTCCGTTTGGACTGTCTTTCTAGCTCAGCCTCCTCATTATCAACCTCCTCCCTCACAACCTCTTCCCTTACAACCTCTCCACCTACAACTTCTTCTGCAAGTTCCTCTCCAATATCCCACATGCTACAAGAAGGAATATCAACATCAAAAGAATCATCAAAAGTACTGTTCATCCCGTTATTCGTAATCTGATCTTCCTCGATGTTTCTGTTTTCTGTACTAACAGTTTCTTCCTGCGTTGTATTCTTCCCTACTTTTGAACCTTCTTGGGTTGAAAGTTGTAGCACTGTTGGACCAAAAGTTTCCGCTTTTCCGTCATCGTCGCCAAATATATCGAAATAATCAACGGTTTCATAACAACTGACGGCCGCCATATCTTCATTTTTATTACCAGAATTAACTTTCAGAGCATCGTGGTCAGTGGGTTTTATCTTTTGGTTGTGTTTTTCTGGGACAGTTCTTGCAATTTCTTCAATTTTGTTATCGATAAACCCTTCGAGTGAAGAAGAAAAACTTTGGTTGTTATCCTGAGAAATTTTAGAAAGTCCAGAGGATCCTTTTGGAGGAGACGGACTGAAAATAGAGTCGTCGAATGCGTCGAAGTTACAAGTTGAAGGGATTTCTGGGAGTTTTTCTGAAACTTTTTGTTCACGATGCTCTTCTGGAATCTTCTCAAATGTTACATCCGGTTTAGAAGTAGATTTGTTGTTCATTGGAGACAAGCCACTAGATGCACCGTTTAAAACTTTGAAGATACTTTCAATCGATCGTTGTTCTGTGAATGCAGGAGTTGAAGGAATGTAAGGAATGTTGGGAACCTCACGGAAACATTGTTTAGATAATGTGACAGTTCCTCTTTGTGAACCAGGCATTTCTAATAGTACACTCAGATCACTGTCAATCTCTCTTAGTTCCAAACCTTTTTCAGAACGTTCTGAGGATATGTTCGGTGTAATATAACTACTGATCTGTGAGGATGATGAGGACTGATCGAAGGGCGCTCTACCATTGGAACTTTCTGATGTTGATTGGAATGTTCGAGAAAGTGACGTCACTAAACTAGGTCTGTTTCGTACCACCTGGTGAAAATGAAAGAATTACATGGAAAATATCTCTTAGAACCATGTAATGAAAGCTTGCTACACGTTATTCTACTGTCAAACGGAGACTGATAAAATAATAAAGACAGTTTAAACCTAGATTACAATCGGAAGTTTTAAACAAACCTTTCTCGACTGAAACTTCCCCAATAATAAGTTGTTATTCTCACTATGTTGTTCCTGTCTGCTCTGTGTGTTAGAATCCTCGTTAACAACAACAGGATATCGTCTCATAGCGGGAGGGGTGAACTTTTTGGAAACAAACTTTGGACGTATTGGGGGAGCTCGGTGACGAATCCCGGCTTCTTTATTGGATCTTGTAGTTGTAATTGTGCTGGGCTCACTGTTTTCTTTGGCAATATCCTTAAAATGTAATGTTTGAAGGTATTTGAACGATAGCGTTCACAAATTTTAATTTCAAATTGTATAATTTATTCATGAACGATTTCGTGCTAGTAATTTTAAATAGATGTTGAACAAGCTAAATTTATAGCGTGCGATTATTCTTGCCTATAACTTATTCATTGCACGCGACCGCTCTTGCTCAATGTACATGAGCACTGTTTAGAATAAATCGTTTTTCCTTATACAAAACGAACGTAAAAAATACATTATGTAAGATTATAAGGTATAATATAATCAAGTTTAACGTTATCATGCCACAATTATGATGTGGCACTAAAATAACCGACACGAAGCTGTAACCCTTAGAATATTCTCATCCTGCCGGCCCCTAATCTCAACCCCGATCAGGTTACAGGTACATGCCGAACATGGTATATTATGCTACTGTAACATGTATATTGAATTTATATTCATTTTCAATATATGAGGTATAGGAATGTATATAATATTTATATTGTATGCTTTCTTAAATCAAATACAGTTATGGATTTGAAGTATGATGTTTAACCTGAAAGGCTCTTTGACTGATATATGAATTCCTTCCAATTTCCTACGCTAATTCTCGTACCAATAAGACCATATATAATCATGCCTATAGTAATCAGGTTCGTGACAAGAAGATATCTGAGAATATTATAGAACCCCAAAAGACAAAAGTTACATAAGGTCACGTTAATCTCTAGAAGAATCGCTTTTAACAGTAACATCACTACAACTCAGATTCGAAAAAAAGAGTACCAGAGGTATTTCTTACAGAGATTAAAGATTTCTAGTTCCCCCTTATGTAAAGATGCTGATAAATGAAGTGAGTAATTTAAGATGCTTACATCAATGAGTATAAGATGTCCATCGCTCTCAATCTCATCTCCAACGATAATATTCTCCGATTTAGTAAAGACAGATTCCACGTGACGACCGTTATCAGCGATAAGAGAGAGTTTTGTGTTGTTTACTTCTTTCAGCACACCATCCTGCAATGTACTTATCGTGTGAGAAAACATGTCAGGAATATTTAATAACAGTAATCAAAATATTACACTCGTAAGTAATTGTTGCATGCTTTATCAATAAACGTTTCAAAACATTTCATAGTGATTCAACTGGAGCGGGCAATAGCTGAATTTGTGAAACTTGTTTTTGAAGTATAGACTTTATACATAACCAATCCAATTGAGATTGAGTGGTCTTCTTTTTTTACTTTAGAAACTATCAGATGTTTATAACATAAAACTACCTGCCACACTTTGGACTTCTTTGTTTTCTGGTGAGTATAAAGTACTTTGTATGTTTTCATTTTCAGTTCACAGCATTTTCTCTTCTATATCGCTTTGTTAAGTTGAAAACATGTATGCACCACATATTTTCATAACCTAGATGACGTATAAAAAGGACTTTCTTGAGAATTTTGAAGAATTTACATTGTTGGTATATCTAATTTCAAACGGTAATTGTACTAAATATTGTAGATGATAAAAATCACATTGCTGTCCTAAAAATTGTTTTCTTAGCATGATAAGAAGTCTCTAATCCAATTAATTCTAGGAACAACAGAACAATTAACTTTTTATGTGCATAATGTGAATAATTATACAGTACAAAACGGTTTCAGAAATAATGAATAATAGGAAAAATTATCAACAACAAACACAACGTAAATTTATACAATCAAAATATTTTGGGTACAGCATGAATAAAATTTAATCAAAGAGCATCAAAAAGAGAAGTCAACACTTCCAAAAGTCATCGGTTTTACAGTCCCAACACTTGTTTTCCACAATGAAAATGTAAGCTCAAAAACTTCAAAATGAACCCTGTCATGCACGAAAGAATACTGGTCAAATATTCACGCCAAAGACTGATATCGAGTGCAAAAATGTACATTATTAAAACCATAATATATAAAAAAGGTCTCAGCTGCACAGTAGTACAAATTATTAATTTATTTTTTAATTTTAAAAGTTTTAATCTTAAATGTCGCCGGCCGCCGCAAACATTTCGTCACAACCAATGTTCGAAAAGAATCACAAATAAAAGTTGGCACAACTCATAACACCCAAACAATCCCTCAGCTCTCAGACTCCGTGCTATTCTCCTTAGAGTAGAAGTTTGCCGCTTCCCTATCCCAGAACGCAATGGACACAACCGCCTTCTGATGAGCTGCGTACTCCTGTTTAGGAGTACCAGCAACTTGGGAGTCCCACAATCTCACTGTCCCGTCTGAAGAGGCAGTGAACAGGAACTGTGAGTCCGTAGAAAATACCGCGTCCCAAACCCACTTTTGATCAGGAGTCGAGAATGTTTTGTCCAACACGATCCCATCTTCTGTGATGTTCCAAAGTCGAGCTGTGGTATCGGAACTTGTGGTGGCGATTGTTTCACAGTCGGGGGAGAAAGTGCACTTTAGCCCTCTTGTCAGGTGACACTGTTCGGAAGTGACACATTTGGGCTGGCTCATATCCTTAATGTCCCACAACCGCAACAAACCCTTGTTGTCAATAGCACAAAGCTGACTGGCGATGTTGTTGACAGACACACTCTGAATGCTACCCTCTTTGGTCATGTTTTTGTGTATCACAACCTCCTTGTTTTGCCTGAGATCCCAGTAGGAACAGGATGTGTTCTCCTGGCCTACAAACAGCACAGTTTGATCAGGATGCAAAGTTACAGAGTTTACAGCAGAGGGCAGTTTTAACTTTCTCTGGCACACAGCCGTTCTTATGTCCCAGATACAAACTAAACCATCCTCTCCGCCAGTGTAGATCCACTGTTTCAGGCTCTGGAATCCTACAGAGGTCACGTTTTTGTTGAGTTTATCGTAGGTCATTGAGGGGTAGGGAGAGGGGGAGGCCAGATCATAGACTCTTATCTGCTGGTGTCCAGCAGCGACCAAGTGTTTACCATCAGTTGAAATGTCGAGTTTGTTCACCTTGAAATAGACGTGTGATTATTTGATACTTATTGGGATTACTTCTAGGGAGAAACCTTTGGTATAGATTCTTATATTCTTATAACGTTAATAATAATTATTTCTGATCAGTGATAATTTGAAAGTCGTAACGATAATGCAAGGTTATAATTCATATGAAATTTAGAAAAAAAGCAGCAAAATTAAAAACCTGACTGTCTCTATGACCGAGTTTCTTGAAGCAAGTAGCATTATGAGGGGACCACAATCTGATCATGTAATCAAATCCTGCTGTTGCAAGAATCAAATCCATCTGTACCATGACCCTCCTGTAGCGACAATCAGTTAAATTTACAAAGTATAAGTATTCAATAAATTTAAACTTATAACTACAACTTATGATTATAACACAATATGATACAAATTGAAATTTTAGACAATTCGTTATATTATCGGTGCTCCAAATCTGTAAGCACATTGAGAATAAGTTGTAACATACCAAAATAGAGACTGAATACGACTATAAACGAGTAAAGATTGCAAACTTCAGTTTAAGTAATAAAATAGGCTAATATTTGAGTTTGTAGGCCATAGAAAGATAGTCAAACATGGTTGAACCTGAACAATTTAAAACATGAGTCACCAAAAATAAAAAATATGATTTAACAGTTAATAAATAACTGTTCTTACAAAGGAATAAATATTTTATTTATTTAAGAAAAGCATAACATAATAATAATTAAAAATGCATAAACAATTTTTAAAATAAGAAATGTGCCATCAAATTGGTGAATCGAATACAAACAAATATTAAATATACCTAATTTAATTATAAGATAAAATATACAATTTGGTATGTCTAATACAGTAGCAGACAATAATTTGCTATTTATTTAAGTTATAAATATTTAAATAAAGTTTTGTATTTACTGGTTACAAGCTTCAAAAATTAAGAATATCTAAATCTATTAAAATAGTCATTAATTTATATTGAGTCTTTTTATAACAATGAGATTATATATTAAAAATTTAACAGCCATCTGTACTTGAGGTCCCTGCACTGTTCTCTTTTTCCTCTGTCTCAATTGCCTCATACTTGACATCAGGATAAACGTTGAAATCAATGACAAACTTATCTTCTTTTGGAATAAACTGCCGAAAACTAACTCCAGCAAGTTCAAGCATTCTTACTGAAGCTTTATGACTAGGAGAATCACTGTTCTTCTTAGAAAAATATACTATTTTACTTATGCCACCTTGAATGATGATTTTAGTGCATTCATTGCAAGGAAACAGGGACACATAAATTGTGCAGCCCTTCACATCAGCAGAGTTCTTGTTTAAAACTGCATTCATTTCAGCATGACACACAAATGCATATTTAGTTTCGCACATTGTCTCTCCTTCACGACCCCAAGGTAACTGATCATCGTTGCATCCTGTTGGCATTCCATTGTATCCGACGCCAACGATTTTTTTCTCTGGATTTACAATACATGCTCCCACTTGGGTTACTGGGTCTTTACTCCTTTGGGATGTGAGGAATGCAACTGACATAAAGTAGGTATCCCAGTCTAGGTAGTTACTTCGTTTCATACTGACTTTCTCCTTGGAATTAGGGATTTATTTATTTGAATGTCATTATTAAAGAGTGTCCATGATGATAATAATAAATTGTGTTTGAGACTATTACTATTTCAAATCCCAGATAAATTGTTGATATCTAATCAAAAAGGAGAATACTTTATCCCCTGAAACCAATACTGTACACTTCAATTAAATGCTTAAATGAGCAAATTAATTGACATCAATTTAAATTGGAAACGTAATAATATATAATTACTTGAATAAATATGTGCGCCAAGGTAGCAGTTATAATTGTTTCTCGAGGAAAAGTTTACTTTATTTCGACAGATTTTGAGCCTCGAATAACATTTATTTTCTACTGTATTGAGGAACGTGAAGTGAGAACATGTCACTTGGCTTATAACTGAAAACAATAGGATAATAACTGTAGCTGTGTTCAACACATGACGTAATACAGTCTCCTTTCCTGGTACAAGAGTGTTTGTAGGTCAGTGTTGTGTGTAGTCTGCATTTTGTTGTCGGTCACAATTTGTATGGTGTGTATGCAGTTTTGATTTTAAAATGTAAATGTTTCTTGTTAGTGAAGTAAAATTGTATTAAATATTGTTTACCTTTTAAAGCTAGTGTGCAATAGTCTGCAACTTTTTTTTCGTGAACAAATTCAACAAGTAATTTTTTTATTATATGCTTAGAATAAGTGGCATATTATATAATTCTAGGGGGAAAAAGATAAAATATGTATAACTGTCATGGAGGAAGATGGCTATGGTGGGTGATTTGTCTGTTTATCCCAACTCTAATTACCATTACACTGTTTACTTGGCTTGATACCAGCAAAGACACGTGAGTTGAAAGTTTAGCTTAATTTGTCTCTCTCTGCTAGTTTTAGCATGAACATTGAATTTGCATAATTAAATGGAAATTGGAAGGGGATGCAATGACATTGGTTTTATAAGTATAAACATGATTTATTGATAATTATTTTCAGGGTCAACAGTTCCTTTTCAATGACATTGCATCCCAACTTTTAGATTTTATCTTCACGTACTCTTCAAATAAATTCATATTTCAATAGACAAATTTTTAATGCATTTAATTGTAATTTATTATAATGGTCTGAAGCTGTGTGCTGCATCCAAATTATGGGTTTCATTCTTTTGTGCTGAAAAGCTGTAAAGCTAGCCTGCATGTTAACCAGCTGCAAAAATTTTGGACCTTGGGACATAGCTTTAATCTCTGAGAGGCTGAAAATTTTAAAACCATCTATTTCTCCAGATATGAGGCAATGAAAAAACCAGAATGGTTGCCAGATGATATGGCTGAACTCTTGATGAGTATTTGGTTTGGCTTTAGTCTTGCTCATGGTGCAGCAGCAATAATGATCGTATCGAAGAGTACTCCAAATGAAAGATGGAAATGCTCAATGCTCTTTGCCTTTGCTGTTTTCCTTACCTTCTTCTATGCATGGCCATTTTCTTACTTCTTCATAGTGCAGCCATTTGTGGTAGGTGTCAAAAGATAAATATAACAATCGATCACTTCATTTTTCTGCCTCGTTTAACAGCACACAATATAACAGTGTCTAAAATATAAAATAATGTTTTACCTTATCCATTATCCATTATCCATTATGCATTATGCATTATCCATTATGCATTATCCATTATCCATATGTGATATAATACTGATTAAACTAGCGTACAGTGCAGTGTGTATAAACCTAAATCTAATGGATGCAGTATCTCAGTTTGACCTAAATTTAATTTGAAAACTAATATGGCCAAAATTTTAGATACAAAGCTCTTAAACAGCCAGAGTGGGTTCCAGAGTGGTCCTTTGTATTCCTTGCAGTAGTCAATACAGGAGTTAGCGTTATTGAGGGAATGGGGCTCTCATTATTTGCTTCAAAACAGGAAGTCTTCAATGCTGCCACTTGGACCCCCTTGTTCTTAGCTCTGACCCTTTACAAAACAGCATTTTTTGCATACATACTATCTCTTCTCTACTTTGTGCAGATTCTATTGGTAAGCACCTGGTGTGGCTATATTATCATCAATCAAACACATCAAACTTCAACAACAATCGTAATATCACTAACATATCACTAAAATCCGCAAGAATTCTAGGCAGTAAATCACAAAATATGATAGGGATCAAACAATGGGTATAAATAGCACACAGCTTCAGACAGATTACATACCACAAATGAAAAGCTGGCCCTAAATTTAAGAAAAACTTTGATCAGGATTAAGGTACCATTGCATTAAGGATTAAGGAAAATGAATCTGGAAAAAGAAGTGCTCAGAATTAAGGAAAGTAGGGGGAAGCTTTTTAAATGTGGGTTGTACTGATTTTTTATTCACCATATATCAACCAGTTACGACAAATATAAGAAACCATCTTGGACACCTGGTTCCTCTTTTGGATACATTGCTGCAGCATATGTGGTTACAGGCATGTTAGATGGGGTTGCCGTCTTTGCTGGACTTCAAGTGTCTCGATATGAATTATTCAAGAGTGTATCAACTGCAGCTGTCTTTCTGTTCTTCAAAGCATTCTACTTTATTTGGCCAGCTGTGCTATTTCATTTCGAAAACTTGATTATGGTGAGTCAGCTATACATATAATAATATTTCCATTGCAGTGAAAAACGTATCAGTAATGTCCAAATCTATTTATATACCTGATCCAAATAATATTTGGGGAAACTAACACACAGCAAATTTTGGGAAAAATTCTCTCTTGGTTGACAATCACTGTATAAATTTTAAGAAAAGTCTCGCCAAAAGGAACATGCATTATTATAACTACTAGTCGAGGATGAAAAGCCACTTGGAAGCAGCAATCAGCTCATTGGTAGACACTAAGCTTAAAGTTCACAATCTTTAATATCTTAGATACGACAAAATGATGAAACCCACTCTCCTACCAACTGGCACAAGCTATCCTATAGCAGCAACTGGATATGTTTTCATCACTTTAGTAGAGGGTGGAGCTGCGTTGGCTGTCATCATAGCATCAAACTACAAAGTCTTTAATAATCAATTAACAGTAGCTATTGTAGCGAATTACAAGGCGCTTTGTTTAATGTGGCCGATTTTCTTGTTTGGGTACAACGAGCTGATGGTGGTTAGTAAAATATTAGTGTGTACTGTATTAGATGTGAACAAACAGAATAGTAACTATTTATACTTTAAGATAGCAAATAAAGCATTACTGCACAAATAAATACGATCAATTTGTAAATCGATCAAAACCTCACATTGGCCACATTTCAATCACCGCAACAACATACTTGAGCAACCGTGACATAATTTGTGATTTAAGTAAATACTTGTGATTGACATTACTTTTTATTTAGTTCATTTCTTTTTTAAAGTTACTAAAATTATATTTTCCGAATCAATTCGTCGGATTTTATTTATAAAATGTATAAGATAGTTACATAAATACATCAATTTCAGACTTTCCTGATAGCTTGTTTAGCAGCAGTAAGTGCATTCATAGTTCTGGGATTGTTCATAAAGCTTTACGATTTCGCTGGAATTCTCATGCTTCCCTCAGCACTTTGGTTCTCGGCCTTGAGTGTGTTCAGTTATTACCTGTGGACGTTGAACAAGAAAGAAGACTGATGAGGTATCTCGTGAGGATAATTAATTTGAGCGTGAAATCTTAAGCATCTGTATGATGGACGAAATAAAAGAAGTTTACAGAAGGCCAACAGAGACAAACATAATCTATCTAGTATAAATCAGACTCACATTCAAAGGCAGCGGGAAATTAAAAACGTCCATGTACAGATAAAACAGAAATTGAATGCGGAATTTAGAATGTTTCAATACCCTATTTTAGCACTAAATATTTTACCTGTTCGTTACGTTCATAAACACAATTTTTGATCGAAGATATAATATGGCGGAATGACAGGCTGACCGCTGCCAAGAATTTTTTAATACCTTCCGGGAATTATATCCACTAAAACTCGTGGACACTGAGAGCTGATAATTTGCAGAGGTATTATCAGCATAGACTGCAAGTCACCTCAGACTAGCTGGCGAGGAGTTTCAAAACAAATAACAGTGGGGCACTATATATTAGACACTATATTGTATCAGCACTCAGAAGCGAAGGTGTTATTAGCAGTGGCGTAACGTTGCCTGTGGCGTAACGTTGCCTGTTGGCGCCCCCCTGTACTGCTGAAAAAAAAGCGCCCCCCTGTTGGCGCCCCCTCCCTTTTTGGTGCCCCTCCCTAAAATTGAACAAATTAGGTGATTTTAAAGAATACGCCGGTAAAATCTCTAAAAAAGTGTGTATCTAGAGCAAAACGCGCAGTTTTGCTAGTACTTTAGTTAAGTTTTCGAAATTGTCCCACATTCAAACAACGATTTGGCGCCCCCCTAAGACGGCGCCCCCCTGCACAGCGGGGTCAGCAGGGCCTTTCGTTACGCCACTGGTTATTAGTATTACAACCCTTTCGATGTAACAATGAATTAACGACGACTGGACCCAACACAATATCCATTAAAAACATTAAACAGTGGTAGGCGAAGTTTAAAAATAACTGAACAGCGCTCAATTTTAATCGGACACTAATTGTGCGTTAACGGGTGATACTCGTAAAATATTTGTTCCATATATTAGGACCGTCGACGAGTCTAACTCGGCGCGCGTCCTGGTATAGGTTATAAACCTAAAATTTGTGCGCCGATATTCAATTTTTATATTCAATATATATATTGTGTATGCGACATTTCGTCAAACTATTTGTGGTCAAACTATTTGTGGACAAACTATTTGTGGTAAAACTATTTGTGGTCAAACTATTTGTACATTTTTAAAGTGATTATTGTAAATTAAAAAATAAAAGCTATTTACGCTACAATGCTTTTTATATTATGAAGAAATAAATGAAGAAATAAAATAATAATGGTTTTAATTTGCTATTATTTTTGAATGTCAAAAAGTATTATACATGTTATATATGTTATAACTTATTTGTATAATGATGGTAAACATTTAAAATAGCTGCAAACTGGCTACAATAACATTAACGGGTGATACTCGTAAAATATTTGTTCCAAATTTGTTCCAGGATCTAGTCGACGAGTCCAACTCGGCGCGCGTCCTGGTAGCTTATAAACTAACCAGAGCCCTCTCGCTTGCAGTAGCACGCGTCACGTTGTAGCGCGATGCGTTACTGTGCCGCGCCGCGCACTCAATGAGGCTACTCACAGCGAGAGATCGTCTAGATCGGCGAAATGCGCTACTGTGCCGCGCCGAGCTGCCATGAATTGACATCGTCAATTAAGCGTCACGCAGTACGCGTAGTCACATGGCTATGTTGTATGTGAACTAATAAACCTTGTATCACGTGGTGACCCCCACGGTCGCTTCACTATAGCGCTACAGGGGGAGCCGCGCACTTCGTGCGCGGCGGGTCATACAACGTATGACAAAATAAACCTACAACAATAACAGATTTTATTAACAATTGTAGCGCGATGCACTTCTTGGTTATAGGTTTATAACCTACCAGGACGCGCGAGTTGGACTCGTCGACGGTCCGAGACGGTCCGGTAATATTCAAAACGAATATTTTACGAGTATCACCTGTCATGGAACTTTTTGGCCGCGCCGCGCATCCAATCATGCTTCTCGTAGCTACAATATTAAGTAAAACAAAATCTAGGCTAGGCTTTAACTAAAAGGCGCAGTTTATATCTCCGCCAAAAGCAAATTTGTAAGCACTCACGCGCATTATATCCAAATGTGATTTTAAATTTTCGCATTGGATGGTTGCGCATTGGATGGTTGCTATGCCGCGCCCTGCAGCAATTTATTCCTTCAATTGAGACCTTCGCCCCGCATTTAACTACTCGTCTGATATGATTCCTTTATCTTTAAACAGCTTATTTTTTAAACATTTGATCAATTATTCTGTCTTATTTTGTTCCATTTTAAACTGTACGATCAGTTGTGAATTTGTTTAATTCATTTGAGTTTACAGTTGCAGTGCACTTTATCAGATTAGAATTTCAGTTGACTAATATTTTCTTCTCTTAAATCAGCTTATTATTTAACATTTTATCAATTATTCTGTCTTATTTTGTTCCATTTTAAACTGTACGATCAGTTGTGTATGAAAATTATAATGATTGTCACGAGATGTTTGATCTAGTTATTAGAGTTGAGCTATTCCTAGTCCTTGCTACGACAGTATTAAAACTGTAATAATTGTCACGAGATGTTTGATCTAGTTATTAGAGTTGAGCTATTCCTAGTCCTTGTTATGACAGTATTAAAACTACAATAGTTGTCACGAGATGTTTGAACTTTGATCTAGTTATTAGAGTTGAGCTATTCCTAGTCCTTGATATGACAGTATTAAAACTGTAATAATTGTCACGAGATGTTTGATCTAGTTATTAGAGTTGAGCTATTCCTAGTTATTGCTATGACAGTATTAAAACTACAATAGTTGTCACGAGATGTTTGATCTAGTTGTTAGAGTTGAGCTATTCCTAGTCCTTGATATGACAGTATTAAAACTGTAATAAATGTCACGAGATGTTTGATCTAGTTATTAGAGTTGAGCTATTCCTAGTCCTTGCTATGACAGTATTAAAACTGTAATAATTGTCACGAGACTAGATGTTTGATCTAGTTATTAGAGTTGAGCTATTCCTAGTCCTTGTTATGACAGTATTAAAACTACAATAGTTGTCACGAGATGTTTGATCTAGTTGTTAGAGTTAAGCTATTCCTAGTCCTTGCTATGCGTTTTTTTGATTTAATGAACTACTGCAGACTCCACATTATTATAATATATGCCATTAATTTTGTTCTGATTTTAAACTATTCCATTTTGACGAGATGCTAAATTAATTTTTTGAGACTTTACTACATTTTTGATGAGAATTTTTGACATTTTCATACTAACCATTGATATTCTCAGATTATGTGACTGATTAAATGCTGAAGATAAAAGAAATATATTCATTTTGCTAAGATTATGTTTGCGTTTCATTGCTCAACAGCTGTTCGAAGGATCAAATTTAAGAGAACAAAATAAGACAGAATAATTGATCAAATGTTAAAAAATAAGCTGATTTAGGAGAAGCAAATATTAGTTAAACTAATCTCTGTCACATAAAATACTGGAAATAAAGTTCACAACTATGAACTCAAATGTATATAAAACACACTCACAACTGATCGTACAGTTTAAAATGGAACAAAATAAGACAGAATAATTGATCAAATGTTAAAAAATAAGCTGATTTAGGAGAAGCAAATATTAGTTAAACTAATCTCTGTCACATAAAATACTGAAAATAAAGTTCACAACTGTGAACTCAAATGTGTATAAAACACACTCGCAATTAATCGTACAGTTTAAAATGGAACAAAATAAGACAGAATAATTGAATGTTATGTGCTAGCCATCAGCCATGCTTGACGATTGAAATGCGCCACGCGTGCAAATCACTTAATTATTAATGTCGTGCGCAAGCTCATATCAAGCCGTTTGTTTAAATTAAACCACCTGTACTTTACTTATATATAATATTTTGCTTCCTATAAACTGGTATGTTAGGAAGCAAAAGAGGCTGTTTAATGTAACTTCAGGAAGGCGCGACTGTGAAAATAGTTGAGAAAACTACACGCATTAATGCTAAAATGTGATGCTTTTGGCGGAGATATAAACTGCGCCTTAACTAAAAATTAAAAACATGACATTTGGGCTTTTGCAAATTGTCTGTTTAATAATCATTTTAAAAGTTGTTTCAATCTTTCAAAATATTAAAAACTGAATTTATTTATATTTTTATTTTGGAACCAAAAACAAATCATGCATCGTAGATAAGAAGTTGAATTAAAATCAAGATTATCCAAAAATATTTTTTCCTTGTATCATGCACGTGGTGACTCCCACTGTCGCTTCACTATAATATAAAGTTTCAACGATATAGAGTTAAGAGTTTCAACGATACAGGGGAGCCGCGCACCCGTGCGCGGCGGGTCATACGGCTCCCCCTGTATCGTCAGGACGATAAAGGGGCGAAACAACCGTGGGGGTCACAACGTGATACAAATTAGGACCATACTGGGCCAATCGCGGCGAAAAGGGGTTTGGAAAAGCCAATAGCCATATATCATTGGCACTCGAGTCTTTGAGCTTACCGATGGTGCATTGAGCCTTTTGAGCTGCCATCCTTTAAGGGGTTTTGTCTATTTGTGATTGAAATTATTATTAATCCAAGTGGAGGCAATTAGCTGACGCGCGGCTTTTATTGCTATCTATGATATCTATGATATGTTTAATTTTGCTCTATCCAGAGCCCTTGCGCTTGCTTGTAAAACAAGCGCGCCCACAGTGGCGCGAAAGCACATGGGTAGGTGAATGTTTAATCTGTAATAAAGATCAAAATTTAAATTTGTATTTTTAAAAATTTGTATTAATTCCATTTTGGAACAAATTCCCTCCGAACGTCAAAAACTCTGTGACAGTTTTAGGCTTTAAAATTAAATTAGAAAGATTTAAGAAAGATCTGATTTCTAAAAGTATTATAAATAATTGCTTTTTTTGGAATGTTTCTAATGAAGTTTTAATAGAAATTGAGGGAGCCAGTTATGTCAGTAATAAAGAGAAACATCTTATCTTTTGATTCATCCTTAAGTGGCAAAAAAGCGTTTTATAAATCTGTATTCCACTGGGAAGTTTGATTAGGTTTTTAAAATAGGATAATGTTTTGATACATTTTTGTTGGGGGAATATTTATTACATATTTTTCCACATAGCTTAGTGCAATGATATTTTGTAGACATGTGTGATGATTTGATGTCATAAATGTTACTTCACTTTACTTTTTTTACTTTAAAAAGACCACTAAGGTGGTCTTTAGTGGTCTTTAGTGAAATAAACATATAATATCCATTACTCCAGGAGTGATGACAGGATATAAAAAAAAAAAAGTTTTTAAAAAAATCTAAGAACACATTTCACAAAGAAGCACTTTGTTCAGAAGATCAGCCTTAAGAAAGGCCAGAGGTACTGCAAATAATTTTATATTTTATATGAGATGGAACTGTAGTTTTCAATACAATCGAAGACTTATCATCCTTCAGTGCACTTGTACCACAAGTTTCAGCTTCCAATCAGGGGTATGGATTCGGTTGAGAATTACAGGTCACACAAACACTTAGTGGGTATGCAAGGCTCTGGACACAGTTCTTAAGATCTTTCTCAAGAAATTCATCAGGGCCAGCTCAGGTTCCTTGTAAGAATTTGTATATAGAATCTAATTAAACAGCTTCTCTACTAAACACAACACTTGTAATTCAAAAAGAATCAATCAGATCTATTTATAATTATAATTTGTAATTATTATATTTTTAGTCTAGATAATAATGGGTGCCGACCAGAGTAAAACAGGGGGAGGTGACATTGTGGTTGTAAACAAAGATCCATCATGTAATGACAAAAGTAAGGTACACAATTTTTAATACCTCTTAACTGGTCCATTGTACTTTGTTGTAGCTTTATAAATATGTATATTGTTATATTGCTTTCACGCCCGATAAGCTCGCCATACATCAGGACCCATTTATAAGCAATATTTCAAAGGAGCATGAGGATATCAAATTAAAATGTAGACATTTTCCAAAAATTTTGGGGAAAGGGGTTTAGAGTAAATCAGGTTACATTTAAATTGTAAATCAGGGTCTCATTGTATATAAAAGATGCAAATCGACCTCGGGCATTCAAGCCTGACTTTTATTCAAGCTTAAAACCACTGTAATCACTGCCCTCATTACATATAATCCTTATAATATTAAGCATCTATGCTTAAAACGTCCTCATACCTGAGGAGAAGAGCTACGAGGGATAGATGGTATCTATTGCTCAGGATTTACGATTGTGCTCTGCCAATTGCATCACTTGATTTAATTTATTGTATATATACTGTTTGACATTTCTTAGATCCTAAAACGTCCTCAAGGCTGAAAGGGGCAATGGACTTTAAAAGGCAATGTACATTCAATGGCATGAGCATAAACGATCTTGCGTAATACATAATGGAGACAGAATTTAACAATCTGTTTGCTGTACATGCCAGTAGCTATATGATATTCAACAACGCTTTCGCAATACAAAGCTAACATCACAATTATGATTCCATAGTATGCCATAACTAGTGGACAAAAAATTATAATGTTAAAAACATGGGGATGGGAAATAAAGTGGCCGCTTACATACCAAGAATTTTTGCTGTTACTCTTGTTGGGCAGGGTGGGGTAACTCATAGCATGACATTATTGTTGCTAAACTGGACAAGAACTTTTTTAAACTTGATTTTGACCTATTTTTGGTATGTTATTATATTAGCCCTGCATACTCGTCCTATGTCAAGAAGAATCCAGATTATACTGCTAATACCTTCTCTGCTCTTGACTCTATCTGTATCAGACTACGTCAAAAGGGAGAAGTTATTATGTGTGGCGATGCAAATGCAAGAACTGGAAAACTCCCAGACTATATCCTTTCCTGTAATGCACCTGCCATCCATGACATCTATAACGACATTGGACTCGAGCACGACATAGAAGAACCAAGAAATAATTCTGACCTTACAATATCTGAACCCCACTGCCAACACTTTCTTGACATGGTTATCAATAACCAACTCAAAATTCTTAATGGTCGTACCCTTGGGGACACCACTGGAAAAATGACCTGTCACAAATACAATGGAAGCAGTGTGGTTGACTATTTTGTAATCACCTCATGGGCAAGAGATCATGTAAACTCTCTCCAAGTAAAAGAGTTTACATCATACTCTGATCATTGTCCATTAGTCTTGAAACTCACTACATTTGAACCATTTGTCGCAAACTTCCAGCTCCCAGACTTTTCTAACTTTCCTTGTGGCTATAAGTGGGATAGCAACACCTCCCATTCACTATTTAAAAAAGCCCTTACCTCGCCCGAAATTATCAACAATCTGGAAAGCATTGTGACAAATGAATTTAGCAGTACTCTGGAGGGCAATCACGAACTGAACGATGCAGTCATAAAATGTCTCCACAGTGCTGCTGATATAGCCTTAAAAGTGAAAAAGCCTCCCAAAAATTCTGCCCGTAAGAAATGGTTCGACCCACAAGTCAACTCCTCGCGGCGGAACCTAAATAGGCTAGCAAACCGGCTTGGTAGTAAGCACTGTAACAGTATCCTCAGACGAGAATACTTTAAGCAACGCAACAAGCATAGCAATTTTGTAAACAGTAAGAAAGTAGCTTTCCTTAAGAAGTTAAATGAAGCTATAGAAGAAGGTCACATACTCGACTGGAAAAAATTTAAACGGCTTAAACAAGAACATGACACTAGCCCCTTACTTGACAAATTTGATTTAGCTAGCTTCCATGACTTCTTTGCATCCCTTTATAAAAAACCAGACCAGGAGCCAGATCTCACTCACCACAATCACAAACATTACCCTGAACCACCAGATCTGGATATCCTAAATAAGCTCATGTCAGAATCTGAAGTGACCTCTGCCATCAAAAATCTCAAAAAAGGTAAAAGTTGCTCAAACGACTTGATATCCAACGAGATGCTTCAGAGCGTAACTCCGCTTTGTCTCAAAGCCATCCTCAAAAACTTCAACCACTCACTGGTCTCTGGTTACTATCCATGGCACACCAGCATCATTACTCCTATTTACAAGTCTGGCAACCCTTTCAGCCCGGACAACTACAGAGCAATAGCTGTTGGTAGCTGTATGGGTAAACTATTTTCTAGCATCTTACTTGAGCGTCTCCTGCACTTCAAAAAGCTCTACTGCCCTGACCCAAAAGAACAACTAGGGTTCTCGAAGGGTGCTCAAACAAATGACCACGTTTTTACCCTTAAGACAGTCATTGACAAATATACCAAGGTTAAGAAAGCTCGCCTCTATGCATGCTTTGTTGATCTAAGAAAGGCCTTTGACACTGTATGTAGGGACCTCCTTCTGCACAAAATCACATGCCTTGGAATAACTGGAAACTTCTTCAATTGCCTAAGTGATATGTATAGAAACTCAATAGCTCATATAAAAATCTCCAAACTCTTGTCCCCTAATATTGACATTGGAAAAGGAACAGAGCAGGGACACCCCCTATCACCGGACCTTTTTAAAATCTATATCAACGACTTGTCATCTCTCCTGAAATCTGTTGGTGATTATCCTATTCTAGCTGACGTCCTAATATCACATCTGCTCTGGGCTGACGATCTTGTCCTACTTGCCCTAAGTCCCAAGGCCTTGCAAGACAATATAAACATCCTATTCGACTTCTGTAACTCTATGGGCCTTGAAGTAAACATTAAAAAAACCAAGATTCTCATATTCTGCCCTCCTAAAAGAAAACAATCCTATGAAACATTCATTTTGGGAGGCCAGCCCATCCAACACACCGAAAAATACTGCTATCTTGGCATTATATTCCACAGAAATGGATCTTTTACAGCAGCAAATACTGAACTGAGGGCCAAGGCTCTCCGTGCTCTCTATGGCCTCAAAGGCAATATCGTCAAAGATGCCCTCTCTCACCGTTCCCTAAACATTCTATTTGACTCTCTAATAAAACCGATACTGCTCTATGGCTGCCAAATCTTATGTCCTCACTCAAAAACCATGAGATACCTCTCCAAAACAGATAGCAAAGCCAACCCCCAGCATACTCTCAGGTACATCTCACAAGACCACTATGAAAGATTCCACCTTAAGTTTATCAAGTGGTCCTTGTCTGTCCATTCAAAAGCATCAAATATAGGCTGCTGGGGCGAAAGTGGGCGCCACCCCCTCTTCTTTGAAGCCTGCAAACTTGCAATAGATTTCTATAGTCGTCTTGAAAGCACTGAAAATGAACTCCTCTCCGCTGCATTTCACGAGCAGATTATGCTGGGCCTTCCTTGGTACACCAACATCTCTAATCTTCTCACCAAATATAACTTCCCCCACTCATCCTCTTCAAAATCCAAGCTCTACCCAAATCAGTCACAACATGAGGGAAGAATTTGTGGATACCTGGAAATCTGCCAAGGCATCCTCACCTAAATTAGAATTCTACAATCAAATTAAACATGATTTTGAACCAGAAACATACTTAGGAGTGGTTAAGATCCCCGATGCTCGGAAAAGCTTAACAAGGTTTCGTATTAGCTGCCACAATCTTTACATTGAGAGGGGCCGTTACGAAACCCCCCTAGTACCAAGAGAACATCGATGGTGCACTTTTTGCTTTTTCAGCAAGGGGCTTAAGCCTATTGAGGACGAAATTCATGTTCTAACTGACTGTTTACTCTACTCCTCAGTTAGAGAAAAATTTAACTTCCATCCCAAAAATATTACTGACCTAGCCGGTTTGCTATCCGATAAAACACTAGACCCTACAAAATTTACTGCCACAGCAAGAGCAATCCATTCAATTCTCTCTGTGAACGAAAATTTTACAGCCTACTATAAGAGCCCAGATTTCCACTCAAATACTGGCCAATGCATAATGCTACAGGACCTCAAAAATAGTATTATAAAACATTTCTATTTTATCCCTACACATTTGTAAATAACTAGAATTGTGTAACCTTAAATTATTTCAGAATTATAACTATTGTGAATTCAATAAAATAATTATCACTTTTGTATCCTTGTATCCTTGTATCCTTGTATCCTAGCATGCCCACCACCCCTGGCCCTCTCGGAAAGTTTTTTCAAGGATCCTACTTTGTAAACTTGTAGAAAGCTTTCTCAGATTAGAATTCACAAAAGTTTCCGAGTCAACCGTCTTAATCTAAACAATCGAGCAGATTGACATTTACACTCTTCTACTATATTATGTGTTATATTTTAATCCTGCTATTATAACTTATTCTCTATTTATTACCTGCTAGGCTACTATGATGTATGTTCTATTAGCATCCTGCTACTATAATGTACTATATTTGAGTTTTACCTATGACCACCTCCTAATCCAGGAACCTATCAAGAGGACAGTTACAAAATTGCAGCCTTTACTACAGCACAGTGCGAGCTTTGGAATCTTGGCCTCCGATCATGCTGCTCTCAGACAGCTTAACCCCCGACATTTGATAGAGGTGAATCATTTTTAGTTAAATAACGGGATGAGGTCAATTAGTTAAACAATTTATTTTAGTCATATTTTTTAATTATTGATATACCAGATGTATTTTACCCCTAACATTTAAGGTTGACTTAGGGTCAGTAATAATAACGTGAAATTCTATTGCAAACCGATTTCGATTCTGTAGCCTAAAAATTTCCATTTATCAGAACACATTCATAGAAAAGTTTCCTAAAATATCTACACTTTAAGCATGACAATCATGCCTCATAAGGCCAAACCTTTTCAGCCTTGATTTTTATGTGAAACCTTCTGTTATATGTACGACAATAATCAAACGAGCACTAATCATAAACATTCCGAGTGCTTAAGCAAAAAGCATCTTATAAGTTATAGTTAAAACTAACTTTGCTTTCCGTAAAACACAACAATACACCCTGCCTTCATTCAAATTTTCTCAACCTTACCAAAATACTCCTGTATGCAGCTGTTTACTGTGTACGAAGAACATTTAAGACAAAGCTCAGTTGTGGTATCTGAAGAGCAAAACCAACTCTCAAGAAGTATCAAACAAGCTGACCAGTCAGTTGCTCTAATTCTTGGTAAGTAAACACTTTTCTAGAAGTTCTACAGCGTAACTATGTAGCCATGGTTGTCCGCAGTAAAGCGTAAGGGTGGTCATTTCAGTTGATGGCCCTGCTGCAGCGCAGCTAAAACAGCAAATAAATAATAGTCCTACACTTAAAATTAACAGTCGGTTTTCTCCTGCGTCAAACGTTTTCTCTCCTGCAGCTATAACAGAGAAAAAGCACAACGTGTATAACGTGTGGAGTAACAACATACAGAGCTCAGTTAAGGAGATAAATCAGCAGCTAGCTCATATAAACACACTGGTGGACGGTTTAGTGCCTCTGGTTAACGAACTTAATGAAACCCTCCCAGTTGACGAGCGGTTACCAACCTTTACCCAGTCAGACAACATTTCCTAGCATCTAGTTATCAGCCTTTCAGCCAGTTCTTTTCAGAGTTCTAGGCTCTAGCCTCAAATTCTCAACCTCTACAAGTATCTATTTTCAACCCTCTTGTAGGCTCTTATTATTCATCTCTTCATATCAACCAGTTCACAATCTCTTCCTATCAACTAGTAATAAACCTGCTCGAGATCAGTTATACTTCTATATTGCCTACTGTTAGTGTTTACTTTACTCTCGTTTCCATTTTTACCTATGTCAAAGCTATTTTCGTATATATACGTTTATATATGTTTATAAACATTATTTCGGGGGTCTATCTGAACAAGTGCTCCTTACTCTGGCCGTAATGTTCCTCTAAGTTTACCTTTGTTAGATAAAATATTTTGAATTTTAAATTGATGTATTAATCATGATGAAACACCAGATGATTAGTTTTTTACCTATGTTTTTATCAGAGAATTTCCAAATTGAAAGTTCTTTATAATTATTTTTACGTATTTGGTAAAATTTTCAAACTCATTTTCGAGTCATGAAAATGTTTTTAAGATTCGTGCAAATGACTTTCGTAACATTATGTGTTTGAAGGGCATACTGACCCTATTGCCCTGTGTAATTAAGTTGTTGTGTTAAATAATATGATCTCAGCATGAAATTTGTGCAATTATTTGTGTCAGATAATTTAAAGGTTCTGATAATTGTTATAATTTTCAAAGAATGGAATTGCAAATGAAAGGTCTTGCTTCTGAGTCCGTCAACAATATAAGGCTTATGTTTTCGTGACTGGACATTTTGTTTTTGTAAGATTTAAGATGTTTTTTAATGAGATTTTTCATAGAAACACAATTTGGATTAAATGTAACACTTTACATTAAGTTATCAACTTGCTTCGTGTCCTAATTATTGCGAATTAAAAGTCAGTAGTCCGCTCCAAAAATAATTGATTACTTATTGTTGAGCGCCGCGCGTAAAGCAAGAAATTTCAACACCAAATTTCATCACTTTTCAATAAAAAGTAACAGTTGTCAACAGCTACAACGAAACGCGCACGTACTTTCATATGTAGTAATGCGTGGAATTAACGAACAACAATTTCTAGTGGGTAATGTTGTCCGCCATGAATTACGAAGATTTTAGAGACCCGACAGAAACTGTCCGTTCCAGGCTGGATGATGAGGAGGATTTGTCGGACGATCAGTACAATGCAAATTTTGGAAATGACAGAACTTTCCATAGCAGTAATCTTGACGAAACTCCTGAGATAGCAAGCGAGGTAACTAATATTTTAATTGTGTGAATACCTCTCATCCTATATATTTGAATGTAAGATTAAGTTGGGTGCCCGCCCCTCCCCCCGTGTGAATTATAAATCCTATTTCTTCAGGTAACAGTTGGAAAAGATGTCGACAACAAGTACGATCTAAAGAAGGAGCGGGCTCCAAGATCGCCGAAATCTAAGACTGATGTAAGAACAATCACATAACAACGTTTGATCTGAAATTAAGCTGAGAAAGTCCACCCACCGCCATTTACACCGTGGTTGGTACAGGGTATCATAACCGTATGATAACATCAAATAACGGAGTAGTTCGCTGTTTATTAGTCTCATGATTGAAATACTGATATCTGGATATTATCCGGTTGGAAGAGACAAGGACAAGTGAAACAAGGAAGTTAGGAGTAAGGGCAAATTTTCGGCGTCAACGCCATCTTCAGGCTAAAATAGTTATAAATGTTAGTATATAATAAATGCTTCTATACTAGTTAAAATGCTAAATTAAAATTACACACACTGAATACAGGTTACATCAAATGGTATTGTACATTACATTGAAAATAGTGATGTGCACACGTTTTACACTCTGTCCAAGTACATAACATCTACTGAACAGCAGGGTCGTGTGCTATTTGTTTAAATTTGTCTTTGAATATGTTGTAAAAGAAATCCCTTAAGCTTCTCGCACTCTTCTTTGTTATTGATACTAGGTTTAAATAAATTAATGTAGTAAGCTTCTGTCACTTTACGTTTAATGGTGCTATATAAGTTAATTTCTAAAATATCGAAGGAAATATCTGGTTCTGTGTTATCGTGAAACTCTGAATAATGAGCAGCCAACGCATTATCAGGATAGGTTAAAGGCCTGTTGACTGCTCTTCGATGCTCTGAAAATCTATCGTGTGCTGTTCTACTCGTTTCCCCTATATATAGCTCTTGACATAATTTACACGTAACTTTGTATATGACACATTTTGGTTTGCAGTCGTGATTTGTTGTGATGAGTGGACATATGATACAGTTTGGTATGGTGCAGTGTGGTTTGTCGTGTGGTCGTGATGAACATAAGATTTCTTACCTGGTGTGAATATGAATTTGACCGGTAAGTTGTGTGAGAGGGCAAATTGAGTGACTTCTTTGGAAAATGGCTTGTTGATGAATGGTAGAGTGCATGTTACGTGGTCGGTATCTTGTATGTTTGATGATGAAGGGTTATGACGTGTTGTAGGTGAGAGAGGGTGAAGTCGTCCTGTTTTGTTTATACGTCGTGGGTCTTGGTAACCGTTGTTGACCAACAAGTTGTCTACAATCTTCATGGACTCTTCTTTATACTCTGGTGTTGATGAGCAAAAAGCAGCCGTTTTGTAGAAGTTCTTGATGGTTGCTACTTTAGTTCCCTCATTGTGGTGGCTGTTGGCGTGCAGTGTGATATTCTTTTTCTGCTTCTTTCTGTAGAATTTGTGGTGTAGTGTTCCCTGTTCGTCGATCTTTATCTGGGTGTCGAGGAATGGGGTGAAATCCTGACGGCTTTCCGGATAGTCAATTTCCCATTTGAGCAACTGGTCTGGGTCCTCGTTTGAGATGGACTCCACTATCCTCAGAGCTTCTTCTTTGGAGCTGGCTAGACTCCCGGCATCATCCACGTATCTCCGGTAGAATGAGACGTGTAAATCAGTGTAAATCGATCTTCTCTCGAACATATATACTCGTACTATCGCTCCTATTGGTGATGGTTGGCACTCCACTTCTCGAGAAGCGACAAGGGGGGTGAGTTTGTGATTATGAGTAGTGGAGTACAACAGCAGATTACGCAGAAACATCTGTCAGACATGACCTCGCAAGAAGCGTACACCTACGTTGCACCTACCACCACGCGACAAAATCGGATCCAACCAATAGCAAACCCCTCAGAAGTCTCCTACAGCCGCCTCATCAACAGGGTTACTGAGAGACTAGAGACTGAGAGTAATGTGTTATGGACAGAGATAAGTAGGATGTGTAATTATGACAGCAAAACAGTAGACTTATTTAAATCACATAATACCCAACTACCGACTATTTATTTAATACAGAAAACTCATAAATTTGATTGTAATGTCTTAGTTTCAGATGTAGATATTATTTCTAATTGTAAAATACGTCCAATTGTGTCTTGTATAAATTCCCCTTCTGAGAAGCTTGCTTGGATTGTTAAATCTATTCTATCTCCTCTGCTTAATCATGTTCCATCTCACCTGAGCAATATACACACTCACCTAGAAGAGCTTCAAAACATGTCACATCAACAACTCTCATGTCTCTCATTCTTCACAGCTGACGTCACAGCACTGTACAAGGCATCATGTAGCCGGTGGGCCCGACATGATACGACACATCTCGACACGTCGGGGTTTTGTCAGGGTTTGTCGGGGTTTGTCGGGGTTTTGTCGGGGTTTGTCAGGGTTTGTCAGGGTGTGTCGGGGTTTGTCGGGGTGTGTCGGGGTTTGTCAGGGTGTGTCGGGGTTTGCGGGGTTTGTCAGGGTGTGTCGGGGTTTGTCGGGGTTTGTCAGGGTGTGTCGGGGTGTGTCGGGGTGTGTCGGGGTTTGTCGGGGTTTGTCAGGGTTTGTCGGGGTTTGTCGGGGTTTGTCGGGGTTTGTCGGGGTTTGTCAGGGTTTGTCGGGGTGTGTCGGGGTTTGTCGCCCGGGTTTGTCAGGGTTTGTCGGGGTTTGTCGGGGTGTGTCGGGGTTTGTCGGGGTGTGTCGGGGTTTGTCGGGGTGTGTCGGGGTTTGTCGGGGTTTGTCGAGCCTGGAGGCTACATGATGCCTTGTACACAAACATCAACATCAGTGGCTGCATTCAAGACCTCATTACACTCACCGAAGAACATTGGGAAGACCTCGACACCTGGGGTCTAACACTCACGCACATCCACAAGATCCTTGAATTCGTCTTCACCAACTCATACTTTACATATCACTCAAGACTCTACCTCCAGAAAATTGGTCTCTTCATGGGGTGCCAACCATCACCAATAGGAGCGATAGTACGAGTATATATGTTCGAGAGAAGATCGATTTACACTGATTTACACGTCTCATTCTACCGGAGATACGTGGATGATGCCGGGAGTCTAGCCAGCTCCAAAGAAGAAGCTCTGAGGATAGTGGAGTCCATCTCAAACGAGGACCCAGACCAGTTGCTCAAATGGGAAATTGACTATCCGGAAAGCCGTCAGGATTTCACCCCATTCCTCGACACCCAGATAAAGATCGACGAACAGGGAACACTACACCACAAATTCTACAGAAAGAAGCAGAAAAAGAATATCACACTGCACGCCAACAGCCACCACAATGAGGGAACTAAAGTAGCAACCATCAAGAACTTCTACAAAACGGCTGCTTTTTGCTCATCAACACCAGAGTATAAAGAAGAGTCCATGAAGATTGTAGACAACTTGTTGGTCAACAACGGTTACCAAGACCCACGACGTATAAACAAAACAGGACGACTTCACCCTCTCTCACCTACAACACGTCATAACCCTTCATCATCAAACATACAAGATACCGACCACGTAACATGCACTCTACCATTCATCAACAAGCCATTTTCCAAAGAAGTCACTCAATTTGCCCTCTCACACAACTTACCGGTCAAATTCATATTCACACCAGGTAAGAAACTCTCAGAGATCTTATGTTCATCACGACCACACGACAAACCACACTGCACCATACCAAACTGTATCATATGTCCACTCATCACAACAAATCACGACTGCAAACCAAAATGTGTCATATACAAAGTTACGTGTAAATTATGTCAAGAGCTATATATAGGGGAAACGAGTAGAACAGCACACGATAGATTTTCAGAGCATCGAAGAGCAGTCAACAGGCCTTTAACCTATCCTGATAATGCGTTGGCTGCTCATTATTCAGAGTTTCACGATAACATAGAACCAGATATTTCCTTCGATATTTTAGAAATTAACTTATATAGCACCATTAAACGTAAAGTGACAGAAGCTTACTACATTAATTTATTTAAACCTAGTATCAATAACAAAGAAGAGTGCGAGAAGCTTAAGGGATTTCTTTTACAACATATTCAAAGACAAATTTAAACAAATAGCACACGACCCTGCTGTTCAGTAGATGTTATGTACTTGGACAGAGTGTAAAACGTGTGCACATCACTATTTTCAATGTAATGTACAATACCATTTGATGTAACCTGTATTCAGTGTGTGTAATTTTAATTTAGCATTTTAACTAGTATAGAAGCATTTATTATATACTAACATTTATAACAATTTTAGCCTGAAGATGGCGTTGACGCCGAAAATTTGCCCTTACTCCTAACTTCCTTGTTTCACTTGTCCTTGTCTCTTCCAACCGGATAATATCCAGATATCCGTATGATAACAGTTAACTATATGATATATCAGGTGTACCAGCAAATAAGCGCCACAAAGTGTAATATCCTCTCTAACCCTACCTGGACAAGCTGGGCTCGTCAGCAGAGGGGGAGAAGACGTAGTTCCAGTTCCCCTTCAGTCGGAGGGAGTGGGAGGAAGAAGTACATCTGTGAAAAATGTAACGACGTCTTTACAAGGTCAGACATCATCTTTTCACATATTAGTGATGCTGATATCAGGAATCATTTCATTACATATTAGGATATAACTTGAAGTTTTTATTTGTGGGGAGAAACTTAGCAAATCGACCTATGCGTTCCTTTGTCAAAACGCTCAACTAACTGCAGAACTTAAGGAAGTTACATTTTTTATTTGTACACCAATTAGTAACTGAAAATAATAACAAAACTATATCTACTATATTACCTAACTACATAGTACATATTTGTCACCATGATAACTAGATGATGTTCAGGTCGGCCGAGTTGCGGGTTCACAGGGACACCATGCATGCGGGAGAGAAGAAGTACAAGTGTAAAGATTGTGGTAAACTGTTCAGTCAGAAGGGGAGTCTCAACCGGCATATGGCTCAGGTAAACCATCTTATACGATAGATCTACCACTCTTGTGTAATGTGTTGTTACTTATACTAGAACAAAGACGCGTTGCAGTTGGAGTCAGGATCAGGGTCGGGGTAAGTAAAAACACGGATAATGCCCCTTATTTCATGCCTCACCCAGCTTCCTATTCCAGGTGCCACACGGTGAGTTTAAGTACCGATGTCCGAGATGTGGTCAGATATTTGTCTATAAGGAGTACCTCATGACGCACCTCAAGTTCAGTATCCACTGCGTTAAATCTCCCGTCTACGAAGAGCAGTGCAACTCTAACGTTAGTAGAACTGTACGTTACAGTGTTTGTATTATTTGCCTTTCATTGCTTTTGTAATTAGCTGATTTTTAAACTGTTACAATCTTATCATTTAATAGTTTAATGTTCCCATTACAGATAGTAATGTTAGTGAGTTTAGCATAAACAATGTTCCCATTACAGACGATGATGCACTCCTCGACATTCCTGAGCTCTTTATCAGAGGGTGGGGAGTCCTCTTACAGTCCCACCTACAGGTCAGGTCCCCCTGGCCTCCGGCCCGGCTCCTACTCCAACACGTACCCTCGACAAAGAATGTACAGCAAACTGCCACCCGGCCTCAGAATACCTCCGCACAGTTAACTGCAGTGTTGCTTTGGTAACAACTATCTGACAGAAAAGTTAAGCCATGATTTTGCTGGTGAATTCATTTCGGAGACTCCTAGCTGAAAGTTGATCATAAAACTCAGTTTGAACATAGATGGATAATTGATGCCGTGAAGATAAGACTGAACGTAGATGTAATGCGGATTATAATTGCTCTGCAGTGTTTAAATTTTAACTCTTTGATTTCTGAAGTTGTAGTTTGTAACTGGGACCCTGTAAGTTTTTTGTTGTTTTGAGTTTGAAAGCGCCCCCACTGTGTGTTCTGTGTTAGAATAGGCTCTCATTTAATTGGTGGCCTGCCAATGTAATGAGTTTAATTGACGAACATGCTGAATTTGATGTACATATTATTATTGTCTTAGCATTATTGCAGCCCGAATTCTCTATCAATCACTGACTGATAAGTTTAGTGTTGAGTATCATAATATGTAATGAAGCACCAGTTTGGCCAAAAAACAGTTCGGCGCTTGAAAAATTAATAATAGCGTTTGTTTTGCACTCATATTGCGCTTATAATATAATCGATTTTACTTTGCGCTAGACTACTATATTTTCACCATATCTGAACTTGAGTGTTGCCAAGGGATGCTTTTGCCTTTTGTGTAAAAATGTTCGTACTGTCAGTGTTTTGACTGGGGTAATCAAGAATTTTAGTCACTTCTACACTGACAACTGTTACACTGCCCTAACTGTAACACTAACACTGTTACACTAATAAGGTTGAACTGTAACGCTTAAATGTTTTGGTAAATCGACTGATTCTGATCAAGCTTTGGTATTACTATGTAATTGTAATATTAGGTACAATTAATAACTTGATTTCGTGCATCTGCTGTAGCTAAATTATTGAAAAACTTCACTATAGTTTAACTCATAAGCAATAACTGGTATTTGGTATCTATAGTAATTCATAAGCAATATTACTGATACTTGTTAACTATAGTAACTCAATATCAGGCGACTCACTCATTAGTAATAAGAATTAATTTAAGTGGTTTAAATTTTAATGAATTAAGCTTTATTTCAATTTTTCATTCGGTTCATTTGATATTGGTTCATATTGTGAGTTGATAAATATGAGAGTATTTTGGTTATCTGACCACAAATAGTAAGTCTAATTTAGAAATTTGAAGTGGTCAATTTCCGTTATAACTGAATATTATCAATTTAATTATATTTTACTTATCATCGTTAATTGACTTGTTCATTTGTTCGGAAGATTTAAAAAAATAAATAGCGGGGGCAGTTTCGCCACTGCTGGCCACATCTTTTGTCTTGCCCACAAAATGTTTAACGGCTGAAAGATTGTAATTGTATAAAGTTCTCGGAAACTAGAGGACCGCACGAATTCTCAATATTAGGACGGTATATTATCGATGTATTATAACGGAGTGAAGTACCACCAGGAAATTGATAAGCATAAGAGATAACGATATTGACTTATCTTGTGTGCACGTGTGGCCAGTGAGATTTCATTTATGCAGTCACATGGCCTCTTTCCAGCGATGAGGAGGGGCAAAGAGCCGCGCGCACGTGTTATGTCAACTCTTACCCAAATATAATTATAATGGACATATGGGGTGGTTTCACTAGCGTCATAGATCATTGGTAGACTGATAATTTAGTTTAAATCACTGTGCTTTTAACTAAATTGACTGATCATAGTCTATATTTTCATACTGCAAATATACTGTATCGGGAGTAACAGTAACAATAACATAAAACAGACAATTTTTAATTTTTTCCAAAAAAATTAAAATATCGCGACATAACGATCTGAGCACTTTCAAAGCATCATTCGCCTGCCACCATATGAACATGCGGTATTTTTATACGCCATACTACATACTGAGCTCCTAGCTGAGTGCCTTCCTAATCAAGGGTCGACCGAGTCCTCGGCCTCGGCACTCGGTTTTACCGAGGAATAGCGATTTTTCCTCGGCCTCGGTCAGGAGGACAATTCCTCGGTTTTATCAAAGCAAAATTTCCTCGGCCTCGGTCACAAATCCTGCCCTCGGTCGACCCTTGTTCATAATGGCAGAAATAAATTTTGAAATCTAAAAATTTTTCGACGACAACTCTCAGACTCAAATAGCATTCTCAGACTCAAATAGCATTTTTATATATTTAGGATATATATTGCTTCATAAGTTGTATTATAGAGATAATATGGCTATTGAATATTGGCTATTATATATACGGCTATTATATTGTATATAATATTGCGAACTATTGTCGCCAATTTGGCCCTGCCCCTATTTTCCAGGAACTGCGCCCAAATAGTTATGTATAAGTGAAATGTAGATATTGAACTAGCTAGAGCAGTAGAGCAAATTTTCTCCAGACGGCTATACTACGACACCACGTACGAACAAAGTTTTAAAATTTATTCCTGCCATTATTATTTATTTTTATTAGGAAGGCACTCAGGAGAGCAGCTGAATGGGGGTGGAAATTCACCACAATTATGTCCACATTATTATATGGGAGACAATTTGTCTCAGACAAATGATGGTTACAAAATCAAAAGTGTTCACATTCAGACCATCGCGACTGGGGTGACATAGTAAACTCACATACTGTGAGCTGTCTCGTCTCATTTCACTTTTCCAATCCCAGCTGGCACTTAACTTTAAGCATATCATTTTGACTCATGATGTCACTTTTAACACCATCCTCAACCATTTACTCTGATTTCTCCGGCAACGGGCAACCTTCCCCAGGGTTGCCACTTGCCACACCCCAGAGGTAGGCAGAGCATCTCAATGATATCCTCTCGTGGGCTATCATGGCCAAGCCTCTCTTTTTTTAGATTAAAAAAAAAGACTATCGCGAATCGATGTATTTTAATTTTTTGGAAAAAATTGAAAATTGCTGGAATTTTTGGTCAATTGTTTTAACTATCAGTATCGTTTGGAAGGTCCGAGTCTGATCCATCATTCGCATGACCATTGCAGTCATTATACACCCATATTGAGCTCGACATTTAAATTTTAAAAGTTTGTCGTAGGCGCCTGGACCGAGGAAACAATGTTGAATATATTTTTTGCTTTTGTTGGTTCTGCCCATCAGATCTACCTTCAGATTTGTACTTTTATTTTTACAATTGTTTGATGTGGTTCCTGGGACTATGGACATTGGACAACATGACACGTCCCTGTCCAGAAATCTGAAATCCTTGTGGCAAATTTTTATATATAGTTCCCAGAAAATATTCATAACGCACAATGCCCTCATTATAATAATATATATTATATAAGAGCTGATAATATAAAGATTGCGATTGACGATATTCATATAGGTCATCAAATATATATATATATATAATCACACAAATAATGTAGAATTAAGAATAATATACGCTGATAATACAGTAATATTAGAAACTAGAAGCGCTTTTTAATTCAGAAAGATTACTGTCCAAGTCACGTGGTTTGAGAGGAGCCAATAAGCGCATCCCTAGCCCCCGCGTGAACCAATCCTGTGTGAGCAGTCACGCGATCAGCCGCGCGGCCAATCACAGCGCTTTGCGTTGCTTAGTCGTCCAATCAGATTTGAGTAGGCCGATTTTAGCATACGCAGAAGGAGCTCATCTTTTCGAAAACGTCAATGTTCAGAATCTAGTACAGCTGCTGTTGGTTTGAGTTTTGGTTCAGTTGACTTAATATTCGCTGTTTCGTTTGTTTGTTTTACGTTTAAGTTTGAATTTGGAATATGCACACCGAGGAAGTGAGTCCCCCTATTTCTATTTTTACTTGAGCAAAACTTTTACTGAAAATCGAATGATTAGATTTTTAATAGATACTCCGAATCATGAGCTATGCATAGAAGTAACTTTTGTAGTAAAGTCGGATTAGGGTCAATTTATTAGAGTCAAGTGTTAAGTTAGGTTTTTAGTACAGTTTTTATTATAGTTAAATAGTTAATTCATATACATACAATATAGTCCACAAGGGTAAAGTAATTTCGTAGGTTTTGTATTATATTACAGCATCTTTTAGAGCCCTTTTAGCAGTGTAAGTAGGCGGAAGCAAAGGATTTTCTGTAGTCACGCGTGAATGAGTTTCGCATTTCAGCAGCTTATTTAAGGCCGTCTATATCTAGGTTTTGACCTTTGCGTTATCGAAGTATTTGTTTCAGAACGGACCCCCTTCCAAGGAGGACAAAACTGCGGGAATTCTCTACATGGAGCGACTTTTTGTGGGCAATCTGGACAATGAGGTAACTCCAATTATTCGGGGGAGGGGATGGATGTAGATTGAAATTTGAAATAATTTTAAAGATTTGTTAAATTATAATGTTCCGTTGTAAGTTTTATTTTCACCAAGTCTTTATACTTAAATCAGCGGCCATTTTTGATCAGACCTAAGACCTTGTACCTCAAATTTTCCACCCTTAAACAACCATTTCGTGAATGTTGTTTTTTATCTTAGTTTCTGGATGTTTTTTGAAACTTGAAGTTACTTTAAAAGTATAACAAACGGTGATCGTTATTTTCGTCAAATTCAAGGCATTTTTATACGACAAATTGACTGCAATAATCTGCAAAATGACATTACAGCACGCCAATTACCTTAGGGCCAATAAATTTTGTTAGAAAAATGTTGGTTACCATAAATTTAGTCATAAATTTAGTCTCAATAAATTTGGTGTACAAATATTTTAGTCAACATTTTGACTAAACTTATGGTAGACTAAATTTGTCGTTCTTAAGGTAGCCACGTTAATTACCACTGCTTACATCCCCTTAACGTCGTCTGGATAAATCAACATCCTTCACATGTATATAATGAGGAAAATGTTGCTTAACTCACTATTTGCTGTTCTGATGAGCCGGCAATAGTAAGGGGTTACGAACGTTCTATAGCTCCAACTCAAGATTGTGCTTGAATGCTGTACGAGAAGTATTTGATGCCCATTTTATAACTCAACAAAGCTGAACATGTGTATGTTTTAAGGACAGCTCTTATTTTGCCTCGGATCGATCATCGACAGTATACTAGGAAGAATTTTCGTTTATCCAAAAGTTGGGCTTTCCAGAGGTATAATAATGGATGATTTATCAAAGGCTTAAGTGTCTGCAGAGTTCGCAGAGAAACTTCATATTGTTCGCATGGCTGACTTAAAGGTGACAACATTTTTGCATCCATTGTTTTCATTTAAATGACGCTTATATAGAAAATTTTGTATGCCCAATTTACTTCGCATCTTGACTCTGGATTCTAGGGAGGTACTTTCTGCAACTAGCGACCCTCAAGGCAGAAAGCTCACTACAGAGAACTGAAAGCATTCTATGAGTATAATTGAAACGGTTTTTATTGTAAGTCTGATAGCCATTCTTTTGTCATTTAATGGGTTTAATGTTGCTGGAGGCATTATAATTTGTTGAATGAAACTTATAGGCGAGTCATAAATAGATTCCATTCTCATTTCTTGCGAAGTCTTAGAATTGATGTCCCCTTTCACTCCTAGTCCTGGAGGGTTGACGCAAAGTGTTCGGATTTTCAGGTCAGTATCAAAATAGCTGCATTGTTGAAAATGTAAGCTTTCTCAACACCATGACGATGACTGTTGTGTTCGGCGCGGATTTTCAGGTCAGTATCAAAATAGCTGCATTGTTGAAAATGTAAGCTTTCTCAACACCATGACGATGACTGTTAAAACTGGTGTGCCTCTGATTGTAAAATCGTCCACTCTTTCAAAAGGAAATCTAATTTTCTTAGACAATTTGACATAAGGCTACCTCATTATTCATATCCCGCAAGCATCCACGTTGTCTTTATCAGTATCACAAGTACTGAGATAGCCCTGTGGCCTGTAGTTAATAATAAGGCGAATTATTATATAAATATAGCCAAAATTCGTATTTGGTTGTGTACGATCCCATTTCAATATGAACAATTAATGTCGCAATATAAATAATATCCTCTGTTGAACTACAGTTGAACTACAGATGCTGCAATGAACTCTGATCTCGCGTGCTTGACCTTGAAAGTAAAGTCATTTAAACGAGCTGTCGGAACTGATCACGCGCGGCTATTTAGAGCAGACACGTTGGCGACAGCGCGGCCCCCCTCTGCACGTTAATTTTCTAAATTGCAGACCTTCGTCGCCTGCGCCCTGTGTTAAAAATCCTATAACAAGCTTAACTCAGCCTAATAGTAATAACTTTGATTTAGTAACGATATTTTCCCCGCAGATCACGGAGAGTATGCTGAATGCACTTTTTTCACAATACGGACATTGCGAGTCTAAAATAATCCGCGAGAGGAACGGGACGAGCAAAGGGTAAGAATCTTTCCACATCTACCTGCTTAGTATATATGTATATTCGTCTCAAAGATAATTGACGATAACAGATCGGACGTTTGGGACAAAATGAACAATCTCTGGGACAAAAGAGACAGAAGTGGATAAAATTAATATAAATTGCTACATTGATCGCAATTCAACAACGATTAAGATTTTGATTATTTTTAAAACTTTACAATTCTGTCCAGGAAGTAATATAACACTCACGAACAGAAAGAGTATTCATAATACCGATAAGACCTTATCTTTTTTCACACCTGTCGTTGCAATGAGTCATCGGAGCTTTCATCTCACTATTGTTTGTCATTTTTATCCGTCCAGACTCCAGAAAGAAATCCTTATGTTTAAAAGCTATATTGACGATCACCCGACAATCTATGGTTACGAAGATTGTTACCTGGGGACCTCAGGCTATTATATTTATGTTCATAATCATATGAATAGAGATTCGGCGGAATGACACGCTGAGCGCGGCCCAGTAACGAAGATTGCAGTCATTAACATAAAAAATATGTCAGTCTTCTGTAAACTCACCTAATTTCTTCTTTCTGCTGCTCTTCTATTACTCGTTATTTATTAATTGAGTGCCTTAGGGGTCGTTCACATATTACGTAATCAATATTTTGGCAATTTTTACCCCCCCCCCCCTCCGTAATCAACCGTAATCAAGACCGAACCCCCCCCCCCCCCCCTATATTACGTAATCAAGGTTTGATTGTTGAACCTACACAAAAATTGGGCCTTAGTCTGATGATATTTAGACTAAGGTGCGATTTTGGCCGTTGATAGTTTTAGTAAGATATTTTAGTAAGATATTTAGTTGCCTATAATGGTTCTATTCATCCTTTAAAGTTTGTCACATCCATCTATGCTATGCCTATTTAGTATTTATCGATCATAGTTACTTTAGGGTTGTAAAGTTTAGAATCTTCGAGAATTAGCAGGTGATCGAGATGAATGGATAAAATTGTTGAACCTACACGAAAATGGTGCCTTAGTCTGATGATATTTAGACTATAAAGGTGCGATTTTGGTCGTTGATAGTTTTAGTAAGATATTTTAATAAGATATTTTAGTAAGATATTTAGTTGCCTATGACGGTTAGCTAGTTGACACTCCACATTTGAATCGCGTCTCTTTGGTCCCTTAGTCGACTGCCACGGTCGATCCTGCCAAGACAAGACCCTTGGTATTTGTTCTGGCAGTCACCATGGTAATGGTTTATGGCAGTCACATTGGCAGGCTAACCAGATCACTGCTACAAGCTCTCAACTCTATATAGCTATATCGACCGCAGTCATTTCACTGATTGTGATTCTTCTAATATCAACAAGTAAAGATTAACAATTTATTGTATCTAGCTAAATTCGCTGTTTAACACGAAACAAAAATAAAGGCAACATTTTTTTTTAATCTAGACACTTATTTTACTTCGGTGTATTCCAACAGCCACAATGTTACACAAGTGCAACCAGCCAATTACAGGAAGCCGAAGGATCTTTTTGGCCAGTGACGGTTAAGGTAGTGTGTACCATACTTTCTTCGTCCGAGACTTTGCTGCAATGTGCAGCTCCTCATTTAACCCTCACACCCGATTTCTCGAGTATTCGGCTGAGTAGACCGGGGGGCTGCATAGACCACTCATGATCCTTAGCTGAACGTCGACGACGCTCACCCCACGACCAGGCAGTCAGTGGGTTTCGAACTCGCAACCTAACGATTGTAAGACAGGCGTTCTAACCAACTGCGCTACCTGGCCGGTAGTAGGAAATGTTCACAGAATTTTATAACAATTTCATGCTGAGTCTTCGCTGGTGGGTGCCGTCACTGAGTTTACTCTCGACCTTGATTCGTTGTTATGGTATTTGTTGCTATGGATACTGATTTGGTACTTGCTTTCAATCCTACTGAATGCTCGCAGTTGCCCTAAGTATCAAACGCTATTGTCATTGAATGTAGAAATGTTAGAGGCGCTACAACCCCATACAGCGATCAGACCACATTTGGTCAGCGGCCTCCCGTTCCTTTGTGCGATAGAATGAGAGAGATTTTGCGAACTGGGGTCACTCATTGAGCTTGTATTAGGAGATAGAAAGTCATTCATTGGTAGAATGAGTACTAGGTACACGTACTTTAGTTTGACAAGTACTGTAGTTCGACAAATCCTCAAGTGCGCTACCTGGACTCTAGTTCGACACGTACTGAAGTTCCACAGGAGAACTCTAGAGAATGTGAATCTAGTATTAAGCCCAGCAATTCTTCCTTGGCAGGAATGTGTTCTAAGGGTAGCGAGGTATAAGTTGGTTAAGCTGATAATTTAGGGTTTGGTTTAGTTAATTTCACGTCAAAGTAAGCTAATAAACAAAACGGCTGTGTTCTTGAGTAATGATAAGCCCTTGAACATTATTGTTGCAGGTACGGGTTCGTGACTTTTAATGATGCGAAAATAGTGCAGTATCTCGTGGAACTGGTAAGATTATCGTATCTTGTATGTGGTGGGGCTGCCCCTCTTTCTGGGGATGGGGCTTCCTTCTTGGTTGCCACTTTCCGGACAGCTCTCATCTTTCTCATATTTACCTCTTTTTTTTGTTGTTCAGCTTCTCATTTAATATCATTTTCATAGTACCTATAATACTGGACACTGGTAACCGTGGTACCTCAATCAGAGGACGATAAAGCTACAAAACTGGACACTGAACTTGGGATTGGCGATACGGAAAATAAAGCACCCCGAACAGATGAACCAGATGCAGTTCCCTGTCCCCCTCAACCACTTTAACAACGTGAGAAACCTATTTAATATAGCACCACATCAGTCTCAACAATAATTTAGATGACTTTAGTCAGAGGTAAACATGATACCCAGCAGATTAACTAATTAATCACTTCTCAGGGATATATGCCTCCGGCTCTCCAGTACTTTCCTAACTCTACTCTGGCTCTTGCTAACCCTGGAAACTTGCTCGGTAACCATGGAAACGCTCCCCCGCTCCTTAGTGCCCCTACTACTCACCTTCCCACTTGGCCTTACGTCCCACATTTCTTGTAAATCTGTAATATAGTAACCATGGTAACAGTTTGTATCAATTGCTGCGTTTGAAATGCTGTTGAAAATTATTAAAAAATCTATGGAGACTGGTTTGGTTGAGAGTTATCTAAAATTAGCGCAGCTGTTTTCTTGCAGGGAAATGATCCTGCAACAATTATTGATATACATACATCAATTTGTTATTTGATTTATTTACTGGTAGTTGTCGGATGTATGATTTGTGCTGGAAACAAATAGCATTATCAATTTCAGTAACACATAAACGTTTTCGCTGTAAGTTTTAAATTCACTGTACCATGGTTCGCACAAAGGTTGCATTTTATTATTTTTGCTGCCGTCCTTTCTTTCCAGCTTACTAATTTCGAAGATATTTGGAAAGTTTGTGTATGATAATAATCCATCATTTGTTTTAAAATTAACTTAAAATTGTGTACGGAACAATTATATTGATAATTTTCGTTGGTATATTTTTCATGACAAATTGTTATCAATATGAATAAGTTGACAAAATGTTGAAGCATGGGCTTGATATTGTTTTTATTTGCAATTATGTAGCAAAGCTAGATAAAGCTGGTTTCGATATGATCATAGTAGCTAGTAATGAGGATTCTGTTACAATAAAGCAATAACGATTAAACAGTCTAGTTCGATCAACTAGGATTCTCCGCATTATTGTATAACTGAAAACGACACCTTTTACATACTTCTCCAAGTCCGGGGCCAACTTCTACCCTAATATTGCTACTGAGTGTGTAAAAGTGTAATTTATTAACATTATCATTTAAACTTTAAAGAGCTATCTAATTCGTCAAAACCTTGTAATATCCTTACCATTATTAATAAATTGAGTTGTTTAAATTGTTTTAAATCTTCAAATCCAGCTGAACCCTTGTTGTTTAGCCTCTGTGAATATCTCTGGACTTCACTGTGATCCATATCCAATATACCTTATTAGCTCAAACCTACCTTTCCAGATTAAACCTACCCTTGCAGACCGGTTCGAATATGGTGCGATCTGCGAACTATATTTAATATCTCGATTCTCTTTCATGACAATGATATACATACCTTATTACCCTAACCATGAGATCAAGTGCCGTCTCAAAATAGTCCGGTTTGACCTTAAGATCAAACGTACCCTTTTGTTCTAGATCGAACCTATCTTTCCAGACCAAACCTACCCCTGCTAATCGAACCCAGCCTTCTAGAAGTAGATAAAACATAGCCTTCTAGATCAAACTAACGTATTCGTTTCACTTATCCCTCACATTCGCACACGTATCTGAGAGAAACGAACTAAGTAACTTAGTGCCTTGTCATCAACCTAATTAAACATAGTCACCAAACTGTTGTCGGCCCAAATTATGGACGGCCCTAACAAACTCCGAAAATTGAGAAGAGCAAGTTGCTCAATTAAAGGTCTCCCAATAGTTTCATTTCATCATTGGTAAAAAATTACTTGTTCAACTGTCAACTTGCAACTGTGTCCATCAGTCCTGTATTTAAATGATTCTCGACTAAATCGTAAAATTGAGGTTCCTGAGCTTGGAGCTGCATAGTTGATTAGACTGAGAGGGACAAAGAATCACAAAACTTCAGATATGAACTTTGGTACATACTAAAACATAAAAGGGTCCAGTACAGGTGATCAGCTGAAATTTTATTGTTGTTGACAGTCAGCCTTCGATCGACATCAGGTATCAACCAGCATTTCCAAAAACATACGAAGAGCTCCTAAAAGTAAAATTCAGCTACAATCCCTGATGTGAAGTGATTGGGATCGCACTTTGCAGTTCGGCTAAGCACCATGTTATACAGTATACAAGTATATTCGCTAATCATTACACAGTACTCACTACTTCCGTGACAGCTAAGTGGAATATTTGTACTTAATACTCTCGTACACGTAAAGCATTGTCAAATTTCAAATGCAATGGGAGAATCTAAAAATCCAAACTTATTATCGTGTATTGCATGTTGTAATTGTAAATGTAATTGTATGCAGACAATTGCCCAAAAATAAGCCGTTCATAATAATAGGTCTGATTTGGTAGCCGTCCATCTATTTATAAACAAACTAAGATCCTTCAGAACAAATGTAGCAGCTAACATTGTGTAGAAATAATAATAGCATGATCAATTATACAAGTGAAGCCCCCTACTATTTTGTGCTATACCCTCAATGATTATGTGGACCCTCCTTAACTCAAGGTTTCTTAAGTTCACTGCCGATATGCTCCCTAGTAGAAATCAATTTTACAGAGCTAGTCTATACTTATTATTTGACATTCGATATCCAAATAATCTGCAGTTGAGTTTGTGCTACATATTTCATGCCCTCTCTCAGCCTCTCTCTCTCTCTCTCTCTCTCTTTCTCTCTGCCTATCCCTATCTATAACGACCTCACGATATTCTTAGTTCTCAGAGTAGAGTTAAATATATCCCAGAGATGATGCCGACAAATAAAAGCACTACTCCATGTAAAGAAGGAGCTCAGTCACGTGGTTTAGGAGGAGCCAATGAGCGCGTCCCTCGCTCGTGAGGGAACCAGTCCTGTGTGAGCAGTCACGTGATCAGCAGCGCGGCCAATCACAGCGCTCTGCGTTGCTTTGTCCTCCAATCAGATTTCAGCAGGCCGATTTTAGCATACGCAGAGGGAGCATAGCTCATCGATTCAAGTTAGTGGCTGGCCTCGGTTTGAGTTGTTGGTTCTGTTTATTTAATTGATTGTTGTTTGCTGATTAGTTTATTTATAATGCACTCAGAGGAAGTGAGTGAATCCTCTATGAAAAGCATCAATACCTAACTATAAACTTAACTGCTTAACTTTAAGTTTTAAGTCGATAAAGCAATTTTATTGCTTCACCTTTTATCAATCACTTATTTCAATGATAAACGAGAAATTAATACGGAATTATATTAACAGAAAAACGTGGGAAATTTTTGAACTAATTGATAACAATCTTTAAGGATCGGCCTGATGATAACAATCTTTAAGGATTGGCCTTAATAACTTGAAAATATCCTGCGATCTGTTAAATTTGAGCCCATGTAATTGTTAGATTTGAACTGTTTTATTTTCAGATGCAGTTAAACGGACCTCCCCCTTCCAAAGAAGACAAGACAGCTGGTATTCTGTACATGGAACGGATATTTGTCGGTAATTTGGACAATGACGTAAGTTTACTTTACTAATATAACCCTGCAGATTGATATTATCTAAGGTTGCCCCCCTCCCCCAGGTTACGCTACACCACAGGCCAAAAAATATGGCCTTTAAATTTCGAGGTTTCAGTGCAATTATATTGCATTGCTACATTTATCGGCCACCTTTCGTGCTGTAGGTTGATATGCTCTATATTCCAGAGACTGCAGGTGAGACTAGTTTGATAAACAAACGCTAGTCTTTCTTCATTGTGCTCATGTCGTGACTGCGTCAATATTGTCACAGCATCTGTAACTCAGTTACAGTTACAGTGTAACTATAACTCCAGTCTCTACCTCTTACTATGGTAACAATGAATATCGTTTCAGATAACAGAAAGTATGCTGAACGCACTCTTTCTCCAGTTTGGACATTGTGAGTCTAAAATAATCCGGGAAAAGAACGGAACAAGCAAAGGGTAGGTTCATTTCCTGTACAAGCAAAGTGTAGGTTTATTTTCAGTACAAGCGTAATGTAGGTTTAGAAGCTAGGTTAGTGGCTGGCAGATGATTTCTCTTGTTTGGGGTGTACTTGTGATTTCTTTCCCAGTAAATCTGGTATCATCTACCTGTATGACTTGATTCCAGTATTAAAAGTACTTCGTGTTCGTTAAAACTTAAAATTTAAATGTTCTTCATTATAACATAGTCTTCAAGGGTTCGACTGTCACGGAAATGTTAACTGTAAAATTAGACTCTAGAACTCTAGAGGTTTCACTGCCAGGAGGACTCTTTAAAATTGGCAGGGAAATTTCTAGCCTGAGCGAGTTTAAAACCATATTTAAGTGGATTTTAACTTCTACATTTTGATTACACAGGAAGTAACTGCCAAATATAACAATGGTAACGTGAATGATATGATTCAAACAATTCTACAATTCTGCAACATGGACCCCAATCAGGACGTATTTGGTCAGCAGGTAGTTTTTTGTCAGGAGAAAGGAAAAAAGAAGTAGCAGGGTTTTCTCGTCTCTATTCAAATCATAAAAGTGCTCTAGTACTGATACTTAATACTATATAACACCCTCTACACAAATTTAACACAGCAATCCACCCTCTCTTATCGCAAATCTTATCTCTGTTCAAGATAGCAAGCAGCAGTTTGTACATCACTGTGGAACTCTGTTATGACGACAGATATTCAAGGTGTACATTGTTTAAGAGATAAATGATAAGATGGTGTGGTAAAATATAAGATATCAAGATAAACATTCCGTTTCTTCGAAACATTTATATCATTAAAAGAGCAGTAGATTTCTCGTAGGAGCCAACTCAGCTTTCCTGTTCTAAATGTGCTCAGATATGCGATGAGAGAAATTTGAGTCTTACGATTTTGAAAAACGAAATAAACCGTAAGGAAGGCATGTTCTCTACACACATAACCAAAGCTTTAATATTTCAACTGGTTCGATTCTCACTACACACTTTCCCGTTCATGATTTTGCAATGGTTGCTGATTAAGTTCAAGCACGAGCTGTACACTACTTTACTTTGTTTTGATAAAAGTTGCCATTAAGTTAGGCAGCTAGCGAGCATTCGTTTAACATGTTTCCCCGCAATGTTTTACTGAACAATTTCAACCATGCTTATTGTAGATCCAAATGCATCAATCAAATCAATTCTCAGGTACGGATTTGTCACGTTTAACGACGCTAAACCTGTAGAGGCTTTAGTTCAACAGGTTAGTTTAAGGATTACTGATTCAGTTACTATGGCAATTGGCAACTATGCCGTTATTGAATTTCATTAAATATAAATAACTTCATCATTCGTGTTGAACTTACCTGAAGGTTTCCGCACCAATGGCGATAACATATTAGAAATTAGAATACTACCGTTATTCTTTAATGATTCTACTTCAAATCTCGTCTGACTGCCTTGCACTGCCTCCCTGAGCACAACATTATGCCTCCCTACTCCCTAGCATAGTGCATAGTACAGCGGACTGCCTAGTGATGTAATTAACTTTCGTTTGCCTAATTTTTGTCAATTGTCACTGTGATCGAATTATTTCAATTCTTTAGCAACGCCCTGATAACTTTATCTTCATGGCTTTACTTATAGTTATGATATTCTTATTTCTAGAGGACAATAAAGCTGAACAATCGGACTCTGAACATCGGCCTGGCGATAAGGCGAATTAAACACCCTGAACAGATGAGTCAGATGCAGCTCCCTTACCCCATCAACCACCTCAGCAACTCAATGGTAAGTAGCCCCCTTACCCCATCAACCACCTCAACAACTCAATGGTAAGTAGCCCCTTACCCCATCAACCACCTCAACAACTCACTGGTGAGTAGCCCCCTTACCCCATCAACCACCTCAACAACTCAATGGTGAGTAGCCCCTTTACCCCATCAATCACCTTAAAAACTCACTGGTGAGTAGCCCATTCGGCATGCAGTAACCCCATCAACCACCTTAACAACTCACTGGTGAGCAACAACTCATTTGTGATTAGCTGATCTCTTACCCCTAATCAACCACCTTAATAGTTAATATATCATTTACATTTTAAAATAATAATACTATTTTGCAGGGGTACATGCCACCGCCCTTCCCCTACGTTCCCAACTCTGCGGGTCGTGTCGAGCTACTTACTCTTGGTAACCAAGGAAACCTTTTGGGTAACCATGGAAACGCTGCCCCACTTCTTGGTGCCCCAGCGGCTCATCTTCCCGCTTGGTCTTACGTCCCACATTTCTAATGATTCCGTCAAGATTGTAGTGCGGTTCATGTACTACTTCTGTTTAATTAAACAGATAGCATAAACAAGTTTTATTAGGCTGATGCATTTATCAAGCTGTTTCGTTTTACAATATTCGATTACTTTACCTCAGCTGCTTCTGTTGAGCGATGTTTGAATTTTGATTTAAATTTGATTTATGATGATTCATTTATTACTGCATTGACTAGTTAAGCTAGCACAATGTTTTTGTTTTCACTAGGGTTTTGTTCGCACTCTGTAAGTGTACACAAGCAAAATATAATTATATGTCTTTCCCGTTTCCACAGTGATGGAGTTTATTGTACTCTGTTCCCTCGACAACTGTACAATGTTAGAGATGTATTTTAATTGATTGCCGATTTTACTCTTAGTCGCTTGACTGTGAGAAATTTATTTGCATAAAATCGTTTGAAAACCTTTCGGGAATTTTTCAACAAAGATTTGATATTTTCAAGACCTGAAGAATCTGAATATAATAACTTCAGTATCAATATTTTAGTATTATCATGTATCATCAAAAATGGAGTTTAATATTAAAACAGGGAGCCAACATATTTAATTTTAATGACGATGTCAATCCTTCAAAGCTCGTAGCTCAGCTAAACAATATTTCTCATAAAATTAAAAGAAATATTATTTTCAAATTTTTAAAAACACAAGATTCCACCTGGCCTTGCACCTTGTGTGAACAGTGAAATAAGTCTGACTAAGCTTATTACGATCTTAACGGGTGATACTCGTAAAATATTTGTTTCAGGACCGTCGACGAGTCCAACTCGGTGTCCTGGTAGGTTATAAACCTACAAATTACGATCCTGTAAAAATTATTTCAAAATTGAAAATATTCAATATTTTAGGAGTTAAGTTAGTTTTCACTCGTAGGTGGGAACTCTACAATAACTCCAACAGGGTGGGCCAAAAGTCAGTGGGCATACGTCATGGCCTTAATAGCTCAGTCACTGAGTGACCAATTGAAATAATTCTTTCTGGTACGATTTACTACCACCACTGGGTCGAGGAATTTGTCAAATCGAAAAATATTAGAGTTCATTTTTTTCAAATGAAGGTTCATTTTTACATTTATTTGATAGTTTGGATAGTCTGAACGAGCTAAATTTTATTGAATTTTGTTTGGCCATTCGAATTACGTTTGTCCTGAACAAATTATAGTTGTAGCTTCTCGTATCGACGTATGGACGAGATACGAAGCATAACGAGTTAATTCATTACGTGTGATCAGGTGATTGGCTTACCTAATCACGTGATAAGGTCACCCCGTTAACCAACCCATTAAACATTATGGGAATCGTTAAGGCTGCCCAATTAAGGTGTCGTGTCACGGTGTCACATAATCACCCAGTCATGAGTCAATTTTGTTAACGAGATACACAAAATGCTTGATAACTTAATCATTTATAATCCGTTTCACGTCATTTTTCAGACAGATGCAACATTTAACAGGCGTCCAGCATGTTCAGAGAGAACAATATAGCCATAGGTGTTTTAATTTTGAATGGGCGTGGTCTAAAATATTCGAATTTTCAAATTTTGACGACGGAATCCTCGAACCAGAAGGTACAGTGTCAGTATGCCATCTGAAAAGCAACAGCTCTCAAATATAAAACACGGCGGAGCTATTAAGGCCAACACATGCCCACTGACTTTTGGCCCACCCTGTACAGTGTACTTAAAGGCATTTTATTTTTAAGCAAGAAATTACCTGTTTTTCGTCCTTTTTACACTCTTGGCCTCGCAATGCACAGGAGGCCCACATACAGCTCGACGTTATTCTGCTACACGGTGAATTTGCATTATTGACACTTAGAGGCAACTTTTGGTACCAAATTTATCGAAATCAGAGACAAAAAATTCTCTGCCAACTTATGGCGTTAATACTACAAAGTTGTGGAACACAACAATAAAATTGAAAATAATCTTGTGCGAGGGTAGGGACCCAAATGTCGTTTCTAACCCAAATAAACTTTAAGGAGGCTTCTTATATCAGTAGCCGCACCTCCTTGCAGTTGCTAGGTTTCTGAACTGGAATTCTATGGGCTTCCAGACGGCCAGACCGAGTATTACCATCCTTACCTGGGGACCTCAGGCTATCATGTTTAATAATAGAGATTCGGCGGAATGACAGGCTGAGCGCCGCCCAGTAAAGTAACACCATCCCGGATCCTTTTACTTTTAGAGTTCATCACAAGTAGCACCCACATTGAAGATCTTTGACACCCAGACACACCCCATTGGGACAAAAAGTGGCGGCTGATGACGTCACTTAAAGCTCAGTTATAATGCCCTCAGGGACGTTATATGTGATAATGTTAGGGGGTGCACGATAAAAATAAACTTGCTCGGATTTTCAAAATTTTTGTACCATTGTTTTTTAGAGACTGTGAGAATTTTCACAGTACCAAATTTGTCATACCTTTTTGGAATGACCGGCGAGTTTCGCCTAGGTGCCATATTTGATAGTGCGCGGCTTTTGGAGCAAAATTAGGTGTAAAAGTCGCGTAATTTGACAAAATTCGTTGATTTTTGTCGTATTATTCTGTCATATCTTCGGTTCCTGAACATGAATCTTGCTGAAAATTTGTCAGAACCTTCTAATCATACTTAACTACTGAACCTAATTTAGTTGGGAGAGATTTGCCTTGATTAAGAGGTCGAAAAATGACAAAATAGGTATAAATTCGTTGATAACTCAAATTCTGACAATCGAAATTGAAATTGCTCAAACTAAAACTAATTTAGGTTCAGTAAAACATAAATGTTTACGTACGCTGACCAAATTTCAACAAAATTGTTGTATGGGAAGTATTATAACTTTTTCAAAAAAGTTCGGAAACAATCAAAAAGTTTTTGATTGTTTCCGAAATAATGTGCTGGCCGAAATACGACCTAAAAAACCATTGAATGGTCAGCGCGCGCATTTTACGGTCGATGGCGCACTGCCTAACAATGTGTCATGAGGGTGAAAAGTGATAACGCTAAATTTTTCTCAGGGAGCATTATCAAAACAGGTATAAGAACAGCGAGAGAATACTTTCATTTCTCGTAATACGTTTCCGGCTCAACAGTTAATTAGTTTCAAAACAAATAACGCTGGCGTTCTATATATTAGACACTATATTGTATCATGCGCACGTATCACATTACACGCCTTCCAATCGGAACAGTCGGGCATTATAACTGATAATACTCACTCTATCGGGCCGCGCAAACCCCCTCACTACGTTCGGGTGTTATCATGCGCGTCCCTCAGAGCGCGAGAGCACTATATTTATTGCGTTAAATTACTCCTCCAGATCCAGCCTTATAATACTATCACTATTAGAAGATATAATATTCCAAACAAGTACAGGGGGGACCGGGGAGCCAAAAGTCAGTACCCATACGTTGGCCTTAATAGCTCAGTCACTGAGTGCCCGCCCGATTGGAATAATTCTTTCTGGTATGACATTGACTTGGAGGACTTCGACGCGCCGCGCAAACTAGCATTCTTGCTTCGTAGATCGTTGCTCTGCTTCGCAGAGCAACGATCTCGATGGGTTGACATCGTCAATCAATGGTATGACTTACTACCACCACTGGTTCGAGGAATTTGTCAAATCGAAAAATATTCGTGTTCATTTTTTTTCAAATGAAGGTTCATTTTTGCAATTATTTGATAATTTGGATAGTTGAATCAAGCCAAATTTTATTGAATGGTGTTTGGCCATTTAAATTACGTTTGTCCTGAAAAAATGAGAGTTATAGCTTCTCAGATGACCGAGATATGAAGCATAACGAGTTTGTTCATAATCTTTACGCGTGATCAGGTAATTCGGTTGACAGTTGAGGCTAGATCCGCATTACGAGAATCGTGCAGAGAGCCCAATTACGGTATCGTAATTGGGTAATCATTGAGTACCAAATCAATTTTGCTAACGAGATCATAAACAAATTGCTTGATACCTTCGTCATTTTAAATCCGATTTGCACCGTCTTTTCAGATCATATTTCCGATTAAAAATAAATGACCTATTGCAATATGTTATAACGGAGTCTCTAACATGTTCACAAACACTAGTATAAGCGATTCAATGTTGACTGGGTGTGGCCCAGAAAAATCGAATTTTCAAATTTTTGTGACGGAATCATCGAACAAGTAGTAGTAGTATAGGTACAGTAAGCCATCTGCAAAGCATCAACTCTCAAATATAAAACATGGCGGTGGTACAAGACCCAACGTATGGGTATTGACGTTTGCCCCCCCCCCCCCCCTGTATAATTGTACGAATACTAATGCCATTTCATAATAATAACATTAACTGATAACTTAATAAGTTTGATGAAGGTGCAACGTGATAGTAACGGACAGCAAACACAAAAAGGTAAAATTTATGATATTTGTTTACTTCCAACTTATACTTATAGTTACTGTTGTAAATAAATAACTTTCAAAACCTTTCAGTAGCATCGATAATAAACTTAAATATTATGCTTTAGTTGTTAGAATTGCGTCGACGATCAAGTTATTGGGATGATGCAGTTGATGATAACAATTGCCTTATGCCTTGTTGGATTAACAATCTCGGGGCTCCCTGTGCTGAATCTAGGGCTAATTCTTCAATCTCCAGGACAGACATTGAAGCTGTTCAGCCAATACAAGGCAGAGGAGCATCTCAATTTCGGCGCTAGTGAAAACAAGATTCGGTTTCTAATATTCAAGAAGAACGCACAGTTGGTTTCAACTTTAAATTCTGCACCAGAAGAAACTGCTAAGTTTGGACTAAACTTCTTTTCGGCTTTGAGCAGCGGGGAGAAACAGAAATGGCTCGGACTTAACACAACAGGCCTTCCTTCAAACCCTAAGTCAAATATCCCTTTGCAGGTCTCATCTAAACTATACACTCCCAAAAGTGTGGATTGGGTAAAAGAGGGAGCGGTAACAACCGTAAAGAGCCAAGATTCGTGTGCTTCTTGCTGGGCGTTTTGTGCTGTAAGTGCTATGGAATCAAGATACAAAATAAAGTCAGGTAGATTGAGAGCCTTCTCGGAGCAAGAATATTTAGACTGCACTTATTCTCAGGGTCGACAAGAAAGATACAGGAAAGAAGATGGCTGTACCGGCGGGTTGTCTTCCACGGCATACGATTACTCAACAGATCACGGGGGTAGACTTGCAGCTGAAAAAGATTACCCTTACGAGAATAAAATGGGCGAATGTAGAGGAACAAAAACTCCAAATGCGGCTGTTGCGTTCAAGATCGTTGGACGGAAAATGCTGCCCGTTGGCGAAAGTTCTTCCATCACAGCTCTTGCCGAAGGTCCTATTTGGATATATATACAAGTTACTAATACGTTCCATGCTTACATGAGCGGTGTCTTCAAAGACACCACTTGCATTGGGAGTCAAATTAATCACGCAGTGACTGGAGTTGGATATACTGAGAAATACGTGCTTATCAAGAACTCGTGGGGTACAACATGGGGAGACAAAGGTTTTATAAAGGTAGCAAGAAATCACGACAGCTGTGGAATTTGGACACGCAACGGCTACCCGATACTTAAAGCAACAGGGAAGAAAGACAAAGGAATAAACGATAAAAAGTCTACATATGTTGATGAGGATTATGAGGACGATGAGGATAATGAGGACGATGAGGATAATGAGGACGATGAGGATAATGAGGACGATGAGGATAATGAGGACGATGAGGATAATGAGGACGATGAGGATAATGAGGACGATGAGGCCGAGGATAATAAAAACGCTACATGCAATGATAAGAACAGAGGTTGCGTTAAAGATATGTGCAAGCATACAGCATTCGTTTCAGAGTGGTGCCGGGATACTTGCGGGTACTGCAAAATAAAATGCGAGGATCAATATTCCGACTGTAAACAATTTTGGTGCAAATATACCTACTTTGCTAAAGACCAGTGCCAGAGGACATGTAAAATGTGCGAGGAGAAAGATGGTGAAGATGGAAAAGGGGTATGTAACCCTGGCTTGATAAGGTGCCCAGATGGAGTGTGTAAACACGAGCACATGTGTTAGGATTGCCGATTATGAGAGTTAGAAATTCGAAATAAATTCGTAAATGGTAAACACTGATGGTCTCATATTTTTGTTATGCTTTCGAGTTCGATTATGATGAGGTACTACTACTTGATTTTCATATTCATATTGCATCTAACGATTCATTATCTAATTACTTGTCAAATAACCTTTTTCTCGTCCAATTTATCTTTTGGAAACAAAATAAAATATACACAAAATGGTACTACAATTAAGATAACAAAAATAATATCATCTCAATCTGGAAACAAGCAGACCGTGCATAAGACTGGAAAAATAATTTATTTTTTGTAACCTATTTTATTTATTGCATAATAACTTTTTATATGTTTTTGCTTGTAGTACTAGTTGTGGCCCTACTCCCTCTGTTACAGAATATACTGCAATGGTGCAAAATATCCGTGCTAAATATATATAAATATACAATACGATCGTTACAGCTGCGGATTTTCTGCTTTTTGGTACTCTTCATAATCGTATTGGTTTTCTGGTGTAGATATGACTTTGAGTTTGGATTGATAACCTTGACATAACAAAAAGCATACTATCACTTGGCGGTAGCCCGCTCTATTGAAAGCTCGGGCTATGATACTTGTATTGGTCTTGCGACTTGCTTGGTCTCCCGTTAATGTTGAACTTGAAGACAACGCAAACAGTTCGCCTTGCAGTTTTTGAATACGTATATTTATTTTCGCGTCCAATTCAATTGTTTTGAATTTGTATTAAATCCACGAACAACTGTCTACCAGATCATATAACTGCATAATAACAGTATCCCCTGAATCAAGGAACAGGTGTTTGTGAATAGTTTATTGGTTACCAGATCATATGACCGCAAATGTTATGAAATTGAATGGTATGTATGGTATCTTAGATGCAATTAGTTACGACTAGCATAATTAATTGAGCAGGGAACCAGAGACATAGATGCGTTACACCCAGGACAAGACATGGAGATATTTAGGAGGTTTTTCTGGAATAGGAAGACTCGAGCATTTTCTAGGGAGGCCATGGGTCCATTAATTTCGTCCATTAGACAGAAGAGTACCCTGTCAGGAATTGGAATAGTTGTTGTTGTTGTTGAAGATGGCAACTGATAATACTTCACCAAAAACAAACGACTTATATACCACATTTAAATCGTATTCATTTATTTCATTGAGCAATATACCACGCTACAATCGATATTATTCGTAACTAATTATATCCGAGAGACCACATTTGAATCGTAATCAATAGTTTGAACCAGTAATTTACTACGTTACAATTAATTATGCTAGTCGTAACTAATTGCATCTAAGATACCATACATACCATTCAATTTCATAACATTTGCGGTCATATGATCTGGTAACCAATCAACTATTCACAAACACCTGTTCCTTGATTCAGGGGATACTGTTATTATGCAGTAATATGATCTTGTAGACAGGTGTTCGTGGACAGTTGTCCGTGGACAGTTGTTCGTGGACAGTTGTCCGCGGACAGGGGTCGGGCTATCTAGATACTGCCAGAAATTCAAAATAAATTCATAAATTACGGGTGGTGCCTGCATGCAAATTGCAAGGGTATTTATTAAGCGACTTAGTGGACTGAGATAATTTGATTCTATTTTCATATATACTTGATTGTAATTTTTGAAACAAAGAAAACATCGTTTAGAAATTCAAAAATTTAAAACCAATTTAATTCAAATAATAATTTGATCTTAGTCACCCTGCTTGCTGCCGGCAAAACTGCTTGACGGAGTTACCAAATAAATTACTAAACGCATATCTAAATAATTATACAGTGCATTGTACAAAAATCGAGTAACCCTAGATTTAGAGTAACGGGTTAGTATCACAGAGTTGAAATTGTATCAAACCACTTTGGTGGCGATTAAAATAAAAATATACCATATTTTAATCTTTAAAAACAAGTTAATATTCTTTTTAAATGAAGTTATATGGCAGTCAATTGAATTATAGATTTTTGAAGTGGCGAAAAATATACGAGTGTGCTTTAATGGAATGAATTTTTCTAAAAATGTCCGAAATGACATAAAGGACTTTTGTCGTGATACAGATAAGGGACATCTGTTTAATAATAGCAGATAAGATTTAGAACATTTTAAACATTCAAATACATTTTGATAATTAGAGTACAAAAATTAAATAAACGGTACTAATATTCAAATAGGAATACCCCGACAGTATTTAAACCTATAAAAACTGTTAACATAATATGAACTAATGAAATATCACTCACATTTATTCATTATCAAGATTTATCATCATAATGAGCTCAGCACTGTAACAGCTGCCTGAACCAATCGTTATCATCATTTTAAAACTAACAAATTATTATAATAATGAACCCTAAACAATAAAGAAGTTAGACATCGTTAGGTTCACTTTTAGTTTTACATAGTTCACGGGAGGGATTTTGGGTCAGACTCAATGTAAATAAAATACGATTTAACTACAAGGGACAAAAGTTTAAAGTTGGAAGGTCTCACTTCAATTTTGCATAGTACCCAGGAGATGTATAAATATTGAGCTGCATCATTTTACAGTTTTTTTTTCATGACTCCAATTAAATCTAATACAGTTAAATATTATTTTTATATATGAATATCATTATCAAAAAAGCTTACTTTTTGGAAGTAACTTAGAGTTGTAAAACTATGAGCTTTATTATAACCTTACTTCTTAAGTAATGTACTCTAAGTATAATATACTATATACAGTCAAAAATTGCTATTTACAAAGATATAAAAGTTAAAACCAATAAACTGTTTTACGTTAAATGAACCCAATTAAAGTAAAAATCAGCGAATAACTTATGAAAATTATGAAATTAAATTATTTTAATTGGCTATGAATCATGGCAACTATTTGAGAGATGAGCTTGTCCGTGAATGTTACCCGATGAAAAGGCCAACCTAGGCCAGCAAAACCAAAGTGTCCTCCGGCAGCAGTACTGATTAGACATACGTTGGGGTTTTCCTTCACCAGGTCCACCGGAAATAGCTGAAAGTATGAATTTGTGAGTATCTTACAATTTACAACTTTCCAATTTCCATTGTGATATCGATGATCGATGTGCTAAGGCAAAAATGGCAAAAAAACTGTTAAAGAGGAATTTCAAGAATTTTTTTTTCTAAATGTCATAATTTAAGTCATAATGTAAGTATTACTAATTTGATACATTTTTTGTATTTCTATCGATGCCACAAGTGTTTTAAATTTATTAAAACACTGAACTTAACGGCTGATACGCATTATGCACAGAGCTGTGTCAGCTTGCATAGTATAAAATTTGTTTTGATAAAGGAGCAAATTTGCTAATTTCACAATATTGATTTATTTTCTCAAATGTCGTTTTAAATCTCAGTCAGTTTCAATTTCTATCGTCAGACTAAATTATATCAACATTTGTGCTGCTTAAAGACTGCTTTTCTTGCTTACTGTAATAAAAATCAATTGAAAAGTCGAATTTTTAATGGATTTGAATGCATTCGAGAGTTAATTTTAATGTCCGTTCTAAAGTATGTCCGGTCAAATAACGTCCGATAAGGTACATTATATTTTTTTCCAAAAAATTTATGGCATCTGTTTACTTATTCTTGTAAATAAATAACTTACAAAACCTTTCAGTAGCATCGATAATGAACTAAAACAGTATACATTAGTATTGAGTTGACGATCAAATTATTGGGATGAGGCAGTTTATGATAACAATTGCATTATGCCTTGCTGGATTAACGATATCGGAGGTCCCTGTGTTCAAGCTAGGGTCAGTTCTTCAATCTTCAGGACAGACATTGAAGCTGTTCACTGTTCAGCCAATACAAGGCTGAGGAGCATCTCAATTTCGGCGCTAGTGAGAACAGGGTTCGGTTTCAGATGTTTAAGAAGAATGCACAGTTGGTTTCAACTTTAAATTCTGCACCAGAAGAAACTGCTAAGTTTGGACTAAACTTCTTCTCGTCTCTGAGCAGCGGGGAGAAACATAAATGGCTTGGACACAGGTAAGTGTTAGGATTGCCGATTATGACAGTTTCAAAAATTCATATATTCGTAAACACTGATGCGTGATGGTCTCATATTTTTCCTATGTTTGCGAGTTCGACTATCGTTATGATGAGGTTATTGATTTTCATAATGCATCTAACGTTACACAATTACAAATTATTTATAGTCACGTCCACGACAGTATCTATTGTTTTGAATTTGTATTAAATCCAGAGTGAAACGTATGGAATTGAGGGGTCGATATTATTTCTCCTGAGTAATACCGAACAAATTTCTGGTCTCTGTTGTAAAAATAGATCGCTGAAATACAGAAATAATGTAGAATTAAATCTAAATCAAAACTCACTTCTTTTGAATAGCAAGGATCATCGTCAGCGTTCACGCAAATGGTGAAAGTTTTTGTCTCCTTAAGACATCGACTAAGACAAATGTCTTTGTAATACTCGGTAGAATTAGTGTAACCAAACATTGGGGCTATGAACCTGACGAGTAGATCTGTTTAACAATTACAGTACCGTACAATGTAATACTTGCATAGATGATAGACATTTAAATAATTAGAGCTTAGCTGTTAGCCATCAATATTAATTCATTCACAACAAAATTAAAACTGGGATTCTCCATTTCACTTACACATTATCAATATCAGTGAGGGATGCACTTTCTGATCGAGATATGCTTCTGAAGAGCTTTTTCTGAGCTTTAGTTTTAAACACATCTTGGTTGTTGCTAATCAATCGTTTGATTCTGAAATAAGATTTCTTAAATGACTGCAACAATTAAATTTTAAAGAATAAACTGTAACTTATAAAATATTTTAAAGAGTAAATTGTAACGTATGTCCTGTCCAATACAATTACAATTGCCAATGCCGGTACGTCGTCGACCATGCTTGCGCGGCGCGTTTTAGTTAGCCGCCGCGCTGAAAATGTACTGAATGAAAAACTTGTTCTTTTTTATTCAAAGACCTTTTCGCGCTCTACAACTCCAGTAGATAAAATCAAGATTTCAGTAGATATTATACATATATGTTATAGTCCAGAATATTATGCGAATGTCGCCGAATTTCAGATGCAAAGTAGTGCTAAAGTTGGTCAGATTTTATCTAGAGGTATCGAATAAAATTACTTATTTCGCTAATCCGCACAACTCTTTCAACGATTCAACCATGTTCCCAGGAACTAATGGACTAAGTTGAACCTTTTGAAAATAAGAAGGACTTACGACGATAGATTTGTATCTACATAATATACATGAAGATGTTTACCCTAACCCTATAGTCTCACATCCTAGAGTCCGGACCCCATTATGATAATGGTGCAACTCGAGAAGTAAGTCCTCCAGTTCAACCTTAAAATGCACATTACACACGACTCAAATTCCTATCAGAAAATTGCCCTCTGCCGTTTATCTAACTATCTAAATATTTCAGCACTTTGATTTTAAACGTATCTTCACTTCTCAAGAAAGTGTACGTATACAAAGTTTCACAATTCCAGCCGAGTATGCACTGGAGAAGTGACAATGAAGCAGCTGAACAACAATCAGCACTATCCTCCTGAATATCTCCTGAAGCAGAACATACCTTCAGGGTTATATTAAGTGCTCATGATATACTAAAAATCTTATAAAAATAAGCACTCATGTAACATTTACATACAATTACGGTTTTATTGTTTAGTTTACCAATATATAGTGACAGTTGATGGAGGTCTCCATTATTTGAGTAGACACATCATGACATCATATTTTTAAAGAAAAGTATGAATGTTAAGACAATAAGTATAAAGGTACAGCTAGCCTTAGCATTTAGGATGATTGTTTACAATTAGGTTGGGATAGCTATTATTTAAATAATACTTTTTCTTTTTTGCTGGGGAAACTTCGGCTCTCTAGTCAGCAGGCATTGGCTTTACATTTCTGCAGCTTAATCTTACGAATTACGAACCATATTATTATCGATATATCTGTTAAAAATATTATCAAATAATATTATTTGATAACTGAAAAAATTACATGATTATTTTGTTTGACAAATAGTTGATGCGTGAAGAATAATAATTTGTCAGAACATTGCACTCTGAACATGTACCATCTATCATCATCACTGTACGAGCCTTTTATTAAACAGCATTGAGCGATATTTCTCAGACCAGCCTGTCAAAATTCCTGGCTTCCCATTGGTCCATCCAATGTCGCGTGAATTAGGAAGATCAGGGATTGGTCGGTGGGAGTCGGGAGAGGCACAATGCAGACATCTTATTGTTTCAAATTCACGGACTATTTGGTCACACTGAACAGATCCCTAGCTTACATTATCCAGCTGTTATGAGACTTGTAAAAACAAACTGACATTGTCACACAACCATGAACTAATATCAAGACTGCTGATTTAAAGTGTAAACCATGCAATTCATTGGTCAACTTATTAAAAACTAATGGGAAAACAAAACAATACCAATAAAACTAATAGTAATCCATATCATTAAATACATACATGACGTGCTAAATTTCATCGGTAAATACTTACTTTTTACCAAAAGGCAGGCTGTAAAAGAATTTAGCTCGGAGAGCGTTTAGTCGGGTTATCGTCTTCAGGGAGTCGAGAGGAGAGGACAAAATTAACTGTACCATTATTTCTTCTTTCCTGCCAGGATAGAAGAACATTAAAAAACAAGTTCTATAGAAATTAATTAATTAATTAATTAAATGAACTGATTTAACTTACAGCTGGAAGATTGGGGAACAAATCATGGCCGAGTAGGATGATGCTCCCATGGATTAAAGTCTAATTTTGACACTCATAAAGATGATTTAGTTTGGCGATATTTGGTCAAACTTTTACCATTGAAGGTGGCAAAAGAAATAACAAAACTCTTCTTATCCTCTCAATAATCTACGGTATTCATATCGACTCCACAGTCCACATATACAAAACATCTAATGGACATTGGACAAGACTTCTTACTTTCTTAACACCTCGTTAAAGATTTTGGGGTGAAACTCACACCTGACCACTCACATCAACATAATTTTTATTGGCGACAAGAATACGGCGTCTTGGGTCCTGGGATACTTTAAAGTTAGGTCAAATTCCATTATGAGCTAAGACCCTTCTGTTCAAGACGATGGCGAGAAGTCCGCTTGAATGTTTTTAAGCCTTGTGGAATCCCCATAAAGTCCAAGATATCTAGACTCTTGAAGCAATCCAAAGATCTTTCCTACGCAGAATATCTAGCTGTCAAGATATAGACAAGTAGGAGAAATTGAAGTATCTGGCACCCGTCCAGGGTAGGTGAGAGAGACACATTATCATGGTGTAAGACCATTCAGTAAAATGCATTCTCAGTTAGTAAGTCCCTTGCTTTCGAGAAGCTGTCCAGACCCAAACCCTGTATAGGACTCCAAACGCTGATTACAACTCATTTTATAACTTGGAAATCCGGGAAGTCGGTCTATGTGAAGTACAGCCCCTGGCACTTTTGACTAAACTTAATCATAGTATCAAAGTAAGTACCGTAAAATTCTCCGGCCTGAGAAGGCATATTATTGCGGGTTGAATCCTCATATTATGTTCCGAAGTTTTAATTAGCTTCATGAATTGGCCATTGAAAAGGAGGTGAATTTCGTAAGAAATAATTCAGATCTTGCGGGAGAGAGAGACATTGGACGGGGAACTGGGATAACTTCAACTGTGATATTATGCTCGTAGACTAGAGTGATTACGTATCAATTCAAGACTAATTTAACTGCAACTTTCTCCCACTTGTCCCAAATTAACGCTCATCACCACGTCTGTAGTGGGCACTTAACCATTCCTCAACAAACACACTTTTTATCTTAAGATAGACAAAACTCTCTCTAAATTTGGAGCCTGGTTAAGCAGAAATAACATTCCTTCAACGACAAAAATAAACGTGTAGAAAGTTTTGAGAATACTTTGCAGTACCTGTGATATTCGTGGAGGGTATTGCAGGCTACCATTCCCCCAAATGAGATCCCGATCACTCCGTACTGAAATCAATCAATTAGTTCCTAATTAGTAATTATCAACATCAATAACTAATGAAACTTCAATGACATAGCTAAACCTTTAATGTATTATGATCAAGTAACAGCAACTAACGTTAGAGTTAGGATTATTCTCTAATACAATGTCCAGCAACGCTGCTAGACCGTCGTTATATCCTGCACTGAAGAATTTAGCTGTCTTCATACTCATACCACCTTTACCTCTGTCAGTGAATATTATCGGCCTGAAATATTTAACGATAATTAGTTAATTGGATAATCACGATACTAAAGATAGTTAGATTGTTGACAAATTCAAGAGCTGAATGATAGTATTCCTGAGCACTGTGCAGTGTGTTTAACAATTTACTTTTGCAATAACAGCAGTGTCACTGACTACTGAATCACAAATCAATTTACGAATCATTAATTCTTAGATTTACTTTTTAGGATGCCATCTATTCCGATTTAATTACGTCAGAATACCAGTCAGATCATACGTGACTATTGAACGAACATTTTATATCACAAGTTTTCGATTAATTCATAACTATCTTTAACTCATATATCTTGGATATATTTGTTAATTTCATATTTACAAGTGACATGAAAAGTCAATTTCAATTAAAGTGAGTCAAACGGTGCCTTATAAAATTGCATCACATTGACCAACCCCATAACTTTTTTACGAATCAGCGCAGCTAGATTTGCTGGCGAATTGGTAGAGTGTAGGTCATACGATTGCTAATACATTTTCCTCACATCTTCTATAATTTTTCTATAATTAGGAGATAAGACTTTAAGTCTAGATTACTACCTGATAGGCTCAATTGGATTATGTCTGGTTCAAACAATCTTCTACCACAAGCCTGGTGGAAATACTATACGATAGAACTGCTATACGATTTAGTAAGGCTGCCATAAGATTTATTACAATTTCATCACAATTTTCATGAGAGATCATGGTGAAATGTGCAAGTTCAACACATGAATATCAGGTCTAGATATTAGATTTAAAACACCAAAGCTAGATTCATCGGGGGATAATCTGATTACAGAATTGTGTCCCCCATATAAATTTGGTTATGACAGAACATTCATAACAAATCGTTAGTCCGTGAAGAGAAGAAGGTTCCTCTGGAATTACTAAGCCATTAGATCCTCAGCTAGATAATCACGTGGTCCCCAATTATTCCACATAAAAAAGTCACGTGGCCACGGCCAAATTATATTCTTCACTTAGAAATGACTCAACTTTGTCGTTGTAATTACTGAGATGTAAAGTCAGTGAAGCATTAAAGGGTGTTGTGGAATCAGGCGGGAACAGGATTATTTCAATTCAACTGATTGAGCTTTAATGTTTCAAACTTGATAACAAGACCGATATTGGATTATCAGTGCCATACAAATTATGTTTAAGATTTGTGTCTGAGAGGATCTTATCCTGAGGATCGTAGCCAGCGATTTCTTTATATCCCATCACAGTGAAGATGCTGAATTCAAATTGTGGAACAACTTTCACTTTATTCACATATAATTATAAGAACTTATATCTCAAATTCTACATCCGGTACGGCTCTGCACACATGATATCTCTCTCTGCCATGAAACATGGCTAACCTTTTAAACTATGATTTAAAACCTAAACCTAAACTAAAACTCAGCTGGGCTCTCCTGTGTCACCAAACTAGACCAATAAGCAATTTTAGATAATTATATTTTTCTATATTTTTATAATAAGTATATTGACGTAGTGGATGGTTGAGGGGGTTTCAAGCGAAGGTCACTCTCAAATCCTAAAGATAAGCAGTGGCCTTCGGCACTTCAAACCTCTTCAAACCTCCCCTGATTTATTTATTATTGATATTGTTTGATTGTGCCGTAAAAATAAATATTTGTTTTATTAGAACTAAAAACGAGTAAAATCTTACCAAACATTGGCATCAGCAAGAGTCTCTGCAAGTTGTAGGATGTATGGACTTTTGTGGTCCCCTGTGTACCCAGGAACTATGATGAATATCAACTTCTTATCTACTCCACATTCTTCAGTAGGTTCCGTGTACGATATCTGAGATAATATTTTTTGTTAGAGGCCATCAATTTGGATATTTAATAAACTAGTAAGTTCGTAGTATATTAATTAATTAAGTTATGTAGTCACTACAGTCACTGTTCTGAAGATGCATGATTTAGGCGAAAAATTGGAATGTTATAATTTCCATAATTTCCGGCGGAAAAGAAAATGGAATGTTACGAATTTCAAAGGCTTGGAATTATGATATGCTCATCCGTTTTATAATTGACTTTGAGAAATTTGAACACGAATTGCAGAATTTCTGAATTCTCAGCCAACTAACTAAAAAGCCTTAAAATAAAATAATGATTTCTTCGTAAATCACGGTCATTTTAAAACGGTCATTTTAAAATGGTCATTTCTATTATACATACTAAAAGTTGAGTTGTAAACTATATCTCACTTTAACTGCTACATATTATATTAACACCTATATAACTTTTTAAGTTCATCTTTATTCTACAGAGTAGCAGTAGCATGTGAGTTGTTTTTAAATTAAAAGGGGTTTCAACACAAATTCAAATGCCAGGCCTAATAAAATGACACGATATATATATGTGTGGACGGAAACTTTCAAATGTTATTTCAGTTTAAGCAGCTTACCAGCTAATCATTAGTCAGTCAACCTGTTTAAAATATGAGTTTGGAGGCTACAGTACGTACTCTAGTTCGACACGTACCCAAGGACGACACGTACTGTAGTTCACGCCGTGCACACGGACTGAACTTTGACAAGAGAACTTGGAGAAAATGGGGGGAAAATATTTGTCGAACGCTACCGGAATCGTTTAATTAAAGACCAGATAAATTATGAAATTTAAAACTGTGGCTAAAAATCGAGTACGTAAAAGGTCTTCCATCTCTGAGAAAGGAATAAAAACTTCACCCCCTTCAGATCGCCTGCTGTTTTAAGTCAGTTTTAGGGTTTGGGTCGAAATTTAGTGATAAGGTTACTTAAACAGCTAGTGTCAGTGTAAAATCTTACAGTATGGTGTGATGTTTGTAATGTGGGTGTTTAGTGTTTACAATGTTCTTATCAGAACCCTTTAACTTGTTTAAGGAAGACACGTACGTCTTAAAGATCATTCACAGAATCGTGGGAATGTGTCAGTAATAATAACTGATCGTGTGTTCATGTTCAATAGTGTCAACCTATTTTATGCTCAGTCGTCCAGCGGAAAAATGTAACTCCTTTTTTTCCAAGTAGGAATATTTCTTTCAAGAGTTTTACTATTTTAAAAATTTCAGTTTAAGGCGTTAAGATGCCAACAGCCAACCCTACCTAGGGTTGCACAACCCATCACCTGTCATCTTCTCAACATTTAAAACATTATCGGCTTATCTTAATACAGGCCAATTCTCGGAACTTCAAATGTGAAACGTGTTGAGGATATTGAGAGGCAATGAGTAGTTCACCAACACTATTTCTGGAAAGTTTCATTTTTAACAAAATTTAAATATCCAATAGCTGGATAGAATGAGAAGTTGTCGGCATATTATCAAAGAATAAGTGCTGAGTATGTGACGGGAATTTCCCCAGCAGAAAGGATGAAGCCACAAGAAAGTTAAACTGGATGGATACGCTTCATTACCCTCGACGTACGGTTGGGTGACTTTATCGTTTTATGGGTTCAAGTTTCATTCCACGCAGTTTCACTAGGTCTTCCACTGCAACTCCTTATCAATTAAACTCACACCCAGAGTCTCGGCTTTTGACACGGAAACCAAAACTTCCGCGTCAGAACTCATGAGAGACATGAATTTAACAACAATTCATGATGTCAAAACACGTGAGAAATGTTTCAGTTACTGCTGATCATCCTAGAAAAGAATCACTATTATGACATCCAGAGGATTGTTCCAGCCCAAATATTGCGACAAATTGTAAGATGACGTCATTACTATCATCAATAATTATAATAATTATTCATGATAGGTCTCATTACGAGTAATATTTCTCCTTCCTACTCTCACTAACAGAAGACCCCCTATAATTTGTAGCGTATAACGTCACTGTGACAGGAGCGCCAGGCACTCAATCGTAACATCTCGTCCCCGCACCCTAAATAAATTCGTAACAAAGTTAAACTCCTCAGATATGTGACGTAACTCCAGAATTCAATAAGAACCTGTCAAAATACGCCGTGCACGTGTATTGAACGAGTATAATTACGTATGTATCTATTATCACACGAGAAGTATTGAATATTAAGGGCTGGATAATATCCGGGATAAGTTGTGATGTAATTGTTACAAATGAATGCACGTGTATCTGTGTATCTCTAGCAGTGCAATAGAATTTTTTCTAAAACTAGCAATTCAGATGATAATTTCTAATTCTAATGCAGAAGCTAAAATGTAGCTGAGATATAGCTGAAAAGCTTAAATGTAGCGGGAAAATGTATTCTAAAGTGGGTTATACAGCTAGTACCACAATTTCCGCGAGTTGTTAAAATTTTCTGAATCTAGACGAGGCGGACGGAGAGAGAGACACAATAAAGCGTACGTGAAACGAGTGAGACTAGAAGAGGGGTGGCAGGACACGTGAAGTAGGGTGGAAGTAAGGACGTAAGGGGTTACTGTCATTATTATATGACGAGTTTGTTAAAGAGGTGAAGATTGCAGTTCCGGCCGTATTTCCGTTCAAGCTGTCCCTTAATTGCCTGATGTCATACCGCTTTCAAGATAAAATTAGGACAACTTTCTACAAGACAGCTTTGAGATCAAAGAGTGCCGTTTAAGTTAAACATTAGTAAGGTAGTAAGGTATATGACTGTATCGTAATGTGTAAATATACACTAACGCGCAGGAATATGTATGAGATATCCACCAGGCCTCATTGTATACTGGTCAGTGGGCCTGGTTCTACTCAAAGCTCCACCCCAGGCCTCACTGTATACTGGCCACTGGGCCTGGTTTTACTCACAGTTCCATCCGAGATCTCCTTACTGGTTCTTTTCCGTTTTTTGAAAAATGTGCCAATTAAACTTTTGGATTGAAAAATTCAAACTTTGTTTTTGGATCAAGCACTATCCCTAGGAACCAACAGAAACAATAACCAACCCTCAGAAAACCCCTTTTGAAATTTGAGAATCAGAGCAAAATTGGTAGTTTGTCTGACAGAAATACTTGAAAACCTGGGATATCTTTGTGAACTGAAGTACATTTGTCAGAAAACGGCAGTTTTAGAACAGCTCCACTTCAGACAAAAGTATATTGGGTCCCTGTATACTTGGTCTGTAGTCTGTACTGGTTCCAGTCAAAGCTCCACCCCGGACCTCCCTAGGTACTAAGTCTGTCACTTTGGTCCGTGCTGGGTGGTGTTACTATGAACAAACCCCGGATGGAGCACTCGCTAATTATTATCTAGATTCAGACGGATACCCTCATACTCTAATTCTGATATATCGTCCACCCAGTAAAAGGTTTGTAAGATGATAAGTGGTCGGTTAACAATAATTATTACATAACCAGGTTGTCCCGTATCAAGTAGGATCCGCATCGCGGAGGTGACGTATTCTTGGAGTACCTGTTATTCTACAGTTATTCTTCTTGGTCCAGGAGAATTCCAGATATTAATCTCAGTAACTGTAACGAAATTAAAAATGTATCCAATCTGATCTAGTGTTAGCAGTCACCTATCGGCATTGCAATATATTATTCTAGTTTTACATTGAATACAACAAATAATAATGATTATAGCGCTTATAAACAGTCGGTGTATCTTGATCCAGATTAGATTAGGATAAGTGGTAAGGTTACAAAACAGCTTATGATTTGAGGCTGCAGTTGTTACAGACTGTGTTTTACACCGAGGTATTGCTATATTAGATTACACTAACAATCTAGAGTCTAGCGGGCTGGATGGGGTAGGAAGTTACAAATCAGTATGCAGTAAGGGAGATCGAATGTAGCCATGGGGGGGGGGGGGGGGGGGGGGGGGTGGTGAAGGGATGGGGGTAGGAGCTGCATGTTCTTTTATTGAGGCGGGGAAATCGTTTGACATGACAGTAAATTTCACTATTGGAGAGTAGGTACCAAGTGTCGCGTGTAGATTTAGTAGAAGATTACATTAGCGTGTAAACTGAAGTAACGTAATTACCGTCCCCTAAAGTCGGAGGCACCTTCTGGAGACTCACAGACTCCAGACTTACTAAGATTTCTATCCCCGCCCGAAGTATCTAGATATTATCGGTCATCACTGTACACATAGTGTAGCCATTTAGGGAAGATGGAAGCATGAAATTCTACAAGAGTGGTCGTACATGAAGTTTTCATCAAGCAATATGTCCTTCACAATTTGTTACATTCAAGCCAAAAACATTGGTGGGAAAGATGTTATAGTTTAGGATTAGAACAATAAGTCAAAACCTTTACAACGTAGAGAGACTTTTCGTATTACACGTGCTCACTGCTTATTTCTAACCGTAATATATTAGTTCATAGGTATATTCGCACACGAGCCATCATCGCCTAAACCTAACATCATCCAACTGTTGCTCACTCAATAGACAGAATACATAATCTGGTAAGATATAAAGTGAACAGGTAGACTAGTCAGCATTGATTTGAGTCCTGATCGTGATCCCAACTCTAGTGACCTCCCAAAACATTCCAATACAGTAGAATTAGAATGAATCAAAGGATTTGAGATGATGTTTTTGCCAAAAGCAGCAGTGGCAGCTCTCCAATATCCGCCCAATTCCAGCACTCTGAAAACTTAAAAAACTTGGATCATTATATTCCCGATTGCTCGCTTATGGCGTGGCAGTCTGCGTGAATCCGACCCTAAATCACCGCCTTTTAAACAAAGTTAATAAGGTGTGAAGTCTGGCGTATCTCAATTGAGATCAAAGAACAGTCGGCACAAAGTAGGGAAATACCGACCCGAGGAGACAACCTGAAGACAGATAAAAGTCCCGAACTAGGCTGCCAGAAGGGCGGGATTAGAAATAAGCCCTACAATTCCGGGATATGTCAGGGCTCAATGATCCACACCAGGTTCCACCGTAGCACAGTGCCACTATCCTGGGCAACGGGACAGAGGCCACAAAATGGAAATTCTTTGCATCACGCATGAGCTCAGTAACATTTTTCTGTATCTCTGAATGACGAGTTGTAAATTTTAAGGGCATCTCGCCATCTCTATAAAAGTATAAAATGGGTACCGAGTAGAATCAACATTTTCCAGAGAAGACCTGTCCACACCCACTATTAACTTTAGGGAATTCTGGAAACTATCAGCTAAACCTTCATCATCATTCACCATAACCTAAACTTTCATCATTCATCAGTCACCATCACCAAAACCTTCATCATTATAAGTCGAGATTACTTTAACAGTTACTGGACCATCTCCAGTAAATTCCGTAGAAAAATGTGGCAAAAGACTGATAAGTTAGAGAGAGGCTTTTCAATGATATAAATAATTATCAATTATTATTAACATTTGTTTCGCTGATAACTGCGTGCATCATACAGACAACTGCTCTTTAGCTCATGGTATGATATTATTTCAAGTGCACGTGTCGTGCAATACTACTAGTATCAGTATATATATATGTGGGTATTTAAAGGAAATACAGATTCGTAAAACAAGCTTGACAAAAAAGGAAGATAGTCGATTTGTATTGATTAATGATTATTATAACCCTGTCCATCCGCTAAATCATTTAAATTATTTGTATATTATATTGTTATGCATTCGAGAAGTTTTAAAAGTCATGCCTATTTTAAAAAGGAAAATGCTGGAAAATATAAGCTGTCTCCGAAATTTGTTACAATTTAAACTTTGAATGCTTCAGGTAGGCTAAATTCATAGTAACACCTAAATTTGATAAGGCTGCTGTTTATAAATTCATAATCCAGTTAGGTTTTAAACTTTAACTGTGTTTTAAAATTTCAAGGTTTTAAACCTGAGGTCACATTAAAGTTTATTCGGACAATTTTTTTAAATGTAGACCCCGAATATGTCGCAGGAAATTCCAAGAAACGATTTTCCTTCTAAATTTCCTCATTAAAATTGAAGGAAAATATGAGAAACGAGAATCATATCCAGGGATTCCGTACACGACTTTAGGGACGTTCTGTCGAATATCAGGTCTGAGAGTGGTTTCCAGAGAAATGAACACGGAGTTCAGTGGCTGAAGTCTTGACGGAGACTTATCATTCCTGTGTGTTTCAGTGTTTGCCTTGTTATTAGTGGCTGATATATAACTCACGTCTAACTCGCAGACAAGACGGCGCTACTAAGCACATGAAGGTGGTGGAAATGTTGATTGTGGGAAGTCACGTGGTTAACTTTATCAGCCAGGTTAGTCTTAATTTTTGTTAAACACCCTTCATTAGTTATCAGTGTTGCCGTATTTATGCAGCGAGACTGCGGTTGAATGATTTCTACGATGATGATGTACGTGTCGTAAAAATTGTAAGACTCTGTAAGAAAGTTTAGCGCAAACCAAGTCCAGAAAAAATATGCTGAACCCGTTTGTACTGTGACAGAAAAATAAACTTAATTTAATTCATAGTTTATTGTGATTTCTGCAACAACGTAGAATTGTGATTACACATGTTTTCAGAAACCATGTGCTAATCCAACTACATTATACTCGAATTAAATAAATGCAACCCTGAATTTTGAATTTGTTCTTAGCTTTGAGCTGGGTATGATATGAATAATATGATTATAACACTTCTTCCGGAATGTTCCCTAATTCTCACTGCCCATGTGCTACAGGCCAACAAACCGGTTTCCCAGACTTAAATCTCAAAATAATGGGGTGCAGAAAACTTAAAATCTTCTAATTTACATCTAATCTCAGTTAAAGTTCTTCTTCTCACTTGGAGGCATAATATTGATGATGGTATTTTTAGGTGCAAATGCCAGCGAAGAGACTTTAATTATTTTCTAAGAAGCTCAAAGAGAACAAAAAGAAAAAATTACCGTAAAAATATGTAGTTCAAAATTTTGTTCAGTATCAGAGACGACAAGATTTGGAGAACGACTCAGGAAACAACACTGATATAAGAATTAGAGTTCAGCTCACTGCAGTGTGGAGAAAGTTATCACCACAGCGGCGACAACTGGATTCCAGGAACTACATAATAAATACTTGTGTTTTTAAATTGTTAAAATTACCTCTCCTCCGTCCGGAAGATGAATTGTGGAGGTTCTGGTGGCGAGTTTGGTTTTGATCAGCAGGTCTGACAGCTCCGTAGTGAGCGATTGTAGGTCTCTGAAATTAATCCTCAGTTAGCAATGAGTTAGAATTAGGGTATGGAGATTGGAGAATGTCTAATTTTCAGATATCACAAATATATGAATTAAATTGTGGATTGTTTCCTTGTCTTCTTTCAATGTCAAAAATGTCAGAAATTCAACTTAATAGCAAATGGCCAATTTTATCGATTAATTTTTGTCATAGTGAGCTGTGAGTGACTTAATTCATAACGACATGAATAATTCAAGGTTAAACAAGTCCAACCCAAAATTAGTGAGAGTCGGGGCCGGACTATTCATGTTCGAAACAATGGTTTTAAAAAGAATTAACTGAAAGTCCCACTTACTCTCACATCAATTTAAAGCGTTTTAACTTTTGTTTAAACTAAAACAAACGTAATGTCCAGAAATTTTGTTATGAAAATTTTGTTTCTCGGTATTTCTACAGAAAACATAATACTCATGCAACATAAAATTACACAGAAAATTATCTGAGTATGCGTCACGTCCCGTTAGTCGTCAAAATCAAATTTCAAACTCTCAATATCATTTTCAACTGTCTTAAAGTAGAAGGATCGAAAATTGTAATTTTATGTTTGAAACATCAATTTTTGATTACAAAGTGAAAATCAATTTGTCAAGTAAATTTAGGGGTGACATAATAAATAATCATGATCCAAACACAACTTTAAATATTCTGTCTACATTTTTCTGGTTAATGATGCAACTTCTATGCCACAGAATCAGGAGAATACTAATAATATGTGTAATATGGTACAGATTCTAAAAAGCAACTTAAATGTAGGACAAAATTAAATTAAAAAAGGATACTCACGGCTGAGCAAATAGGAAACTGGGGTAGAAAACTTCTGAGAGAACGGAGCAACATTCCGATAATTTCTGAAATGAAGGTGAATTAGAAAATCTGAATCGATATATTTAGGTCATGTTTGGCATGGGCTGACTGATGGTCTAGCCTATAGGTCGTTTATTTTTGTTATCAAAACATAGCAGCACCCAGAGCGAGTCGGATGACCACACTCTAGCCATGATAATTTAATTGCTCTTTCAAATTAATCTTTAAAAGAAGTGCAGGATATAAGTCTCAGTTTGGTTAAGGTTTGGACTGTTAGGTACTTTATAAGGTTTATGTTGTTGAGAACCTTGGTACAATTCTTAAACAAAGAAGAATTGGCCAATCTGAACGCAACTTAGTTTAACCAGGTGACACAAACCAACCAATCCGAAGGTCGCTAATGAAGGACATTGCCATCTTTATTTAAAACACATTTTACTGTGAGAACCTTTTACTGAAAAATGTATCCTTAAATTTCACATTAATATTTAAGTCAATAATAAGGATACACATGGTTAAACAGTAACACCCAGCCTACATTCCATTTCTAAGTTTAACTCTATGGCATCCACCTACAACAATACTGCTACCTGGTGGATTTGTCTTCAATTCTTAAATCATAAGGCCGTACTATGCCGCAAGTGTTTGGAGAATTCCTACTTTAGCATAAGAGTGACAGGCCCCCTCCCAATATATCAAATAGTTTCAATTTTGTTTGCAGTTTCATAACGACTGCGAGTAAAGTGTTAAACGATCAATGGAATGTTCTGTTTTCGTTCGAATGTTGCTAGGTGACTGAACATTGTCAGAAGCAAGTGTTGCTAAACATTGCACGTTTGTAGCGACACTTGAACCCTTGTTCTGGGGAGAGAGAAACGCCCCTCGCCGAAATGTACCAGGTACCTTACAGATACACGTGAATATTTCAGAGCAGGAAACTGTACCAAATGACCTCGATTAAACACCAAATTTTTAGTCTAGGGTTTAAGCGCATTCAAACTCTTAAAGGTTCATTGAGGTTCAAGGCGGAAATATCGCACAATTTCTGTCTAGTCTTTGATATATAATATTCGATTTTATAACATTGAGAAGGCTGTCAGTTAAACCCGGAAAGATTGCTTAAATCTTCTACGAAACTTATTTCTCCATGCGCAGAAACACGTACACCTGGCCGTTAGGGCTGCATTGTGGTGAAAAACATACTATTACTATACATACTAAACATACTATTACTATAATACTTAACATACTATTACTATAAATACTTAACATACTATTACTATAAATACTAAACATACTATTACTATACATACTAAACATACTATTACTATACATACTAAACATACTATTACTATAAATACTTAACATACTATTACTATAAATACTAAACATACAATTACTATAAATACTTAACATACTATTACTATAAATACTTAACATACTATTACTATAAATACTTAACATACTATTACTATAAATACTAAACATACTATTACTATAAATACTAAACATACTATTACTATAAATACTTAACATACTATTACTATGGTGCGAAGAATTAGAATTGGCGGTTGAGATCTCTGATGGCAATAACGAACGGCTATATGGCGTTTCTACTCGAAATGCTGAAAACTCTGAACACACTTCAATAAACTTATTTTGCACCGTATAATCGATTAAAAGTGATCCTGTGATGATTGGACTGATTTTGTATCATGTGTAGGGTGTATATCTTGATCGACTGGGAATTTCTATAAAACTGCCCATTCTAAATCGTTGCACTAAATCGTATCACTAAAAAAGTACTAATAAATCGTTGCAACTATAGTTGTTAAGAATCTTTGAATCAGGTTAAATTGATAGGAGACATATTATTTTAGTTGTTGGGAATCTTTAGGGACAGGGGAAACTGATCGGGAGGCTTTGCGCCTGGCTAAATTTATAGGAGACATATGTTAAGACTATTATTTGTATATACCGCCCTTAGTATATTTTATTGCAGACTGTGTTCTACCGTTATCATCACACTATATGAAGCAATAAACCTAAACGATTATTCTTCAAAGTGAAATTCCTTACCGCACCTTGTCTCAATGTCTAGAGAAATGATTAAAACCGTCAGTTTTTGAGATTCTAGGGTGTCTCCTGGGTATAATTTCATTTGATGGCACGGTAAGGCTCGAGTGAACACAAACAAGATGGAATAATTGATTGGAATATGAAGTTTAGTGCTCCTGAATATGACAACATAATCAGATTTATATCCATACGTTTGAATACAGAGTTGGATAGAATGACAGGATAAAGAGAGCGGGTCTCTCTGGTGAAGTCTAATGGTTCTGTAAGAAGATCACTAGAGTTCCATGTCTGGAACCAAACTGGCTTCCACCGCCAGACACAGTAAGCGAGCCCTGCAACCTGCGACTATCGCAGACTGGGGGAAATTAAAACTTTTAGATCCACCTAGCTTTGTAGGGACGTGGCTATCATTTCTACAAAACATTCCAGAGAAGGTTTAGTACGGGTTCCTGCGCAGCTTTTAGAACTTTAGACGTTTACTTTCTCATCATGGTATTCTGTTACTCACAGAGGTTTGCGATCATTAGTACCTGAATAATTCATACGGTGCGCTGAACACACGTTTTAACTTATTAACTCAGCCTTCTCGGTTTCTTATCATTTTACCAAGCATTAAACCCTAATTAAACCACCTCTTTCAGTGTTCTTCTAGCTGATAAAACCAGTAGTAACCTACCTATGTCACCTATGTTCCCGGTAGATTAGGTATGTACGGTAGAAGCGAATGGTAAGATCTGGCGCCTGTTGCTCCTAATTGAGCTGATCATGTTGTCTCCAGTGCTCACTAATTTGTTGAACACTTTCACTCATCCGTGAAGATACGTGGAACCATGTGCCATGATCTAGGTTTACCGGCCTCACAAACAATTAAAAGCAGAGAATATCTAGTTACAACGCCATACAAAACCTCTATATATTCCTCTTATGCAACATGCAGAGCCATCTCAAAATTCCACGATATAATATCATATTCAGTATGCTCTCATCACTTGGGGCTGAGAAAATTGTTTCGAGCTAGGTTGTGTGGGGACTGTATTGGAAACCGCGACAACCTGCTAACGAACTGAAAGTTAGCTATCAGAAAGTGAAACTTTCGCTGGGAACTGTTCTAAAGACAGTCTGCTTTTACTGGTGCTGACAACTCTACAATTGATTTGTTAAAACTTCGGGATGAACATTCATTCTATTGTCTGATGAAGGAGTGTGATTCATACGTCAATAATTTAAATATTATATTATTACATATTATTATATCATTATGATGCCCTTGTTGTATCAGTACTATTTTACAAGTTAAACCGTTGAAGTCATAAAAAATAGCTTTGGAGAAAAGAAGCTTTGGAGAACATGGCGACTTTGCACAGACATCAATTAAGGGCACTTTCGAATATGAAATGACCTAAGCATAAGGGTATGATAAGTTATGCTGCACTTCACAATTAATGATATGATGTTAAACAGCTCCCTGAACGCATACCAAAGATGGAAGATGGTTACTGGGAGACTACGGACGCCATGAATTAAATGTTCTTTGTTTAAAGCAATGATCTTAGTTTTCGAAATCCAACTATTAACAATTTTAAGGAACTCGATGAGATAAGAGATGTAGCTGTGTTCAACAAATGTTGGAACCAATTGCATACTGTATAGGCACAGTATATAAAATGTTTGTGTGAAATTAATTTTGAATTAGAATCCGCTAAATTTACATACTGATACAGATTAGACAATGCTAGAAAATATTGAAGATAGAGTCTTACCAGTGCTAGTTGCGATGAGGGAGACGCATGAATGCAGGGTCGTTTACATTTGGTGAGATAGTAACACACGTAAAATCCCATAAACATCACCGTAACACACGTGTAAAACATTTCAAATATAATCATCAACAGCATTCTAACAGATATTCACATACACTTCACCATGGCTGAAGAAAGAGATGTTAGTTACAAATTATCAACCAGTAAAAATAAACAACTTATTAAAAATAAAAGAACTTATAAAAAATAAACAACTTATTGAGTTCTGAAATAAAATACTCGGGGATTCAAGAACTTGAACAAAGCGAAGACAAAAGAACAAAATGTATTACTAAAGTGTCCTGAAAAGAGGTGTAATATTATCAGCCATGCATCCATAGATGGCTAATAATGAAGCTTCTATAAGAATCCACAAGGTTATGTATGATAATGGAATATCTGTAAGCCATAAGGAACCAGGAAACAGGAAATAGTAACATGGTCATCCTTCCACAACAAAAGTAAGTTCCGTAGGCGTAGAGCAGGGTGTTTCCTAAATATTATACCGTTCAAAAACAACGTATGTAGAAGATGAGTTGCGTATTCTAACAATTTGCCCAGCCCCTGGGCCCTGATACAACAGGATGGAAGCTTACAAAACTTCTAAAAAACGAAATGGGAGTCTTCTCAAGTTGTTCGACAACATCACATCACTCATTTTGTGAATATTCAAAGCACAAGTTACATGTGTGTTAATTGTTCAAGTATTGAGCCACAAGGGAAATGTGTGTTTTTGGTAACAATTCTACATTTCTTAAAAGCGTCTCCATTTCTATTGAACCCTAATGAAATATGTGGACATGATAAATTGATAATAATAACCTTTCTATCGAATGCTTAAAAGATGAATATTTTGTCAAAGCCATAATTAAAAATAATAGGATTCCAAACATCAATTGATCTAGATCGGTAAGGGTAAGTGTTGCAACCTCACTAAATACCTAAATACCAAATATGATCAGTAAGCAAATAAATTAATAAACGGCACTATTAACCACACAGACTAAACGTAAATAAATAAAATTTATTAAACAATCTTTGCTATAACGACGGGTTAAAATTTTACTGATATCGCAGAAAAAAGCCCTTGAGTATCGAGGCTTAAAATAAAGTTAACTGTTAACAATTTGATTCAACGTGAACTGTAAGCTTTCTAGGGCATGCAACTTTAATCGGTATATATTATTGTGCATGCTTTTAAGTAGAGTAGTTGGTTTTAAATCAGCACACACAACAACAAAGTGACCAAATATTCCGGGAAATGCCGGCTATAAATGAACGATGAATAGTCTAGATAGGCACTTCTAAGGTGATTGAGATAGTCAAATCACAAAGAGAGAAACACTACTCACACAGTCTCATACCGAGAGACTTCACGACTACCCGCTTGTGCCCCTTCACGACAGGGTACAACTGGCAATACACGAGGTACGTGGCAGGCCCCCGCATCATGTGGGAAAACTTAACTATGGGTTTGAGTACTTCATGGCGAGTATAATTCATAAGAGCAAAGCATAGCTGAACGGATTTCTAAAACCCCTAATTTTAGGCTGCATATAAAATATGTAGACATCCAATTCTTAGTGCTGTTAAAGCCAGTATAATTGAATGCAATGTTAACGAGAAGTGAATTGTGATCAAACAGCAGCAAGGAAATAGTACAGATATGGGGTATCCTAATCTAGGTATTCTATTCTAATATAGATTAATGAAATAAATTCAACCTATAAGTTCAAAGTAAAAATGTACTTTATCTGAGCTGATAAAAGCATCTAAACCTAAGGCTAACCAAATGATATGTTAGATAATCAGGAATTTGACTCATCCTTGAGTTGCAAGCTGTCCAACACCAGTTCATCTGGTCAATCGAGGGTATTGGCACACTGCCATACAGCAGCAGGATGGAAACTCTCAATTTAACTACATTAGCGGAAAGAAGAATCCGTGGGGATTTTATATAAACCTTTAAAATAGTCAGTGGTTTAGTAGAATATGGTTCGGATATTTTCAATATTAATAGATTGGGTATGAATATTGTTTCAAAGATAAAGTGCAATATCAAAAGCTCTAAATTAAGAAATCTTCGTTAAGCTTTTAATATCTGAGAGAGTTATACCTTATTGGAATGCCCTACCAGTGGATGTTAAGAATTCTTATAGTGTAATTAATTTAAAGATAAATCTAGAATATTTTAAAAAGGACTGTATAAAAAAAGGAATTTATTGCGATGATCATCACTGAAAAGTGTCTGATTAGGTGATAATTAGAATAGAAGGAGATGATTATGGAGAATAAAGGTAAACATAATGATTATCTGTGGTTTCATCCCTATGTAGCAAAGAAGAAGTTTATCAACCTGAACTTGGCCGTTTGGGTATAATTTAAATTATTAAGATATTTTTATGAATATTAGTGATGATCTTATGTATGATTATGTTTTGATTTGATCAATAAAGCAGTCAAGCATCATTTTATGTTGAGCATTCTCAACCAGCAGATGTGGCAACTCCCACGAAGGACCGCAACAGATTTAAAGAGACAATTAGCAAAATCGGAAAAATAGACTTGAATTTGTTTATATAATTTATAAAGCGTATTGCACTCCAGAATGGAAACATAATTTTACTTTGGGTTAGAAGAAGATAAAATCGCAGCAGTGGCTTTTCAAATTCATACAGACGTGTGCACTCTAAGACACTACTTTAAGTAGTTAACTAGTTACACAATTAAAAGAAGTAAAATCAAAATCATTGATTGCTTTAAGAATTCTGATCTCCAAAGTGAAGCAAGCATGATAATATAATGCTCCCGGATCCACAAACACTCTGGAGATCTGAAGGAAAGCAGCACACACTGGATTGTGGGGAAATGAAAAAGTAAAGTAAAGATATCAGTAAAACAAAGTTATCAATCTTACACCAATTTTATGCAACAAAAATGAAAATCTCTACAAAAAAAGCAATTTATGATCATTTTGGCTTGAACTAGTAAAATTATTGAAAAATATACAAAAACATATTCAGCAATGGTTACTGTCTAACTTAATATAATGGTTATATAAGACATCCGCTAAAGTACAATGCAATCAACAAATATTAAAATGGAAAAAGGGCAATTGAACTAGCTGCTAGCTAATATAAATATATAAGCTTGGTACAACCAGCGAATCCAATGTGATGTGTCGCACATACCACAATTTTATATCAAACGAAGGAGCAACCTTACATTCTACAAACGAAGATTGGTCCAAAAATAGTCTCAGCACTCAGACACACCAAACATGCAAGGTCAAGTTCCAAGTTAAAATGATACTTAACTCATTAACTGCGATGCACCTTGTCAGTTATTATGGAACGCTAGTTTTGAACAAACAATTCCATACTGTTTGTAAATCATGAATCACAAATATCTGTCCGTATTTTATGCGCGGTGATAAAATAGGAATTTGGGATAATGGGTAACAAACACAAAACAACAAAAAAATGGTTTACACTTTTTTACAGTTCACAACTAATGCACACGAGCGTGCTTATTTTAATCAGTCAACTAGGGATTGGGTAAGGGTTATATAGGGTTATATAGGGTTATATATATTAGGGTTGGGATCAGATTAAAGGCTTAAGGTTTCGAATAATCTTTGTTTTCTTTTAGTCGAGTGTAGAGTGCAAAGTGATTAATCATCATTCTAATCACTAATGCACAACTGCAGTAAGGTCAATATTTTTGGATTGTCACCTCTACGTCAATGTTAGCGGGCGGCGCTGATCAGCCTGTCATTCCGCCGAATCTTTATGTTTATAAACATAATAGCCTGGGGTTACGTCCAGGTTACGTCAATGTCCAGGTTACGTCAATGTCAAATGTTAAATATTTCATTTGATGATTTACATATTACCATTATGTAATCAAACTGTCAAATAAATAACTTAAAAGTTAATAACCTTATAACGCGCGCGCGACGAATTGCTTCGCAACTCATCAATAACATTTTTTTAAAATGTTGTATTTGATAAATAATTAATGTTGGTGGGGAATTAGTATTTATTTTATATTTTGCAGAGTTTTTAAAAAGCCTCCTGCACTATCCGTGAAAGAAGCAAGCAATAAACAAGCAAGCTAGGTAAGGTAGAATTATTTTATTTTAATTTTAGCCAACTTTTGGCATCAAATTACACACAGATTTCAAATATTTCCATGCGCGGCCTGGTGCTGATCTTTTCGAGCCTCTTGCATGCGCGCATATATATTTGTAACATTTGTAAAGGAAGAATTCTTGTGAGAGAAGTAAACAATATAGACAAGCTAACTAAACTAAACAGTAAAGTTACATCCCAGGCTTATAAATATCATGTAAAAATAATTTAAAAGTAAAACAGTGCAATTTTAAAAGTTGTAGACATTTTTCGACTAATATTTTATATTGGCGATTTTGGTATATTCACCATTGCTCAATTCAATTTTCACACATGCAGTTCGACCGAAACGTAATTTGTTGTAAATTTATATTCCATCCTATTCACACGTTACAACTCACGTACAAGAGAACTAGTTGCTGATTAACTATTCATTTGATATGAAGAATCTTCTATTTAAACCATAAACGTAATATGAAAAGAGTGCTTCATGTATGCATACTATCTCACTTTCCCAAATTTTAACTCCTCTGTTTTGAGACCCGAGAAAAATATTCAAAATCTTTTAGCAGGAACGCAGAAGCATGTCGTTCTCTAAGGGACATTGTCCCACAATCCCTGACATCATTTTATGCTAACTTGGGATGGCAACTGGCAAGTGGCAAGTCAATAAAGTTTAACTTCTTTTTGGTATAGTAAGGGAATACAAATTTTTAAGGACTACAAAATTGAATTTTGATCTTTACTACAGATTATACATATCATAGATAACCATAAAAGCTGGATGTCGGCTGATTGCCTCAACTTGAATCAGCCATCTTCTAAAAAGGAAACCACTCTCATTTCACAACTCCCATTTAATGACTTCATATCAAGATCCACCAAAATTTGGAGCACAATTGCACCTAAACTTAAGCTTTTTGACTACTCCTACAAGATTAGCCTTGCTAAAAGTCGCCTGAAAAAGGCACTTCTAAAGCTGCAACATGCTTATAATGATTCAGCATGGACTTCAAGCGATTATGACATAATGCAGCTGTCATTTGAAAACAATCCCCTTCAACAAATTTAATCCAGTGTTATCGGCCCACAGGTTCCTCCTATTAAAAAAAATTTGATTTTGGTAAATGTGTGCTGACTCCACCACCTAATATTTAGTGTATTACAGGTAGACATTGAATTAGGTAGGTATTTTTCTCTTAAGGTAGATATTAAGAATTTGGTAAATTTCTTAATTATATGACTATTTCCATTATTGAGACGTTTTTAATATTTAATTTAAGAGGGTTTTTTTATAGGACTGGTTCACAGTGTGAACAGATTCCAGATTTATGTATTTTTAAAGTGATATTTAATAAATGATTAAAAGAACCAATTTTAAAGTAGCCATAGTAAAGCCTTTAGGTCCAAAAATATACCCATTATGCTCACTTAAAAACAACTCTAAATCAGTAGGCTGTCACTCAATTAATGCACCACACCGCTCCCTCCACTGCACTAAAAGTTATACAATAAATTATACGATCCTAAGTTTGTATCGTGATGGAGACCGGTGTCCATACAAAATATTTACTAGGTTGCCGTTTGGTGTGAGCAATAGCGAACAGCACGCACACTCCTTTGCCCCGTCAACCTATATCTAATCTATTTAAAGAGTGACAACCATACTCAATGAAACAAGAAATTAATGAAACAAGAAATTTAATTTTAGCACATTTTTACAGAATAAAAAGATGTAAAACAATTCATAAAATATAATGCCCATTTGGTGTATGACTTTTTGTCCTGACTGCTAGTTTGGTTTATGAAGGACAGGTAACTAACGGGGCAAGGAATGCGCGTGCCTGGAAGCTTTTGCACACACCGAAACGCTAGTTCAGTTAAGTTTTTAGAGACAAGGCTCAGATTAGGACTAGAAGAAAAATTGTTAGCAGACATTAGAGGTTCTGTTTATAATTGTTACTATAGGTTGCAGTCTTGTTGTGACAAAAAGTCTACACTAAAACATGATTTAGTTTATATTTAGGATATAAAATGCAGCTTCAAGGTGGATATTGGAGAGCTGGTGAAAGATTATGGCCTTTGTATCAATTGTTATAATAAGCTGCACATTGAATTAGGATTCCTTTAAATATCAAATTGATTTATTGTAAACTTGTTTACTCTGTAATAAATGGCATAAAATTGAATTTTTGTTTAACTGAATTTTTGTTTAACTGAATAATAATTTCAATCGACAGAAGCTGAAGGGTGGCAGCTCAAAAGGCCCAGTGGCCAGTGCACCATCGACAAGATCAAGGACTCGAGTGCCAATAGTGGCTTTTCCGAACCCCTTTTTGTCGATTGGCCTAGTGGTCCTAGTGAGCCTACTGCTAAACAGTACATGATGGTTTGTGTTTTAATGCTTATTAATTTAAACGATTATTCAGTTGATGGTTATAAATTATAAGTAATATTTCTTTTCCTTTTAATAATCATGGCTCGACTATTCAGTCATACTACGGTGTTGAGGCAACCAGCTTCCGCAGTTCAATAATTGGAGACCAAATAAATGTAAATTAATCGAAATTCATAATTCATCGTCACAAAATATAATGAATAATATTCGATTGATAAGTTAAATTTATATTGCATTGTAAGAAATTCTATCAGAAATTCTATCATCGAAGAACCAATTTTAATTTACGCCTAAAAATTAAATTTTCGGACCAAAAAATCTGTCAATAAGTATAGCCCAAAGTGATAAAATATCGGCAGAGAAATAAATTTTGACGATCATGTTTTTGGCTTGATATTTTAGGTAAAAATGTAATTGTTTCTTGAGTGTTCAGATCACTACTGCCCCTTTCCTTTTCCCTCCTGTGAAAAAATGAACTACTTTACTCTTGCTCTTGTGTAAAATGTTATAATCTCATACAGAGATTTATTTATTTATTTCAAGTACCCAATGTTTTATTTCTAACTCCTTTGTGTCTCAATAGTTATGGTAGCATGGTTATGGAGTATAGTTTAAGAAAACATGTTCTACGTTTATTTCACCCTGATGTTTATGGGGTTTTATGTGTGTTACTATCTCACCAAGTGTAAAAGACCCTGTATAGTTGCTTCTCCCTCATCACAACTAGCACAGGTGAGAACTTAAGATTATATATTTTTACATTTTTGGGGTTGAATGTCCAGCCTATATTTCATTCTATTCAATCAATTTCCAATTGTAACAGCACGACACTGCTGAAAACATATTTCAAATATAGCGCATTAGTAAATGGTATACTTGATGACTGTTTTTCTAATATTATCACATTATTCAACTTGTATTACTAATTTAACCGATATTAATAATATAACAATTATTTAAAAATACAACTACGAGGAATTAAATTTAAATATCGTTTGCATCCAAAATTGAATAATAATTACAAGCTTCTAAAAGTTCAAGATAAGGTTTGCATTAAGTTAAAGTCAAATACTTCGGCTTTTTTCTCACAGAAAAGTAAATGGATTAAGTAATGGATAACAGATTACCAGTAATGTAGAGGGATCCAACATAGTCCTCACACAACCTATCCCGAAACAATTTTCTCAGCCCCAAGTGATGAGAGGGTACTACTGAATATGATGTTATATCTTGGAATTTTGAATGCTGCATAGGAGGAATATATAGACGTCTTGTATGGCGTTGTAACTAGATATTCTCTGCTTTTAATTGTTTGTGAGGCCGGTAAACCTAGATCATGGCATTTAGTTCAGAGCATCTTCACGGATGAGTGAAGGGTTCAACAAATTAGTGAGCACTGGAGACAACATGATCAGCTCAATTAGGAGCTTTAGGCAACAAATGTTACCATCCATATATAATTATATATTCTCTGCTTTTAATTGTTTGTGAGGCCGGTAAACCTAGATCATGGCATTTAGTTCAGAGCATCTTCACGGATGAGTGAAGGGTTCAACAAATTAGTGAGCACTGGAGACAACATGATCAGCTCAATTAGGAGCTTTAGGCAACAAATGTTACCATCCATATATAATTATATATAAATAATCTGTTCTGTCTTATTTTATTGTTGAGCTTGACAAGACGGCCAATTTATCTTCTATTTGATCACAGAAATTTATTGCTAAGCAATATTCAATATTACAATAAGTTAGGTGTACTCGCAATGGTAGCAGGCAGTTTAGTCGTTGAAGAGTAATATGATGAGTCGTGTTCTGAAGCTCTGATAGATGAACCCATATAAACATGCTTAGGAATGTTTTGAATAATAGCTCATATAATGTAGTAATGAAGGACACGTCCCTAGAAAGCTAGGTGAATCTAAAAGTTTTAATTTCCCCCAGTCTGCGATAGGTGCAGGTTCCAGCGCATGCTTACTCGGTGTGTCTGTCCTTGGAAGCCAGTCTGATTCCAGACATGGAAATTTGAAAACCAGACTCAGAAGTGATCTTCTTACAAACCATACGACTTCTAGGAATATGCTCTTTTTACCATGTAATTTCTCTAACCTATTTTTAGGGTAAATCTCATCATGTTGTCACATTAAAGAGGACAAAAATTCATATTTCAATCAATTTGTGATTCGATCTAATATTAGATTTGTATCATAAACTTGTAGTTTCGCAAATCGCATGTTAAGTACATCGACACATTATTTTAAACTTTAACTTACCCACGCCGACATTTTACAACAGATTGTCATTTAAAATATTTTAGAAGTAAGAAAATTATAGATAAATCATGAACTTGCTGAACAGTCGAAGCCACTATTTTACATTACGGTATTGGGCCTTTATACCCCCGGAAAATCCTTGACTAGACAGGAATTAGGTCATAATATTATTCCAACCATCAATGTTAATAAGTTGGAATGTAACAATTTGGTGAATGTATCATACAGGTCACAAGGAATTAGGTAAAGTTTCCTGCTATGAAATACTCACGTGCAAGGTATCTGGTATATGTAAACGGGGGCGTGTCCCTCTAGAACAATCGGCGAAGTGTCGCTACAGAGTGGGAGACTATGCACGTGCAATTTTTAGTAACAGTACTTTCTGACAGAGTTTAGTCACCTAGCAACACGGATAGAAAACATTGCATTCCATTGGTCGTTTAACACCTTACTCGGAGTAGTTATGAAACTACTAGCATATCGCTATTTCCTATAACACCATACTTATTATGACTCAGTCACAAGATCGGTAAAATATCAGTACTCTACTTTTAATCTGGGAAATTATTCTGGAATAGTTGATAATTTTAAGCAATGTGAAATTCACATCTACCTAAATATTAATGGGTTGTATGTGACATCTAAAAATATATCTGAAAGTAACAGCTTAGACAATTTAACCGCCATTGAAGATCTGAGGATAAGTTGGTTTGTGTTGTAAGGGGTTACAAAGACTTTCTTCCAGATTTTCTAATTCTCCTTCATTTCAGAAATTATCGGAATGTTGCTCCGTTCTCTCAGAAGTGTTCTACCCCAGTTTCCTATTTGCTCAACCGTGAGTATGATTTATAAATCTAATTTTGTCTTACATTTATGAAAGTTTTTAGAATTTAGAACAATAAATTGATTTGTCGTCTCCGTTAGTGTGATATAGGATGTTCATCACCATAAAATGTAAACTGAATTGAATGTTCCTAAGGTATTAGGTAATTTGCTTGTTTTACTGAAATGTAACAAGTACATGTAAGTTGTGACTTTGATCATGATTATGTCACGCCTTGACCTCCTTGACTAATTGAATTAAATAACCAACTTTAATAGTTGTAACAACGTAAAGCGTAAAATCACTTTTCTTGACGATTGTAAAAAATGAGGTGTCACCAGGAGCGCTAATTAGACCTTTGTGATTATGTTGAGTAGACAATCAAGAGTAACTAGGTATCGTCGAGCAGTAATTCAGAAATTTCATATTCTCTTCTGGTAACTTCTGCGGCGGTTTCTTAAACTTGTGTTAACTTCTTAAGCGTTTTCATTGAAACTTACGTCGAAGCTTAATCGCCTAGTTCCTGAGTTTACTTAATTTAGGATATGAAGAATAAATTAACTTGTGTATATTATATGATAACTTATTGTTTCCTATCGATTAGATTGAGTCATTATGCTACTTAGTGAACGTACTCTTATCTTAATTAATGAGAGGTTATTAATAATAATAAAACATTTATTTTAATTCGGGGTATCAATCACAGCAAGTCTAACTTAGTATTAATTTCAGAGACCTACAATCGCTCACTACAGAGCTCTCCGACCTATTGATCACAACCAAACTCGTCACCAAAACCATCACAATTCATCTCCCGGACGGAGGAGAGGTAATTTTAACACTTTTTCAACACAATAATATATTTTCTAGTTCCTTATATATCTGGTCGCCGCTCTGGTAAAACTTTCTCTACACTGCATTGAGCTTAGCTCTAATTCTTACGTCAGCGTTATTTTCTGTTATCTTCCCCTAGACTCTGAAGTAGTAGAAAAATAGGAAATATCTTTGCTCGAAATCATAGAATGAAGGTTTCAATATTACGTATTTAAAGCGAGGTTCGACCGGGATCCCAGCTTAATCCCAGTCAAAAATCGGTCGGGACTGGGAATCCCTGTCCCAGCTAAAATGCCGAATTTTTACCGGGACCGAACCGGGATTTTTTTCTAGGTTTTAAAAAAATTGTTGCTAATTTTGTTAGATTATCGAAATTTTTTTTGCACAAATGAACGATTTAAAAAAACTGAAGTTTCAAGCAAAATTATTTACCAATTAATCAACTGTGCTTGTGCTAATTGTAATTGTAATCAGTAAGGATACCAAGGTTGTAGTGTCAGGGTTGATAGCTGGTTTGTTGGGTAAGCTGTGCTTGTTCTTGTAATAAGTAGCGGATACTGCACCTAACGCCATTATACATTATAAGATCAAAAAATATTGAAAGTACAATTTTTGTTAGCTTCTATCCCAGTCCCAATCCCGGCTTAATCCCGGTCCCGGTCGTATTCCCGGTCCCGGTCCCGGTCTTATTCCCGGTCCCGGTCTTATTCCCGGTCCCGGCACTTTTTTCCAGTCCCGGGCCCGCCCAAAAAAGCGGTCACGGTCGATCCTTGCGTATAAGTATACTATACTACTACCTGTAGGAAGAAGGCTGATAAAAACATGCGAATAAAAAGAACCTTAACCCTTACAATTTACATATCACTAAATGTTGTTGAGTACTAATAATGATATATCTCTACTATAATTCAAAGAATTGTTTTTGTAGAATGTATGTATGTACGACCGCCCACGTGCAAATTAGACGAAAAATAGAAATTTAGGTAACAACCAAAACGTTCCATAGCAACGGTGTTTTAATGCACACATGCACGTGCAAAGATTGTTTTAACGTCATTTTGATCGGTTTTGTGGTAATTACGTTGTGTTTAAAGTGTTTTATATTTAAATCGGCTGTATCTTCGGTTGGGATAGATATTTTTTGATGCGATTAAAAATTTCTTTCAAAGAATACTACTAGCTTCGTCCCTGTTACCACGGGCTTTCTAGTCTCTATTACAATTCAGAGAATTGTTTTTGTAGAATGTATTTATGTACGACCGCCCACGTGCAAATTAGACGAAAAATAGAAATTTAGGTAACAACCAAAACGTTCCATAGCAACGGTGTTTTAATGCACACATGCACGTGCAAAGATTGTTTTAACGTCATTTTGATCGGTTTTGTGTTAATTACGTTGTGTTTAAAGTGTTTTATATTTAAATCGGCTGTATCTTCGGTTGGGATGGATATTTTTGATGCAATTAAAACTTTCTTTCAAAGAATACTACTAGCTTCGTCCCTGTTACCACGGGCTTTCTATTAATATATAATATAAGATAGTGATTGGGGTGTAGGGGATGTGGGGGTTTGTCTAGAAAATATTGCAAGAATTATTTGCCGGCCAACTTGGTATTCTAAAATTTTCAAGTCGATTCTTTTTATCAAATAAGTATCTTATTTATAAGGATCAATAAAAATATACCGGGTCACAATAAGCAAGTAAAAATTCGGATAAGATTCGTATTCAGACAACAGTGGTTATTCGGATCTGATTTCCAGCTCGAACAATAGTCTTATTTTTCGTAACTAAATTCGGACTAAACCAGTGTTCGGACTAAAGCCGTGTTCCAAAATTCCATTTTGAGGCCCCTGAAATTCCACTTTGAGACCAGAATATTGACATTGTTACATCTTTATATAATAAAAGTGTGGCTTATCTGTATAAAGCCCTGACAAATCCTGACAAATTGTCAAGTGTGCGGCTTGTTCCGAATTCCACCCTTCTTGTGTCACACTTGTTCACTACTTTGATCTGTCGGTATTTCCCTACTTTGTGCCGACTTCACTTTGATCTCGATTGAAGTAATCCAGACTTCACGCCCGTTTATATCTGCTTAATACGTAGTTTGATTTACTGTTGGGATCACATGAACCCGTGAACCGCCACGTCAGAAAAACGAAATCAAGGATCTGGCGATCCAAATTAGAGATTTGGGAGCCGAGAAATTATAGGGTCACGTACCGTTTAGCTAGGGTCTAAAACAACGCAATTTTTTGAGCATCCCAGTCAAATCAATTGCACGCCAATATTTTATTAACCTCGGTAATCATTGTGACTTAACTTCTTCAAATCGTGAAAACCCTAAGAATGTCCAAATTTCATGTTTAATTCTCGTAGAACTTGCGTCATCCTGAAAGTAGTCAGTAATGGTAAATATAAGATCCGTGATCCGATAATATCTTCTAGAATTACCAGCTCTAATCAGATGTAAATTGAAAGTTTGTAGTCCGGTAGACCAGAGGGTGCCTCTAACTTTAGGGGGACGCTAATCAGGTTACCTTACACACTGCTATTCTACACGTCCCCACTAACCTGCTCCCCACTAACAGTAACCTGCTCTCAACTAACAGTAACCTGCTCCCCACTAACAGTAACCTGCTCCCCACTCACAGTAACCTGCTCCCCACTAACAGTAACCTGCTCCCCACTAACAGTAACCTGCTCCCCACTAACAGTAACCTGCTCCCCACCAACAGTAACCTGCTCCCCACCAACAGTAACCTGCTCCCCACTAACAATAACCTGCTCCCCACCAACAGTAACCTGCTCCCCACTAACAATAACCTGCTCCCCACCAACAGTAACCTGCTCCCCACTAACAGTAACCTGCTCCCCACTAACAGTAACCTGCTCCCCACTAACAGTAACCTGCTCCCCACCAACAGTAACCTGCTCCCCACTAACAATAACCTGCTCCCCACCAACAGTAACCTGCTCCCCACTAACAATAACCTGCTCCCCACCAACAGTAACCTGCTCCCCACTAACAATAACCTGCTCCCCACCAACAGTAACCTGCTCCCCACTAACAGTAACCTGCTCCCCACCAACAGTAACCTGCTCCCCACTAACAATAACCTGCTCCCCACCAACAGTAACCTGCTCCCCACTAACAATAACCTGCTCCCCACCAACAGTAACCTGCTCCCCACTAACAGTAACCTGCTCCCCACCAACAGTAACCTGCTCCCCACTAACAGTAACCTGCTCCCCACTAACAGTAACCTGCTCCCCACTAACAGTAACCTGCTCCCCACCAACAGTAACCTGCTCCCCACTAACAGTAACCTGCTCCCCACTAACAGTAACCTGCTCCCCACTAACAGTAACCTGCTCCTCACTAACAGTAACCCTCCCTGCCTACTGCCTAGTCTCTCTATAATAATGTAGATTTGGAGAATCTAGTCTTAAAACTAATGTTACACTAACTTGTTGCTATTTGGGGCTCGTAGTGTGTCGAGTGTGGCTTCCTAACATACCCCGGGTGATGTTATAATACTACTGGGGTGTTAGTGTAATCTAATATAGCAATGACTCGGTGTAAAACACAGTCTGTAACAACTGAACCCCCCTCAAATCATAAGCTGTTTTGTAACCTTACCACTTATCCTAATCTAATCTGGATCAAGATACACCGACTGTTTATAAGCGCTACAATCATTATTATTTGTTGTGTTGGATGTAAAACTAGAATGGTAAATTGCAATGTCGATAGGTGCCTGCTAAATCTAGATCAGTGTGGACAGTACCCCATATTTAATTTCGTTACAGTAACTAAGATTAATTTCGGGAATTCTCCTGGATCAAGATCTAGGAGGTGCTCCAAGAATACGTCACCTGATCCGGGCGGCATTTGATAGGGGACAACCAGGTTATGTAATAATTATTGTTAACCGACCACTTATCATCTTACAAACCTTTTACTGGGAGGACAGTATACCAAAATTAGAGTATGAGGGTGCCCGTCTAAATCTAGATAATAATTAACGAGTGTTCCATCCGGGTTTCCAGAGCAACACCCAGTTCCATCTCTTCTTAGTGCTTGAAAAACTGAACCTGAAAAACTTTGCCAGCTCCCAAAAAACGAAAATATGAGCAAATCAAGGAGAAATTTCTGCGGTTAGTGTATATTTCCATATATTTCTGCACGTTCGTGTATATCTACACTTTGCAATACAGTCATACACTCTTGCCTTACTCTTGCCTTACTAATGTTTTACCAAATCGGTCTCTTTGATCCTGTCTTGAAGAAACATTTCTTGACTTTAACATTTGCGACATGACGTCAGGTACTGCTTGAACGGAAATAAGACCGGAACTTTAATCTTCACCTCTTTAATGGACTCGTCATATAATAATGACAGTAACCCATTACGTCCTTACTTCCACCCTACTTCAAGTGTCTTGCCACCCCTCTTCTAGTCTCACTCTTCTCACATACGCTTTATTGTGTCTCTCTCTCCGTCCGCCTCGTCTAGATTCAGAAAACTTTAACAACTCGCGGAAATTGTGGTACCGGCTGTAAGCATGATCACTACATTGCTGCACGTGCATTTATTGGTAATTATTAGATCACGTGCAATCCCGGATATTATCCTTCCGGTCTATATATAGGATCCTGGTAGAATATGGGTACATCGGGATAACCTTGGTTAAAAGTTAATAATATAACTTCCTGCCCATCAAAAAGTTAATAATACAACTTCCTGCTGATAATTATAGACCTTATTACGTAAGGGTCTAACTCTACTTGATAATACACGTGCAGCACATTTGTGGACAAGTTCGTGCTAGATTCCGGAGTGACGTCACAGTTCTGCGGGGTTTAACTTTGTAAAGAATTTGGGGGTGTGGGACGAGATGTTACAATTGACTGCATGATGTTTCTGTCACAGTGACGTCATAAACCACAAGTTTGAATTACACGAACGTTCTTCTGAGTGCATGTTAATGAAAGTAAATATGTGGGAAGGTAAATAGTTTCAACATATTATTCCAGTGAGGTTGTAATGGGTGCAGTCATCAATAATCGCTGACGTCATCTTACAATTTGTCACAAGAGATGGGCTTTTCTCTTAATAAAGTGATACTTTCCTAAAAGTACGTAAGTGGCAAAATTTGCAGAAGCACATTTATCTGTCACGAGATTGATACATGCATTTTTGTGACGCATAAAAGATCAAAGCCTAGACTTTCGGTGCGATACTTTCGGTTTGAGGTTAATTGATAAGAAGTCGCAGTGTGGGATACCTAATAAAACTAACTATGCGGTATATTAATATAACTTAAACCCACATAAGGTCGAGGGTAATGAAGCGTATCTATCCAGTTTAACTTTCTTGTGGCTTCATCCTTTCTGCTGGGGAAATTCCTGTCACGTACTCAGCACTTGACTTTGATAATATGCCGACAACTTATTATTCTACCCAGCTATATTGGATATTTAAATTTTGTTAAAAATTATTCCCGAATGCTGAAAATTTCAAAATAGAAATACCATCTTGGTGTATGGGTCTTGCCTAAGTGTGCGGGGACTTCTTTTACTGTGAAATATATTTTAAATTTGTGGATACTAAGAAGATGGGGAAACGAGTTATTGGAAGTAGATATGCCACAAAAAACCTTCGAGAATAAATTGTTGTTATCTCAAATGTTATTTAATTATGAAAAATAATTGTCGTGCGATAAAAAGTTTTTGTCGTATAACGAAGAGGTTTCCTATCAGGTTTCATATCAAGATTTCGAATCAAATTTTAAAATCTTCGTTTTAACTTTTATATGCCAAGTTGTCTAATGCTGACAACTGTAAATGAGCCTAACTTGAACTTGTAAAAACTATCGTGGCTTTTAAAATATTTGCTACAGTAAAATCTTACTTACCACAATTCTAGTCAACTAACCAAAATTTTTCTCAATATGTCTGTGATTACAGTTCCCTAAGTTAATTATGGTTAACAAAATCTGTATATTCTTTATTATTGAAAGTCTTCACCAATAGAGCCATAGTGTGGTGCGTGTGCAGTTTACTAGATAATTTGTTTAGTAGCGGTCGCTACGTCGCTTACTGAGATGGTGACCAAGAAGTTACAAGTTTGATATAAGTCGTTCCCGATTCCATTCGACTGTCTACAATGTAAAGGCTTCATATCCATTGCAATAACCGCGGTATCTTCATCGACTACAAACATATTGCGTAACTAAGTTACCAAGTTACTAAATTACTAAGCTGCTAGGTTACGAAATTATTCAGTTTCTTATTATTAAGTTTATTATAATAAACAAATAACTTTACTCTCAGGTATCGTACAGTGAGCCTACGGAAGATTGTGGGATAGATAAGAAGTTGATCTTCGTCATTGTTCCTGGATACACAGGGGACCACAAAAGTCCATACGTATTACACCTGGCAGAGACTCTAGCAAAGTGTAATGTTTGGTAAGTCTTTATTTTAGGACGCTTTGTTAAAATCCCATTAATTTTAACACAACAAATCGGACGTTTTATTTTATTTGACTTACTTGACCTGACGTTGTGGAGTTGAGCTAGCGATACCTTATAAATTAGGAGTAAACACTTTTACAGGCTTTATTTTACAGGCTTTCTTTTACAACTTCCATAAAACCTCGTGATGATTCTTTTGCTACAAAAAATAATTTCGCAAAAAGGCTGTATTGTGCAGATACAGTTTCTTTAAGACATATAATGGCTGTATAATAGTGGTTGTCACATAGTGGCTGTTCACGACCCATATTTCCGGATACAAATCTGTGTATCTAACTGGAATCTCAAATAACGAAATTTGAACCGCACCATTTAATTAGAGAGTTATTAATAATGGGACTGATAATCTAATGAATTGTCAAACCACTTCCTGCCAAATTCCATTACATTTCACCGTTTAACAGTCCACTGACTTACACATCTTAAATTTTTATATTTCAGTAATTCTTACGAAAATTTGACCAAATTCGAGTAAAGAATGTTATTTAGCCGTGGCCACGTGAATGCCTAATAAGGAATAATTGGGAACCACGTGATTATCTAGCTGGGGATCAGTAATTCTTGAGGAACCTACTTTTCTTCACGGACTAACGATTTGTTATGAATGTTCTGTCATAACCAAATTTATATGGGGGACACAATTTTGTAATCAGATTATCCCCCGTCGAATCTAGATTTGGCATTTCAATTTTAATGTTTAGACCTAATGTTCAGGTGTTGGACTCGTGCATTTCACAAGGGTTTCACATTAAAATTGCGATTAAATTTCTTGTAAATCATAATCATATAGTCATTCAACCAGCTACCTCGGTTGGTTTTGAATTTTGATAAAGCTTCATATTATCAACTAATATTCCTAGCGAGTGTCAGGAGATGGTTTTAGCCAGACATAATCCAATTGAGGCTATAATGTAGTAATCTAGACTTAAAGTCTTATCTCCTAATTATCGGAAAATTATTGAATAAGTGAGAAGAATGTATTATCGATCGTGTGACCTACTCTCTACAAATACTTCAACAAATTTAGCTGCGCTGATTCGTAAAAAATGTCATTCAATAGGGACAGACTTTTTCTAGGGCACCTTTTGACTCGGTTTAATTGCCAATGAGTCTCTACCTTCACTGTAAATATGAGATCAGATACATATTATAGAGATATGATCTAACAATAGCTTTGATTAATTATTAATCGAAAACTTGTGATATGAAATGTTCATTCGTTAACCCATATTCTCTATAATCACGTTTATAAAAAAACCTGTATTTTGACTTGATTTGATCGGACGAAATTAAAGGTGTCTAAAAATGATTTGTAAATTGATTTGTGATTCAGTAGTCAGTGACACTGCAGTTATTGCAAAAGTAAATTGTTGAACACACTGCACAGCGCTCAGGAATACTATCATTAAGATCTTGAATGTGTCAACAATCTAACTATCTTTAGTATCGTGATTATCCAATTAACTAATTATTGTTAAATATTTCAGGCCGATAATATTCACTGACAGAGGTAAAGGTGGTATGAGTATGAAGACAGCTAAATTCTTCAGTGCGGGATATAACGACGGTCTAGCAGCGTTACTGGATACTGTTATAGAGAATAATCCTAACTCTAACGTTAGTTGCTGTTACTTGATCATAATACATAAAAGGTTTAGCTATGTCATTGAAGTTTCATTAGTTATTAATGTTGGTAATTAGGAACTAATTAATTCATTTCAGTACGGATTAATTGGAATCTCATTTGGAGGAATGGTGGCTTGCAACACTCTCCATCAATATGACAGGTAACCTCAAGCCTCTCTAGATTTATTTTGGACAAAGAATGTAATTTTTGTTCCAAATTTAGAATGATATAGTTTTTGCAAGCGTCGTGGTGATGAGCGTTAACTTGAGGGGGGGGGGGGCTAACTTGAGACAAGTGGCAGAAAGTTGTAGTTCAATTTGTCCAGAATTGATACGTAATCACTCTGTCTATGAGCATATCACAGCTAGGATTATCGGGTTTGGGACATTGCGGTGGAGGACAGTACTGTAATTATTTTACAATTCGTACTAAAATATAAATGTTTTTTCTCCCGGTAGGAAAGAAGAAATAATGGTACAGTTAATTTTGTCCTCTCCTCTCGACTCCCTGAAGACAATAACCCGACTAAACGCTCTCCGAGCTAAATTCTTATACAGCGTGCCTTTTGGTAAAAAGTAAGTATTTTACATCTGGTATTTTTAACACGTGAGCTGGATCATGATTAGTATTATTGGTATTGTTTTGTTTTACCATTAGTTTTTAATAAGTTGTCTAGACCAATGAGTTGCATGGTTTACACCTTATGTTTAACAATTGAGAATATTAGTTCATGGTTCTGTGACAATGACTCTAATTGGTTATTATAATAGTCTCACAATAGCTGGATAATGTAAGCTAGGGATCTGTTCAGTGTGACCAAATAGTCCGTAAATTTGAAACAATAAGATGTCTGCATTGTGCCTCTCCCCGACTTCCACCGACCAATCCCTGATCTTCCTTAAATCACGTGACATTGGATGGACCAATGGGAAGCCAGGGATTTTGACAGGCTGGTCTGAGAAATATCGTTCAATGCTGTTTAATAAAAGGCTCGTACAGTGATGATGATAGATGGTACATGTTCCGAGTGCAATGTTCTGACAAATTATTATTCTTCACGCATCAACTATTTGTCAGACAAAATATTCATGTAATTTTTTCAATGATCAAGTAATTTTTAACTAGAGTTTTCTATGAATAGATATCAGAATTCCAATGATATATATAAGACAAAGTTGCGAGAAAAGAATAGCCGATGACAAGGCCAGTTACAGTTTACACCTTGAGAGAAACAAATAGTAGATATATTTAACAATATGAAGTTAGCACTCTGCCTTTGGTATGTACTCATCAGTACTTAATAACTAACCACCTTCTAATTGACTGGAAATTAGCTAAATACCTGGAGTATTGAAAGGGTAGTCGGGGAGACAGTGTTGATTGTTGTGTAGTTGGTTCATTGTCACTTCTCCTGTTCATGTTCGGAGTTGGAAAACTTTGTGTGTATACTTTAGTGAGTGTGGAGACACGTTTTAGGTTCGTGGTGTTAAAATGTAGGATCTATTGATAAGTTGTGAGGTTCATGTTGTCATTGTTTTGTCTGCAATGAATAGCTAAGGAGTTGGCAAAGTTGTACAAGTTGTGATTATTAACATACCTCGCTACATACCTCGCTACTGTTGTATTAATGTATTCCTAACATTTGAATTAATTTAGGAAGATGTACCGTATTAATTCTAGATGGCAGAATGTATGAAAAAATTGCTGACACTCGAAAAAGGCTTTATTATACCACAAAAATGTAACAGAATCTCCTGTTTTAAAAGAAATCAGAAAGTATGCGTCCTGTTGTCAGAAAGTATGTGTGCAACGAAACGGTGTATAATTATATAGTTTCAAAGTCTGCCGAGCACTAGACAGGGGTGATGAAAACAAACATGTTTTAAAAAGAGGTAAAAAAGAGACATTACGAGAAAGCAGGCTCGTCAGTGTGTAGATCTGTCATAAAACGCTACATTTATTTACTGAAATGTATTTTTATGTACTGAACGTTTGTATACGGACTTTTGGGAGACCCTGTTCGACCAATTTTTATCGTTATATGGTAAAGAAAAGTAGGTGATCTAAAGTCTGTATATTTATTAAATACCAAATATAGACAGCTTACCCAGGATTCTCAGTAGCTTTATTTTAAGAAAGTCTGGCCTTGTAGCCTGTAGTGGGTAGTCCCTCGGAAGTATACTAGTGCATTGCCTATCTTTAGGATAGACACATGGAGATTGTATCCTTACCACTTAGGTTAAAACCAAAAGTGTTATCAGCAAAGAAATACGGTGTTAAATAAGTAAGGATTTGGATTGTGGTACCAGTTAGTTATAAAGCATGAGCCCTTAGTTTGAAGTGAGTCTGCGACAGCTGAGAAGCTAGGCTGGCCCGTGTGTATGTCTCAAGGTTGCGTCTGGTGTCCGTAGCAGAGTTAAAGATAGTGTTGATCCAGAGATTACGCTGTTAAAATAATCTCCTGCAAGTTGAGAGTTGGCTTGGCATTGTCCCAGATTCCTCTTTATATTCGCACTTGGGACAGATTTGGGCGGAAAGTGTCTGAATAGGAGGTGTAACAAGACAAAGTGCCGAAAATTTGAATATATTCTAAATATATTTTATGGCTTTCGGCATATTTAAAACAATATTCATACTCATAGAAATCTAACGCTAAAGATCGGCCCTGAAAAGTCTGCTTCAGTTGAAAAGTCTGCTTCAACTGCTTTATTAGCTGTGCAAGTAACAACAATTATGAGGCACAAAAAATGAATATTCAAATCTAATTTGATTTTCTAAGTTTCTACTGCAATATAATGTATCGCAATTTGTCAAGAAGTATGAACCAACAAAATGTCATTAATCAGAATAGCAATTGTCTAAAGGGCTTGTGAATAGACATTAGACATGTTATAGATCTAGGGTTTAGAGTCCACTACACCACTACACCAGTGATGGACGTCACTAGAATCCCCAAATGGTGACAAATACTCAACGTATCTTCAGAATCTATAGAGACGGAAAGGGCGGGAAAATGTTGGTTTCTCCATTCATTGCATGACACGAAAACTAAAATTCGTATTGTTCCTTCCATTTATCTATGTGTATCTAACTGCAACATTGTCCAAATTATCTGCCTCAAAATATCCAATTTAGAAATCAGACACAGCGGCGACTGTTGCTAAACATTTCAACTGACAATTACAGCAACGATGTCTCAATCCTATTATATGGTTCACAATTAGAATACTAATTGGACGATTGTTTGATTCGACACAAAGTTTACACGTAGTTTAGGCGACATTTCATGAAAATGAGAGTGAAACCCATCAGCTGGTACCAACTGGCACCACTTACAACTGGTTCATCTAGTGTGAGCGCGCCAAAACAATTTTGTATAGAAAAGTTCAAGTTTTTCATTCAGTGCAACCACGCGCAGAGAGCGCGCGCTCTAGTTTTAAATTGTACGTATGAATTATGTGAATTATTAATTCAATTGTAAGTTTAAAGAAACTGCGCTGACTTTTAAGTCAGCAATCCTGCGAAAATTTAGGAAGTTGTTCATTTTCTAGCCTGTTGCTTCTCATCGCATATCCTTAAGTAGCTAAATGAAATTACAAAATATTCACTACTGGGCTTGGACACCGAAAAATATCCGAATATATAACAAATATTATTTCAGGATAAAAAGGCTGATAAGCAATAACGGTAGTGTTTTTAAAACTAAAGCTCAAAAGAAGCTCTTCAGAAGCATATCTCGATCAGAAAGTGTATCTCTCACTGATATTGATGATGTGTAAGTAAAAAGGACTCTATAGAGTATACTTGTATTTCGTGGTGATCACATATTTCGTTCTTTTTTGTTGCTGGTGCAGCTTTTTCCTGGGTTACTGGTCTACATTCCTTATTTAATTATTTATATATCTTTAATTCCAGGTTCATAGCCCCAATGTTTGGGTATAGCAGTTCTACCGAGTATTACAAAGACGTATGTCTTAGTCGATGTCTTAAGGAGACCACAATTTTCACCATTTGCGTGAACGCTGATGACGATCCTTGCTATTCAAAAGAAGTGAGTTTTGATATAAATCGTTCAGTTTTGAAAGCTTGCAAACTAAAAAGCTGTTTGACATTTTTTGAGGAAGGGTTTCAAATTTGTTGCTATGAAACTTGTAGCGTCGATGACCAACAGAAATATTTCAGCTATTTCCGATTGACGTTGTAAAGGAGAATCCCAACGTTTGCCTCGTCAGTACTGCAGCTGGAGGGCATTACGGGTTTGCTGGTCTAGGCTGGCCTTTCCATCGGACTACTTTCACGGATACATTAATTTCCCAAGTCATATCCATGATTCATCGTCAGCTGATGACGTAATGGTATTTGTGTACATTTCTAAATTATTTTTAATTTTTTTTATTTGGATTGGGTGTGTTATAGTCTTCTAATTTTACCCTTGTAAATATCATTTATCGATAGGATGATTTTAACCGCTATGAAATTATGAATTGGTGATATAACGGAGTTTTTACTAAAAACTTTTTATAAATTTAATCTGAGATTTATCACAGGTTTATTTGTACATTTTAAAAGTTTATTAAAGCAGAACTGAACCATGTAAATAAACTCAATTAATTTATTAAAAATGTAAATCGCTCTACGTTCTAATATTAGGCCCTATACCACTGCCGACTCCGATTAATTTCTTCATACTTTTCAAGTACGGTTAGAAATTAGAAAAGATAACTAGGATAACCATGGTTACTGGCACCGTTACCAATGTAACTGGTGCTCTTAGCTGTTAACTTGGTCACCAAGACTAGGAATTGTTGAATGTTTGATTTTTACAAGTTTTTTAATGATTTAACTGATTTTTACAGTTATAGTTTTATATACACTGTACGAGAGGTTACTATAGTAACTACAATTAGAATTTTTGTATGTAAACTCTGCGAGTGGTTTTCTACAATGTTTTATTTTTATACTTGGTTGATAACCGTCAAAGTGTTGCTTAATATCTTGTTACTACGAACTGGGTCACAAACATACTTGCTTGAAGAAACTCTGCTTATGGGGCTGTAATCAAAGTTACTGACATTAAGTTATAACTTCAAAACATGAAATTTAAGGGTATTGAAAGTTAGGGATTAGGGAGGCTGCTCCTGGTTATTATGTAGCATTATACCTGAGGTAAAATATTTGGTTAATACATGGCATAATAAATAGCATACGTCACATTTGTAATTTGGCCTGAGGACCATGTTTTTACTATTGTATGATGTTTTTATTTGTTTTGTAGTTAACCCATACTTTATTTTCAATACTAAACCTGAATTAGTAAACGAATTCAGAAACCGGAAGTTTATGAGTCAACAAAGTCTGAAAACACGACAAAATTTCCTTACAAATTTTTTACCATAGCTTTATAAAAACGAATCGAGCTGCACCATAAAATGTTCCAACGTGATAGAATTTCATCGATTCAACCCTTGAAATGGGAACGCACCAAATATTCTGAGGATGTCATTTTAATATTATCTTATCAGTCCCGTTAGTAATGCCAAAAACCTGGGATTCCTTTTTGATCACCAAATGAACCTTGATCCTAAAATAAATGCTGCACTGTCTCCCAAGAATTTTATTTAAACCAAAAGGAATTGGTTCGAAGTTTTCCCATAACATAACATTTCAGTTAGTCCACATTCATTTTTTCTATACAGACTACTGTAACTCAGTTTTTTATGGTTTAACTTACAAAAGATCCAGAACAATGCTGTTCGATTTATTTTTGGTTTTTACGGAAAGAGGATACATGAACCTATCATATCATGCTTTATAATTATATCAAAGCTCTATTTTCAACCTCATACCTGTTGTCCTGTTAAGTTCAGAATATAGCTCTTCTGGTTTTTAAATGTCAAAACAACATAGCTCCTCGATACTCACAGAGAGTACTTAAGAGATACACGATGACGAAGCTCTTCTTGCACCTGCATTGCCAGACGTTGCCTGGTATGACACGTGCCCAGTGTGTGTTCCCTCCTATCCTGGGCCGCGACAAATAGTTTAGGTCGTGAGACAACTGCACCACGTGCCAGACGAACAAATGCTGCATTTATGTTTATTGGACCAAACTACCCTACTCCATTAGAGCATCATGATCAAATATAGAATGTTTTAAACGTTCCTCGAAACGGAAAACTATTTATTTTCACCTAGCTTTTGATGATATTCCTGATATTAAAATTGCATATAATTTTATTATTTCCATAAGTATCGCTGCGCTTGTAGCGTGTAATAAATGTTAGAATTTATTTATTATTATATAAATTTATCGCGAGAACAATTCACAAGTCAAATAAAACTATGAGCTGAAATTTTGTATAAATAAAATGTATCATCAGTCAAATAAATTATCCAACTTTACTTATCATGATAAGTACTTTTCGATAAGATTCCTGCGTTACTTAATTATCGGGTACAGAAATTGAATCACAAGAAAACAGAATTCTAGATCTGATAACCATAATATACAATTACAGCTGCCTGAGTAAAAGTCACCAGGTCACCTGGGTAACAACCACCTGGGTAAAAGTCACCAGGTTACCTTGGTAACAGTCACCTGGGTAACAACCACCTGGGTAACAACCACCTGGGTAACAGTCACCTGGTAAACAATCACCAGGGTAACAGTTTGTGCACTAATTTAACTGTATCGATCAGTAAGTTAACAAAAACACGTAGAATTAGAAGTAGTTTATCCCACTCCCAGTAAAATTATAATTAGAAATTACCACTCATGAAAGCTGTTCTTCTGGTGCACTGCTTATAAATGGCCGCCTTTTAAACTTTTGTGCATATTTTGGATTTTCCAAGGTTTCATCTTGTTGGCCACTATTTAACAATACGATAACGTAATCTGAACATTCCGATGATTTATTCGCAATTTTCAATTTTCTTCTATTTTTGGCAGTTGAAATAAACAGTGGATCTGAAGACCAGCTTTCACCACTTACAGATGTATTAATATAATAGTCACTATTATAATAGTTACTATTATTAATAGTGCAACTCCAATCAACTTATCAAAAACTAAAAATTAAATGATCAATATCTTACCCACAATAGAACCCTCCGGTCTATTGGCCAGCTCCTGTTATAGTTATACCACGATTTGCCGAGTCTTCATCCTAAACTTCATTATAAATCAAAACATCGGTATAAAGATGATGTTTGATTTACACTTAAATAGACTTAACTACGGTTTGTAAAAACGTATATCGAGGTTTCCGTGTATATATCCGTCACGGTAAATCGTGGTTTAACTGTACCACGGTAAACTCCGCATTTGTTGCCGTAGTAACCAGGTAGCTCAGCTCACATAAGGAGTGCCAATAAAACGAAGAATTGTATTCAATTTGAACACAACACAAATACAAAACAAAAATAATGAGTATTTTATCATCGGCAATAATTTGGAATTCTAAATTCTAACTAAAATCATATCAGAGGCTCAACTTTTGTTACAACAATCACATCACATATTTTTGAAATTTTTTACTTCCAAATTATCACCAACAATGTATCTCACAAATCCAGGTCGACCTATTGACCATAGTAACCGTAGTAACCAAGGTAACCATGGTAATTAGGTGTAGAGACTGGATCCAATAATTTCAATAATTGCCCCGCAATCACACAGTAAACAAGTAAGTGCTGTAGCAATCCACCCATTAAAAAGTCTGAATAAAAACTGTTTTTAAAATAAATCCTTATTGTGTTTCGCTACACAATGGTCTCATGAGCCATGGAAACAAAAATCTTCCCGCCATTTTCAAGGCCGCTTTTTAAATAATCACTGAGTCTCTTTCTATTGGAGGTATGGGCGGAGCCCCTCCTCTCCTGGTTCCTGTACGTGATCTCAAGCAGCTCACTGTCATCCGTTACCTTGACAACATAGTCGGGCGGGGCGTCAGGGTTGTCCTCTGGAGTGGGAGTTGGGCTGTACATTGAACTTTCAGGGTAAAGACGCCACGTTAGGAAGAGGAAGACGTCCGATAAAATCTTCACAACAATAAACGCTGCTGATACTGAGTATACCAGTCTGGAGAGAGTTACAGTTAACATTCTACAATTCATACTTTACAGTTGATACTTTACAGTTGATACTTTACAGTTGATACTTTACTTACACTGGTTTGAGAGTAATTGTGTATGGGGTTACCCTCGTGACAAACTATCTCGAGAGTAAACGAGATGGGGGGGGGGGGAAAGGGGTTGGGACAAAAATGAGGTCTGGGGGTCGGGAGGTTTCGGGTCGGGAGGTTTAGGGGTCGGGAGGTTTAGGGAAGGAAAAAAGGAAGTTTACTTACTTAGTTGTGTCGTGTTCCCAGCAGCTACCGTAACTCCCATCACATCCTCTCTGCCACACTGCACAGGCTGAATCTATGATAATACCGAACAGAACCGGGCCTGGAATGGTCCCCAGGGTCCGGAATAACAGGTTCCTGATACCATACGCCATGGACAGGTGCTGGTGAGAAACAGACCTGAGGAGGGTTCATAATAATAGTCGAGCAAAGGGGGGTAAAGTACTAACTTACTAAGTACTAGGTAGTACCTAGGCAGGGACTAAACTGTATAAATAATAATATAATTTAGAATACAAAGATTAGTACATTTTAGCTTATGATTAATATTATATTTTTACCTATAGTTTACCTAGATTAGTTACCAGACTTGAAACCTGTTAAGTAACTGACCTGTTCAGAGCCAGCATACTAGCGGGCTGGGCCAGGAAGCAGAAGAAGAGGGTTAGAAAAGCTGAGCCAAGGTACATGACAGGCACGTAGGTAGGGCAGTCAGTCTCGCATTTACCGCTGGTAGCGTGGTATGATGCGTTATCTAGTCCCACAATGATCTCATCCGTCATCAGACATGAGCAGTTTGAGAATTTCTGAATAGGGGTAGTGTTATTGTTATCGTATTTTAAATTAAAGATTCCTAAGACATGACTAACTAATCTTGATTCAGAGAGAATGTTCTAGAGTCTGAAGAAAGTAAAATGTGAGAATACTGTCTTATCAGCTCGCACAGGGACACTCTTATCTTATCAATTGCTTTTAGGCCATGCATTATACTGATCAGTATTCAGTTCTTTCGTTTGCCATTTTATTTGCCATTTCAGTCATTTTACTCCGCCATAATATTGTGTGCTAGTTTGTAATATTACATTACTTAAAAGATTTGGAAGTGAGCATTATAAGACTAATAGAGTAATAGATGTGGATTATGGTGGGGAGGTGAGGCATATTTGTTTACCTAAAAGTTGACACGTGATCAATCCATGCAATTATTCCATATATGGGATTATTGCATGGATTTATCACGTCGTGTCAACTTTCATGTAAACAAATATGCCTCACCTCCCCACCAGAATCCACATCTATAACGTGTAAAACAACTGTTCTAACTTACATAGTATTTTTCGTCTATCAGCTCCTTAACAGTGCACCCCGCGTGACAGGGCGAAGAGAAAGTCATGTCTTGTCCACAAACTGGGTCATAGTCTGTGGGACACTTGCAGCTATCCGCGCACATGTTCATTGCATATCCTGGGTCCAGAGGATGCATTGAGGCTAGGCTAACCCTGGGATATGAGTTATCATTTTACTGTATGTTTAAATCATGTATATTGACATTGAGGAAAAGGAAATGGCCGGGGTTAGCAGTAAATCGGGGTTTCACGACAGTAATAAATTCGATTTGTGCTATTCAAGTAAAATGGCTATTACTATAAGAGATCAATAAGCTAGAAACTTACCCGGAAGATAAGGAAGCTTCTCCCATAACCACTCCCGGACAGTGCATCAACATACCAAAGGAAGGTATTGCTCCGAATATAGAGAATATAAAGCCGTACTTAGCTGCAGACTTTCCGTCCATTTTGAGTTTCTGTGAGAGATAACCGCCGATGAGGTAACCACCTCCTGCAGCCGATACCAACACTGTGCCCAGGTAAAAACTAGCTTGAGAGGGCTCAAACCTGAACAATATACCGTTACTTTAGAAACCTGAACAATATACCGTTACTTTAGAACCTGAACTATATACCTTTACTTTAGTATTTTTGAGGAAGCTTACACGGCTGGAAATATTGCAAGATGAATTGTTTTAGAGAAGGTAAGGAATACCAGGTACCCTAATTTTAACCTGTCCGGTTATCTTATAACTTTACAATACTGTAAATATGCAATATACAAGCATGAGAGATAATTCACCAGATTAATCAATTCAAAGCGTGAAGCGTGCAAACTAATCGGTTACCCCAAAATTATTAAATTCCAGTCACCTTCTTAACGGGGACAGTCAGAATTTGTTCATTTTTAACGCTGGTTATAAAATGGATAAATGTTTATTACACCGCCTGATATTGTTAAGAGACTTATATCAACATTCAACGCTCATATCTGCATTACTCGTACGAGAATTCTTACATTGTTATCGTGATAATATTGACATTACAAATGGAACTTAATTCATTATTGGCAGTGACCTTACCATGGTGAGCTGACTCACGCCAGGAAAACTGGAACAAGCACTTCTCATTTCCAGGGTATTTTTCTACTCTAGGTTAGGTTTGGTGCATGATGCACATTCAATACCGACTTGTGAAGTTACGTTACTTATGTAGCACCTTTAGTAGTACCGTTACAGTGGGTCACATACCATTTATCTGCTCAAGTTGTAGCTCTAAATACGAACTCAGAAGAGCAAATTGTGGCCGAAAAACATCCGTTTGCGAATCTAATTTTGGGAATTTTTTCTTCGGGTATTAATCCAGGTGCTTAAGGCTGAAATTTGGGTGAAACTTATTCTGGAGATAGCCGATGACTAACAAATTAATACTCGTGACTGAATGTTTAAGGGAAAGAGACGAAAAAAAAACTGATAAATTTAACACTCACTTTAGTCCTATCTGTACTAGTTTAGGAAGGAAGGAACAGGCCCCTATGAGGAAACCAGTAAAGGCTTGTGAGAGTGTACAGCACATGTAGGGTCCGTTACTGAAGAGGGTCTTTATAGTGGGCCAGAACTCCAGTGCCATCTCCAGTACCGTCATCTTCTCCTTCGAGTTCTCCGACTCTCTGTTGGTCTCAGGTGACGCGATACCTGAGCAAGGGCGGTTCTTTCAATATTGGATAACTAAATCAATCGTAATACTATTAAGTGTAATATGGTGCTGTAAAAAAGTGTAACTAAATTATAGGAGGATAGTTATTTTATGGTAGGTAAACTCACCCGCAGCTATCTTCATAGTAAGGACCTCGTCAGCCTCAGGAAGTTTGCGAGGGAACATGATAAGAGGGATGGCTGAGAGAACTGCCATTATTCCGGACAGTATGAACCCAGTCCACCAGGCTCCAATCCACTCACTGTCACTGGGAGTCAGTCCTTCAGGCTCGGAGAAGTCCACATAGTATTTCAACATAAAACCTCCAAATGCGAACCCGAAGATAGGACCCAGACATGACATACTGCCCATAACTCCGTAAAAAGCTGTGACTTTAGTTGGTGGAAATATCTCGTCAAGAAATGGGGGCCCAAGAGTGTTTATAGGCGTTCCCCCAAGACCAAAGAGCAAGGCTCCTATCACAAATATAAAGTACCATTTTGAAGAGGATTCAACACCTGAAACAAGACACAGTGTGAAATAAATTAGAAATAAACGTGCAATAAAATTGAAATAAAAGTGAGTGCAATGTACGTTCAATGAAACAAATATGAAATTAACATAAAATAAGATAGTGAAATGTGCATGAAACATATGTGAAATGCCCGTACCTTCAGAAGGGCACGTTGTTGAGTTAGGGTGCACGTTTGATGCACTGCAGATAGCACTGTCAGAACCAGGTATTAATCTACCATGGTCTATTGGAGCCAACCCCGTATCTGTTAGTGTCACCCTGTAATCAAGTTTTATATTTAGTTTAACTGCAATTTGTTAGATAAAATTTGCGTAAAATAATAAAAGCTAGTCGGATATCATTTCCAGCGGAAGAAAAACACAGCTTTCGGTTGGTTAGAAGAATTACTTATGCTTCACAATCATACTTCAGACATTTCAAGTTCAGCAATGCTATATTCAGTTCATAGTTTACTCAGTACAATTTCAAACGGGGGTCATTATTTCTGTGTTATTGCATCACTGTGAGTAGAAAGAAAATCATTTTCATTTTTGTCTCGAAAAAAACATGAAGTTCAAAGAACTGTGCCGTAAATTTAATATCGGTCGATTTCCTCGCTTCTATGTGGAAAATGGAAAGGAATAGAAGTAGAATGTCGAGAGACTTGACTTTGTCGATTATAGCATTTTTTGCGTTTTGAAAATGTACGTCGATAGTCTCCCTCCCGAATGGAAAGAGATTTGCTCTGAATCTAATACCTAAGGTCCTTCACATATTTTTAGAGTTATTTGTCGCAGAACATGCTTTAAGAAGATAATTCAGCATGCATAGAAGTAGAACATGCGTTAAATGAGAGTTCAACATGCGATATCAAGTATCCACCCTTTCAGATAACTACCTCATGTCGTCTTTTATGGTGAAAAAGTTTCTGCAAAATTATCACAATCAGAAATAGAAAACCTTTAACTTATCTATAAAACAAAATAAAAATTAATTACATAAACTATTTTAAGGCATATCACTTTTTAAACCGGAAATACTGATTGATCACTTGATTGTAGAGATAAAAGCAAGCACATCACAAAGAATAAAAGAAAGAAGAACTTACGTTTCAGCGACGTGAGGAATAGTGAAGATGAGAGCTCCGATTCCCATGACAACAATGCCTATCCCAATCCATTTAGGTTTGCTATTTTTACAGAAGTGAGATATAAACATCACCGTCGCTGCACAGGATATATCGTAGGCGTTTATTATAAAAGAGCTTTTGGTGGAAGAGAGATCAAATCTTTTCTCAATAGTGGATAAGTTGACTGATATCTGAAAAAAAAAAAGAGGTTTGATATTTCATTTTGTTTCAAATCAAGCATTACACGTTTGTAGGTAAACTATTTAGAGGTTATTTCACAGCTAACTTCATGATGTTACTGTTAGTAATATCTTACAGTGAAACCTAAAATTGGTTTGGCATTGGAAGTGGCACTGTAGCAATATTTTAGTAATATTCAAGTAATATTTTAGTAATATTTTAGTATGCTTCAATGACTCAAGGAGTGGCTGATAATTGGTCGGATAAGATAAGCGACTTGTGCTCATTAAACATGACAGCAGTTTAATTAAAGTGTTAAAGTCACTTTAAAGTCCATGGCCTGGCGTGATTCTATCTGTGGAACAGGCACTTCCAGGTGCTATCCTTAATCCACAATAGCACATACAAGGTGGCCAAGAAGTTTTCTTTAACTAAACTTCAATTTATTATTATAATTAAGTTATAAAGTATATTACTCTCACTAAAAGTAGCTTAAACCCACCATAGTATTAGTCATGTGATGTACAAGGAAAGCTAGACAGAAGAATGCAAAGAACCATCTGGCGGAATTGAATTTCTGAAGAAAGTGGGGTCGGAGGTTCAGGAGACCACATCTCAGGGACCGCTTTTCTTTGTCCACTGAGGTTCTGAAATTAAGTATAGTTAATGAAATAGTTAGGGGAACAATTTAGGTAAAAAAGATGTCGGGTAGATAAATTCAATTTAGATTAAATTTAGATCCCGTCTTGTTGTCTATCTTGACTGTGCAGAATACTATGAACATATTTCTCTGCAGAATATTACAGGAGAATATAACATCCATGTTGCTTCATCAACACAGAAGTTAAGATCTCCACTATATTTCTCCCCATTATTGATATCACAGAAGGATTATCAGGTGTCTCTGAAATTAAAAGAAACCTCTCAAAACTACCGTCTACAAGTCTCATATGTCAAATTTAATACGCGGAGCTAGAAGTGCCAGTTCCAATCACGTACTGCATTATCAGTCATATGAAACTTAAAGCCCGGCAGAGTCATGGGATTGGGACATTGTTCACTTCTTGAGGTTTTACTAATTTGTCTGATTATAACTAGATAGGAATTTGGCGTGACAGGAATGCATCCTGTCAGAGAAAGTGTAAAACTTAACAAAAGATAGGAACCGCACGTTACAGAGTTTATACAATTTAAGTTTAAACATTTACAAATAATATAAGTCATGTACAATCTAAGGTACCGCAAACTGCAAAGTCATGAGACCAATCGGTTTTTTCCGGTTAAATTGTTTGTCTCATTAAAAGTTGGTAGGAATGCAGACAGAACAGGTAGAGTTTCAGGAAGTATTAAAACCTAGAGCAAGATACAGAGATTCCCGCCTCGTGTTGCTGAGACCATACAATGGAATCAAATACTAAAAATACGTGCACTAATTTAATGCATAACTTCTTACGTAAGGCAGAAAAATTTATTGAATACTAAATTCAAGTTATGTAGGGTAGGTTTCACAGAGATATAAACTAAGAGAAACTCACGTTTTCTGAACAATCACCATATCTTAATAGACTCAAACAATATTTGTATCATGTTGGAGAATGTACACAGTTTGGTAATGTATTATCGTAACACATGGCCAGCAAACACAACCACTAATGTTGTTTGACGACGACGCCATCAGGTATTTCATTATAAATGAGATACACGCGAACAAATTACCTTGCCTAAACCATCATGAATTAGTGATTTAATGACCAAATGCATGACTGCTAAACGTGTATAATGTTATAATGATAATATGCAATATTAATATAATATTCTAAATTATAATTATGATACACTAATTTGATATAACTTTATTCGTATCAGCTCCATTTGCGTACAGAGCTAGTGTACCGTGTACAGAAAACTGTGTGCAGATTACGGTGTAGAGATAACGCTGTGTAGTGTTCGGTTCAGTTCAGTCAGACTTTTTTATAGGATTTTTGTCGGTCTTTTTTAAGGTTAAGAAAATCGCCCAACTTTCCCTTTAATTATAAAATAACCAAATTATTTATCATTAGCTGTCTCACGCTGTAGATTAATGTCTGGAAAAATTCTCAATTTCGTCTTTTCTAAGTACAATAATGACATGACCGTATGACATGACCGTATGAAAGCTTATAATTCAGTCGAAATTAACTTGATAACGAACTTAAACTGTTAAAAAGAAAAAGCAAGTTGAATCAGAAAGAAGCGGTATTATATCACGGAGGGAAAATTGTGCGGTGCTGATAAAACTTAAAAATATGGTAATTTGTGTAAAGACTTAAAAAGATAAGTTGCGTGAAACGTTTGTGAGTGTTAAACCGTTGTGAGAGGGAGATATTACCGACAAATCATTTCAAATAAAGACTAAAAAGTAAAAGTCTTTGGGTTTGTTTTGATATGCGCGTGTTGGAGAGTAAAAACTCAAGTCCATACTCTTAGAATTTGGGTTTGTACAGTAAGGGCCAAGGGACACCTTGGTTTATCCAGTATTAATTATATAAATATTATATTTATATAATGTATATAACCCACGAGGCTACCTTCGCCGAATAATTGGTTTGGTAGGTACAGGTATCAATGTTATACATTTTTCATTTCCGACCTTATAGCTGACTATAGCAACCAGGAAATAAACTCACGTTTCACAGGATTACATCGTTAATTTTCATCTTCTAAAATTGTATCTAGGATATAACGAATACATCACTCTGTTTGTAACATTCCAGTACAATGTGCAAAATTAGGGATAAATTTTAAATTTTGAGGCATGCAGGACACCCAGAGGTTGGTGACACGAATCTTCCAGTATTCGTGAAATTGGATCAAGGGTTGCCCTGTCCAGTGTGTCCGATATCGATCCAAATTACTAAACATTCTAGCACAATTATAATTACTGCAGTTTTACAGAACCCAGAAATGAATGCTTAATGATATGAATACCCTTGCAGGAAACATCCGTAATTACACGCAACCCTTGAGTTGGATCATATCTGATACGAGATTGGGCACCGGTATTATAAACAAACAAACAAACATATATTATATTCGTTCATTCGAACCGACAGTACTGTCTGAATCAACAAAATAAAGTTGGAGCGGTATCTATCAACAGACGAGTAAAGGATAGAACTAACACTGAACCGTCCTCCTCCTCCTCCTCTTCTTCAAGAAAAGATTTCCTCATTTCTTCTACCTCCTGCAGCTTGTAACTTCTTCTCCTAACCCGTCCTAGACCCATAGCAACAGTAACTTAGCAACCAAAGTAACTTTAGTAACAACTATATAGTGTAACAACCAACAATTGAGAGGTGCGCAATGTACCAGTGTGACAAGTAAATAGAGCCGGACCAATGTAAGGTTTAGTAGTACCGGCGCTACGTAACGTGACCTTGCTTATCTAAACTGGATTAAAAAGATTGTGGTGTAGTGTGTCAGTTAAAGCAAGGTTCATAACACGCACACACACACAGCTGGACCGAGAGAGAGAGAGAGTGTCTCATTAATACTGGTATATTTGAGTACCATAATAACATACATGATACCAGTAGGGCTAGGTCACGTTAGAAATTAACCTACAGATAAGAGAGTAAGAGAGGAGACATGTTAACCGGGCTTATCGGCGCGTGCTAAGCCCAGTCAGCAAGTCAGTCAGCTAATCACGTGATATGGCTCAGTGGCTCAGTTGGGTAATCTCCGTTATTCCGCCTGTTTTGGGTAATTATTCCGCCTGTTTACTGGAGGTGGACCTGAGGTAGAGAGTTCGAATCTGGGCTGGGTCAAGATCTCCAAGCTGAGGGCAGCTGTCTCTTACTAAACCATGGTAGAGGCTTTCGTTAGAGATTTGAAATGACTCTAATGCTTACGTGTATTGTGTAGTGTAGTTCAGTGACATCGAAAAACGCTGAGGCCGTACCGCGAAAGAAAAGGAGATGGACCACTAGCTTGCTAGAGTCGCCCATTCATATATTCATTCGGTCATACATAAAAGCTAACCTTGCGTCGTGAAGAAATATGAGTTTCAATATAAGTTTCTGTTCCGGTTGCATCTTCTTGGGGAGCGACAAGTTCTGCAGTATCTTCTACTTGGGGTAGCAACTGCAGACAAACCGTCAAGGGACAAAGCAAGCAAAATTGAGGGACTGAGAGAACTAGCAGGCAAATATACCCCGGGGATTTCCTATCTCTTGTCTTGCTACCCAACCAATCCTACAGCGGATAGTGCAACATCTCAACCAATCACTAAGCAGAAACCAGTCACGTGTTCTGATCACGTGACATTTAGTCTGACTCTGACATTTAGAATGCTGTTTCGAGACCGGTTACATATGCTAACATTTCCCCCGTTCAACCAAGCTGTTTATGAAGGAGCACGTGCTTCACGAATTTAGACGCAGTGTTTTCCTGTTGTTCGACCCGGAGAGTGAATATCATAATTCACATATAATATTATGTTGGTGTATATAACATGAGCTTATGAGATGTGAATAAACTACGAGAAAATTGTACTTTCAACTGTGGAACCTACTCCTAGTTCCGGCTATACTGATATCAGTCACCAAACCGCACGGGTTGTGGGTACAGCAGTCAGCACCACCTCGCTGCCCCACTGGTGAAATTAAGAGAATCAGTTAAGTAGGGCAGACGTTACGTTATGTTTTGTTGGTGACTGGTGACTCTATACAAACTAAAAGGCTTGGTACCCCCCCGTGGGGGGCCCCCCCCCCTTGTCGTCCTTTAACTTTACATGTTGCGTAGGTGGCAGGAGGTGGCTAGACTAAAGTCTGCTTGTTGCACTATAAAGTTATACACTGCTTCTAACACTGGTGTGATGTGTAGTGTACCTCTAGAAGAGTTGCAGAGAAAATGTTACAGAGAAACAAAACGTTGACACAGTTGCAATTACAATTAGAATAGTGTAGTTGGCCCACAAGGTCTTTATAATGGACACCCTCGGGTTACCGAGTGTACTCAATCAATCGCTCTGGACATTCTTCTAATCTCAATATTATCTCGCTGTAAATTATTAAGAATAAAGTTTGCTACTCACTGTTCCTCTCTGTTTGTGTCTTTCTGAAGACTGTTCCATTTAGGTTTGAATATTCTGAAAACATCTATTATTCGCTCTGCTACAACGTTTGGCATAGCTACATGAGAAGTACACTGGGTTAAATATGAGAAATATGGGAAATAAATCCGGCAAATTCCGAGATAAAACAAAACATTAAGCTGAGCTGTAGCATTTTTATGATACATAAAATTCTTAGAGATTAAAAAGTGATCAAAATAGAATAGCAAGACAAAAGATGCCCGTAAGGCGTGAGTATATAATTTGGTATTAATGGTATATAATTTGGGAGTCTCTCTCTCTCTCCAGCAGCAGGAGTTGGAGACATAGGGGCTCGTTGTGAAAGCCACCGAAAGGAAGGCTTACAGTCGACGCCGACCAATCAGAAGAAGAAGAGAACTGACCATAGCGTATTATGTAAGTATTGGGATACAACAATACATTAATTAACTGTAGCATGTTAATTATTTGACATGCATCCGATACATTCCTACGGATTAAAACTATCAAAATAAAAAAGCAAGACAAAAGAAGCACGTAACAATGAAATGTAAGATCACAGAACACTACAGAACAAATGAAATAACTCAAAATATGACGAGATGTTAGTAGTAATGAGTAGGTACTGAGTAGGTATAGAGATACCACGAGGCCTCGAATATGCCGATGTGATCTGTGGAGAGATCTATATATCCACCAGCGTGCGCTTTTTCGCATAGCGGGCTCTCACCAGCCCGCTGTCAAAGGGCCCGATATCTCTACAGCCCGCTCATGATATAGCCCGCTAACAAGTGACATTTAATTTGACCAGTAGCAATATAGCCCGGAGTTCTCTAAAATATTTTCAGTTTCTGTATCGTCTCCTGATGATACATCTCGCTGATGATACATCTCGTGAGCAGATGACATGAAATCTGAACACTGAACAGTGTTATTGATCCACACTTACACACTACACAGTACACTTTAATAGTTCCCACGGCAATATGTGGATGTAAAGAATGTATCAACTCTGAACTCTGAACTCTGAGCTTATGTTATATCGGATGCTATATCAGTTTTCTCGCAGATTGCCATGATTGGCTCATAATTAACACGTGACACACTGTTACTATGGTTACCAAATTCGTGGAGACGTTAAGTCTAAGCCTGTGATATCCATTAGTATCGATAATTGTTTTGTGTTTACCATTTTCAGTTCACTATTTCAGTTGATAAACCTTGAAATTTAGGCCGACATTTTACGTGTTATTCTATTGTGTTCCCAAAAGATATTTTGCCCTGTTTTTGTTTTGAAACTGCCATTTAAATTGATGTTATAAATTTGATCTTTAACTTTCATATTCAATGTCCATAATCAGACTGTGATCTCGAGCTCTCTGGGTCACTACTTTTGATTGTCCAGTCACTCAGTAGCTGCTACAGAAACTCTAGTAACTGGTTACCTGGGTAACCCTGGTTACCCTGGTAACTGATAATTACAACTCACGTGGTAGTAGCAGGCTCTGTGGCGACTGGCGGTGCTTGTTCTGGTTCCAGGGAGGGAGAGGGGAGAGAGGTAGAAAAGTAGAGAGGGAGAGAAAGAGAGGGAGAGGAGGAGAGAGGGAGATGAGGAGAGATGGAGATAAAGAGAGAGGGATAGAGGGAGAGAGGGAGGTAAGGAGAGTGGGAGAAAGAGAAAGGAAGATAGGGAGAGAGTGAGAGAGTGAGAGAGGGAGATAATGAGATGAGGGAGAGAGGGAGGAAGGGCCTATATTTTGATTGTTTACAATAAAATTATATGTACATGAAACAATGAGCTGAAACATTGTTTGATAGCGGCCGGTTTTTCGTTCTATAGTCAGTCATTTTGGCCTGTTCTATAACATCTTAAACTAAAAGCAACATGATTTTCTCGTAAAATTTCTGAAATCTTGTACATTAATTTGCTGTGATTGTTGGAAACTGAAGCTTCGTGATAAACGCCCACTTGTGGATATATTACATTGTCGATATATTTACATTTATAAAACTTAGTAAATGATCATCTAATTAGTGGCATAACAACTACACTTGAGAAGCTCATGGATATACCCGATATAAAAAAAACTAATATCTGTAAGAAAAAGCTCACGCTGGTGGATATAATCCACATCACCTCGACCCGCGGGCGGAAAAATCGTATAGCACTCGGGCCCGATGGGCCCTCCGTGCTATACGAAAATATGTCCTCCTCGGGCTAGCGCCCTCGGGGACATATGAAATATTGCACGCGCGTGCGCGTGCAATATTTTGTTCCGCCCGCGAGTCTCCGGTGATATGTATATATATAGGGTCACCGCATAGGGATAGATTATTTCTTACTATACAGTACACAGTGTTTAAACAATACGTTAGTGTTGTGCAATAACACGCGATATAACAATGAACTTTGTGGTCATTTTAACGGCATATGACACGTGTTGTATATATTATTCTAGTGACGCTAACTAACTAACATTAACAATACACACTACTGCAGTATAAGTCTATTATTATGTATTCGACAAAAGCGTGTCAGGCAAGTAAGCTGGAAACTAGGAGTGTTATAAGACGATCCTTAATAGAATGTAGTGGGCTGTAGGGGTTAAGTGATATCGTGTAGTATAACGTGTCAACAGCAACGGAATAAGTTAATAGAAGGAGTAGAAGTAAGTGTCAATATTAAGGGAATTATAACTTGATAGAGGATGTAGAAGTGTAGAGTTAAATATAAGTGGATTCATTAGAGCACGACACTACAATCACACCAGGCGTGGGGAATGAGGCGATGTCTGGACGATGTACTGACCACTACACAGAATACAACGACACTGACCAACTCTCATTTGAATAATTGTTGTTCTAATAATTGTAATGCGATATAGCACCAGAACTAAAAACAGAACTAAAAACAAAACATATACGCGGTATTAGCGTTAGACAGGAGTTGTACTGGCACTGGCATACTGGCACTGTAACACTGGCACTGTAATACTGGCACTGTAACACTGTAACACTGGCACTGGCATACTGGCACTGCAACACTGTGCAGTGTACAGTGTGCAGGGCTGTTTTGTGAACTATTTCAGTGCGGTCTAAGTAAACATTACCCTAGTTAAGAGGAAACAGCTGTTAACATAGTCGGTGTGTGTGGGGTATTATTATATCCACTAAGTTAACGACTACGTGATATAAAACTAAACACCGAGCAACATGTTATATTCTAATAATATTAATAGTAAGACAAAGGGTTAAATTAGATAATTT